GGATATGGGCTTCGAGTTGCCCAAGTCCCGATGACGTGTCGGGCGATTAATGCACATCATGTAGGCCATTATTTGGGCTTGGACGTCCATGACAGCCCGGGCCTGTCGAGGAGCAGGTTGCTGGAAAAGGGCATGGTGGTGACTGTCGAGCCGGGCATATATGTCCCCGACGACGAGAAGTGGCCAAAGTGGGCGCGGGGCATTGGCATGCGCATTGAAGATAGCGTCATGGTGGATGAGGAGAGTCCGTATGTGCTTACTACCGAGGCGGTGAAAGAGATTGTAGACATTGAAGCCCTGAGGGGGTCGGAGACGAAGTTATAGTAGAACGCAAAAATGCAAATGGAAGAAGTTTATCGTGCAATGTTGATTCATTCTGCTGAGATGTGTTGCTTCAGCGCCGTGTACATATTTATAGACAGACCATTTGACGACTCAACGCGTGGAGTGCATCTTGCTACAATATTCTCACGTCATTGCGGAATTCGGATACAAGCGTAAATCTTCTCATTTGCAGCTATAGAAAGAAGGAAGCTGAGACTGTTACCATGCACCTCATGACGATTCCCCTTTTCCAAAAGGCCCCCAAGCTGTCGTGGCTTCGTCTCTCCAAATGAACGCCGAATTGCCATCTGTCCCAAGTATCAAAATGTCGTCAACATCGTTGCAGGAACGGCCCGCCTCAAAGCTTGCTGAGCGAGCGACTGTTGTTATTAGACCAACATCGAAGAAGCAAAGTTTCAAAAAAAAAAATACAGGGTTTAGCACCTGCCCCACGCTACCCATGCGGTCGTTTCAATCCATTTATGACAGTATTGAGTCCTTGGGCAAGCGCTTCAACGCAGCCTCAACGTCCTTGTGATCAACAACAACACCGCTCTCGGAACAGCGTGCCTTTGCACGAAGCTCGGAGCACAGATTGTCGATATCAATCGTGCCGTCCTTGAAATCCGGCCGGCTCGATAGCTTGTCCCTGCGAGATATTAGCGTGCAAGAAGCTTGGTGATAAGGGTAGTATACTGACCAGATCTTGTGGCAGTTGAGCATAGAGTTGATGTCGTCGCCGGGAACAACTTCGTCCTCGCCATCTTGAATACGCTCAATCTCCTCCAGAGGGTTAGACTTTTGCACGGCAGGCGTGTCGCCGAAATGGAACGGGCTAGCGTATCCGGTGTTCAGGAAAGCATCGTTAAAGAAGCCGCCAGTGAAATCACCGTCGCCCACGATCGCGTTTGTCGTGTCGCGGTACTCGCCGAACAGTGTGGGGTCGAATTGTCCGCCGTTTTGGTTCGCAAAATAATCGAGGCCGTTGGCTTGCGGTTGAGGTGTGGGAGACTTTGTGGCGGTAATGACTGGAGGTGGTTTGTCGTCAGATTTGGACATCGCACGAGGCACGGGGTTACGAGGGTTGCCGCAGGCCATGTTGAGTTTTTCGCAGAATAGGACCTCACCTTCCGAGTTGCCATGACACACGTAGCCTTCCGCGATGCTATCCCTCGGCTGGCCAGGCGAAGTATGGCTTGGCTCAGGCGATGTCCCGCAAGAGGAGTCTTGTCCACCAGTTGGAGAAGTGGATGACGCGGGTGAACCTGAATGTGTGGATGAGCCGCTGTTAAACTGGAACACGCGCGATTGCACAGTAGAAGAACTCTCGCTGCTTCCACGATTGGTGTTCTTGTTCGCCGCGTTGTTGTAGCCGGCGAAACCATTGACACTGTTGTTGCGTTGGGTGCCGTTGGTGACAGGGCTTGCACTAATCGCATCAGGCGAGTTCGTCCAGGAGCCGTTGGCCTGGGTAGCTGGACTGACACCTTGCGCAACGCTGTTGTTGCGACCTGAAGCGTTGGGTGCTGCAGATACGTTCTTGTTCTTGGAAGAAAGGGGACCGTTATCGAGCAGCTGAGCACCTGGCAGTCCACCGAACTTGGGGAACTCGAAGGAGAAGTTGTTGTTGTTACCAGTACTCAGCATGCTGCTGAACCCGGAGGCCATAGGTGTGGTACCAGCGCGGTTCAGACCAGTGCTGTTTAGCGACAAGCGCTTGCGGTATTCACGGAGCTCCATTTGCAGCCTTTGAACTTGCCCACGAAGCAAACCATTTTCGTGATTTGCAGCATCAGATGCCTTTTCGAGCTCCTGCACCTTAGTTTCGAGATCTTTGAGATGCTTCTCTTTCCTCTCTCGGAAGGCTCGCTGGGCCGCCCTATTTTGTGCTTTGCGCTTCTACAACCTGTGTTAGTAAAGAGCATGTTAAGGCTACACATGTAGAACGTACTGTGGTGGGCTCAGATGTTAGAGGTTTGCGGCCAGGCTTCTTTGCCTGCTTGTCTTCGCCTTCCCTGCGCTTACCGCCGCCCTCATCTTCATCATCGTCGTCGTCGCCAGGGCTCTTGCGCTTCTCATTTGATTCTTCTCCGTTCTTACCGGGAAGCGCGCCGATCATGAGATCGTCGTCCGCGTTATCGAAATCAAAGCTGTCTCCGTCGAGGTAGTCCACGAATGGGCTCTCCTCTATGCCCGCAGTACTGAAGGTGTTTCCAGGCGTGGTCTGCTGCGGGGAAGTAAAGAAGGTAGGGTCGACGGTGTCGGTGGAATACTGGAACTGGGAGTTGCTCGCAGCGCGGTTGTGGTTCGCGCCCGTGGAGAAAAGGTCGTTGGGGTTGGTGTTGTTCGAGGCGAGGGCGGCGAGCAGGAGGTCCTGCTGGGTAGGGTCGAGGTAGAATGGCGCGCCATGCTGGTAGTCGTTGGCGGTTCCTGCCATGGCGAATAGTGGTGCGGGGTCTAACGGGTTGTTGAGCGTGTTACTGAAAGACACTGCAGCCTAGGATTCTTCCAGGACAATGCGATTGGAGTTCGAGTCTAGGTCGCCTCAGGTCTGGGGACGGGCGACTTTGCGGAAGGGGCCGGTGTAGGTGTACCACTTCCAATGGGTGGGTTCGCCACAGATACAGTGTGGGCTCAAGGGAAGACACGCGGCGGCTGGCAAACAATGTGAGGTTGGCGCAGGGAGTCCGGACGTAGGAGCCAAAGGTCGCAGCCTGTTGTGCGGGTCGAGACGGGCTTGGGTCCAACTGGGGTGGCAGCCCTGGGGCAGCGTGTCTGGGGCGGAGGAGGGTACCGCGCACGGAGCGCAATCGGTTTCTAGGCCCCGCGAAGTGCAGCAAGTCGAGGAGAGTGCGGGACTTGGGCGTGAAAGCGATGACAGAGTGGAAGAGTAAAGGTCCGGAATGACGGATTGACAGCCTCGTAGCCTGATGGCCTAGTCCGGCGACCGTGGTCCAGTGACCCTGGCAAATTTGGAACAACGTCTTGTCGCAGCAAAGCCGTAAGCTGAGCAAAAGCGGCGAATAAGCGAGAGTGCTGGCTGCAGAACAAAAGTTGCTGATAGGACGGGCGTGGGATGCGATGCTTGTCTTAGGGCGGGCGGCGAGCACAAGGGCGCAATGAGATGATTAGCAATCATGGTGGGGTCAAGAACGCCATAGAAAGTGCTCATCCATGGACAAGCAAAGGACTAACAGCAGATCGCTCCATGCCTGTTCCTAGCAAGGCAGAAACCTCCGTTCCGAGCGCTACACGATGCAAATGTCGTGTATGTACTGGTGCCGTCATCGCTGCGTGATTCTACCTCGTTCTGTCTGGAGAAATCCGGGACCCTTCATGTTCTGGCCAAGTCACACAGTCTGGGCTTGATTGTGCGGCGGTGCAATGAGTAACCCCGAGCCTGCCCCAGCCACGGCGAAGTCTCAATCTGATTCATGCACGTGAAGACGCGAACGATGCGGCATCCTGCATATCTGATCGCCCTCGGTGACTGATGATAGAGGTCTGATGATGCAGCAATCCGTTGTAGATGGCATCTTGTACGCGGCTTCCTCATCCTGGGCACCCGAGGACTTCTTCAATCAGAGGACAGAAAGCAATGTTCCGTGTCCGCGACTCCGCGGGTAGCAGCATCATGTTTCTGCACGTGTTGGATTTCCCCGTAGCCCAGCACCGTGAATTTGTACCTGTCTGTATTGCTGTAGGGCTGAACTAGAGGAGGGTCCAGTGGGGCCGCCAAGCTTAGCGTCACCACGACAGCGTCACCACGACAGCCTCGCGACTTCCTCGAACGCGCCTCACACTTTCTCGAACCCCCACCTGAAGCCACCCCGCAACCGCACAAGCCTCGCACATCGGAGCTCGACTATACACGACAATGGCAGATATCAAAGCCCTCAAAGACGCCGTCTGGCTGAAGAAGGAGGAGATCAAGAAGGAGGAACAAGGTCTCGCAGACTGGAACGCCCAGGTCGGTCTTGTTGCGCGTGTCGCATTGCCACATGGCTAACAATACACGCAGCTCACCGAGGTAGAGAGACTGATCGAGCTCAATGGCGCCACCAAGGACACCGAAGACCTCCGAGAGGAAATGAAGCCCTTCATCGCCATGCACGAAGCAGCGCTCGCACGCCTGCGCCCGGAGCTCGCCAAGCTCGAAGCCCAGCTTCCCCAAGCTCCTCAGCCAACTGCGCCCAAGTTCGATCCCGAGAAGCACCCTCTATTGCGCAAGGCTGCCGAGAAGCAGGAGCCGGAGAAGCCGATGACATTCAGCACAGGTGACTTGATTGAGGCGCAATGGACAGATAGGTCCTGGTACAAGGCTAAGATTCAGAGTGTTTTGGGTTCGGCCTCTGCACCCAAGTATGTGGTGCGCTTCATCGACTACGATGACAGCACCACGGTCGACCGCGACGCTATTCGTCCCCTGCCAAGCAAGAGAAAGCGCGACCCTGAGCCTGTAGCAGCTCCCTCGCCCGTCACGCCCCTTACGTCGACTCCTCATGTCATTTCTGGTCCGGCGTCCATGAACCCCAACGTCCAGAAATCCATCGTTGCCGAAGAGGAGGTCAAGCCCAAGAGCAGGATCGCAAACAAAGGCCAATTGAAAAAGCGACAGTCCAACTGGCAGGACTTTCAGACCAAGACCAACAAGAAGATGCCTAAGAAGGAGTCCATGTTCCGCACCAGTACTGAAGCAGGCAGCCGAGGTAGGTTCTTGCCGCAGCTTTCAGCCGAGATCGTTACTGACTGCTGCTTTAGTTGGCTTCACCGGCTCCGGCAAGGGCATGACTGAGACCCACAAGCGTGCGCGTTACGATCACAAGGCTGATGTCGCCAATGACGAAGAGTACAGCGCTCTCGCGCCGCCTCAGGCACGCAAACGCTTCTAGGGACGCCGTGCACAGCCGCCCCTCAATTCGAAAGGTACGAACAGTAGATCAAAGTGCTCTTGAAGTGACCTTGCTTACGTTGCCTTTGGCTCGTTTGCAGACCTAGCAGTGCAGTCGTGCTCTGCACCCTGAGACTAGAATTGCGACGCCGAATCATGAAGCGATGCAGCTTTGCGTATGCTGAACGGAGGCTGACCTTGTACAGGCTCTCCTCTTCTCAAATCCCGCCGCCCGACTTGGCTTTTTGAGCAACAACAACATTCCCCACGGCGTTCCGGCATCTGCATGTTTTCGGTATGGCTCTGTGCCCGCTCACTCTCACTTCTGGAATTTCAAACTAAAGCACGACCGCTCAATAGGCGTTCGATACCCTTGTGCATCATGCACAGTCCCCGCATGTTGAGGCGAAGTTCGGTACTTGATCCCTCAAAGGTAAGCATTCAGTAGTTTTTAGGAGACGGTCTCGTCAACCGTTTACTGATCCTGCTCCCCTTTCCCTGTGCATTCCTTGATGCTACTCATTTCAAGTTTGTGGCGACCGTATTCGATCGGCACATTCGCAGGTGGTCTTTGGACGGGGGATTCAATAGTTCAGCCAGTACATACAAATCAAAACAGACACAATAAGCTCTCATTACGAAATCTTCCCTAGTCTCTCTTGATCTGACAGCGCAGTAATGGTGGGCGCGGACCGGACAACCCCTGCGTGTTTTGTGGCTGTTTCCATACATGGCATTCGGCAGGCAGCTTTGTTCGTGCCCCACTACCCGCCGGCTAGTAGGGGAGCATCATCCCGCATTGAAGCTCCGACTCCACCACAGCTCATGCCTCCAAACGCGTTTACGGGCGGCAATCTGGGACTGAAGCATGTTGGGGGCGCGTCCAATTCCGACTAAAGTAGAGAAAACGCCGCCATCATGGAAGCGGACTGGAACGAGGTACATTTCCTGACAGATGCGCTGCGTGTGCACCACCGCCATGAAGAAGCGCGCACGCATGCTTCGCAACACCAGCTGATTGTCGCATAGCTAGTCACTGCCCAGTTATCTCCACCAGGATCCCACCCACCGGCTGTTCCAATCTCGACATTCGCCTTCGACACGACGCAGGAATTGCTGTGGACGGGCAACAACCAAGTGAGTACGTTCGCCGGGTCGCGTCGCTAGACACGAGAGCTCACACCAGCTAGGGACGCGTAACCTCACTGTACGGGCCGTCGCTCGAGCGCTACACCTCATACCGCGGCCATGCCACATCCGATGGCCCTGTGAAGCAGTTCCTCTTCACCGATAAGGGCGTCCTCTCCATTTCTAGACAAAGCGTGCACTACTCGCATCGACGTGGCTTGACACAATGGCACCTGACGTACGTCGGACTTGATGACGGAGGATGGAGAAGGCAGCACGTGCTGATATGTGACATGCAGGAGCCCTGACTTTAAAGACCTCAAGTGCATGAACTTCACCTCCAAAGGAACGCGCGAGATCTTGATTGCAGGATGTCAGGAGCAGATGTTCAAAGTCGATGTCGAAAAGGGCATTGTTGTGGACACAGTGAGTCTACATAGCAACCGGCTCCAACACTTCTGACGCGACTCAGCTGCCCGTCGATGCCCAGTACACCATCATGAAGCGAGCAGGCCAGTATCTCTGCGCAGCTACTAAGACTGGCGGCATACACATACTTGATTCTAATTCGCTCTCTGTCATCAAAGTCTTCGAAGGCCACACCGGAAGCATCAGTGATATGGATGCGAAAGGCGATTTCCTCGCTACGTGCGGCTGGTCTCCGCGGCAGCAATATGCGTACATGCTGGATCCATTCACCAACGTCTTCTCTTTGAAGACTCTGAAGCAACTGGCACCCGTTCCGTTCCACACCGGTGCAGCTTTTGTACGAATGCATCCTCGCATGTCCACTACCGCTATCATCGCCTCGCAGAACGGGCAGATGCAGGTGATTGACCTTATGAATCCCGACTCGGCGAACCTTCGACAGCTCAACCTGTATGACTCCTATCTAGCTGGCTTCGAGATGGCTCCATCGGGCGAGGCGTTTGCCCTGGCTGATTCCAACTCCAACGTTCATTTGTGGGGCTCGCCGGCCAAAGTGCACTTTCCAGAGTACAGCAATCCTACAGAATTCGCAGACCATGTCATACCACCAGCTTCCATGGACTGGAGCCTTGACACGTAAGTCTGGATATGGCCAAATTTATAAGATGCTAACGATGCAAAGTCCTCTTAACACGATAGGCATGCCGTACTACAAGGAGACCCTCCTCTCGGGCTGGCCAAGCCACATGGTCTTCGAGGTCGGGGCACCACCACCCAAGATTGATGGTGCAATTCTGAGCAACATGACACGGACTGATATGGGCTTCTTCGCCAAGAACCCTAGGACCAAGCGAAGAAACCAGATCGAGGTGACTAGACAAACAGACCGGTCTAGTGACTCTCTGACCCCACCCAAATTTTTGAGCGAGAAGTCCCGAGCATCATTGTCACTAAGTGAGGCAAATGCGAAAGCTGTTGAGACCATGGAGACACTTACGGACCTCCATCTCGACGATGTAACACGAAAGGACGTTCCCGCGATGTATGGAAATGTGGAGATCAAATACAGCAAGTTCGGAGTGGACGACTTCGACTTTGCCTACTACAACCAGACGCCATTCTCAGGTCTCGAAACCCACATTACCAATTCTTATGCGAACTCGCTACTGCAGCTGTTCCGCTTCACGCCGTTGATCCGGAATCTTGCGTTGCAGCACACGGCATCACCCTGTCTCTTCGAATCGTGCCTCTTGTGCGAGCTCGGCTTCCTCATTGACATGCTTGAGAAGGCGGCTGGACTGAACTGCCAAGCGTCGAACTTCTTGAAGACGTTCAGCGGCTTGTCAAATGCGGTTTCGCTAAACCTGCTCGAAGAGTTCGCGCCAAACGTTGCCCTTACCAGCATGATACAGAACTTGAATCGCTTCTTGCTCGACAAGATCTCGGAAGAATTTCGACAAATGCTACCAAGCCATGGCGGCACCTCATTGATGGATCAGGTGTTGGAGACGCAGGCACGAGCAAGCATGAGGTGTGCGCAGTGCGCCAATGAGACCATCAGAGGCGGGAAGAATTTCGTTAACGAGCTTGTGTATCCGGCGAAGCATGTGATGAAGAATACGAGGATACCGCGCCCGACGTTCTCACAAATACTAAAGGCCAGTGTGGAGCGACAAGATCAAACCCGAGGATGGTGCACAAAATGCAATCGATACCAGCAAATGGTGCAACGGAAGACGATACAGTCGGTACCTGGCGTACTGATGCTGAACGCTGCGATACAGACCCACGAAGCGAAGCTATTGTGGTCAATACCCAACTGGTTACCACATGAGATCGGGATCATAGTAGATCAAGGTCAATTCTACTGCTTCGAGGGCCAGGACTTGAAGTTGCACTTACAGCGCGGCGTCTTCGACATCATGGTATATGAGCTGGTTGGTGTCGTTGCCGACATCAATAGTGGCGAGCATCAGAAGCCTCATTTGGTCGCCACAATCAATACAGGCCCGTCGTCGCGCGAGCCAGATGCAGAAGACAAGTGGCATCTCTTCAACGACTTTCTAGTCAGGCCTATACCGAGAGAAGAGGCTCTCCGATTTGAACCCAGCTGGAAGCTCCCCTCAGTCCTGACTTTCCAGACCAAGTCTGCCAGGAACAAAATCGACGATTCGTGGAAGGAAAACCTAGACACATCGATATTGTATCGATGGTGGTCGTCAAACCCAACGCCACCGGACGACAAGTTCAAACTCTTACAGGTATCGACAGAGGCGCCTCGTCCGGGCTATCCAGTGGCCATCGACGCAGAATTCATCCGACTTCAAGCTGAAGAGATTGAGATGAAGGCGGACGGTACCCGGCAGACTATTCGGCCTGATCGCAAGGGACTCGCGCGTGTATCAGTATGTCGCGGCGAAGGCGAACACGCCGGCCTTCCCTTCATTGATGACTACATTGCCGTTACCGAACAAGTCGTCGATTACCTTACCGAGTGGTCCGGCATTTCACCCGGCGATCTCAATCGCGAAACTTCACCGCACGCGCCTGTGAGTCTCAAGCATGCCTATAAAAAGCTCTGGCTTCTTCTCAACCTTGGCTGCGTCTTCGTCGGCCATAGTCTAGCCAATGACTTCCGGACCATCAACATCCATGTGCCCAGATCGCAAGTTGTAGACACATCCAACCTTTTCTTCCTCCCCGATTTCAAGCGCAAACTCAATCTCAAGTTCCTGGCTTGGTGCGTTCTCAAAGAGCAAATTCAGCAAGATACACATGATAGTATTGAGGATGCGACGACAGCACTGAAGCTTTGGCGCAAGTATGAAGAATTTGTGGATGCTGGGGTACTAGAGCCCATGCTGAATGACATCTACGCGACCGGTAGCCAGGTCAAATTCAAGGCGCCAGGGAGCGGGAACAGAAATAGTATGCCAGCGGGCATGACGGCGACTGGAGCAGGCAGAGACACTCCAGAGCCCATGACTACACCAAAGAAAGGGGGTGCATTCGGTGGTGTTGGATTTAGGAGCCCGATGCGACGATGATGTTTGCTCGAGGGGACGAAAGATTGTAGCAACGTCGAGGCCATCCGGAAGTAGGTGAGATATTCTTAGCTGAAATCAATATAGTCTTGTACAGATTATTGTGTTGAAAGCTCTTAATGAATTCACAAACGGATTAGATTGTGTACAAGGCACAATCTTTGGGTGCATGATCGCACGGCTCGTCTCCATAGCTTCGACTACCGACACACACTGCGAACTTTTGTTCATTCAGGCTACACATCATACTGATATGGCTTGTAGAATTGTGTGCCTTGATCTAAGCATCCTGTGCAGGAGTCTATCGAGATCTTGTTGGTCGGTCTAGCTCCGTCTCTGGGGAGCCGTCCATGGACCACCAATCAGCGCGTTAACAATTGTTATTACATATCTACCGACATGTTCGTTGGGCCAGAAATCAGCCTCAGTCATAGTCACTCGCTTTGCCGCTATATGAGGTCCACCACGGTACAATCTGCTACGCATATGAAGTGCGTCGGAACGGAGCAGAACGTACGTGGGTGGAAGAGATGTTCTGAGCTTTGGAGCCTGTATAAGAGTGCATAAGGAATCAATGACTTTGGCATAGCATCCTGATTAACGACAACCATTGATTTCAAATCTCTCCTTCTTGCAGATCTACAACCATCATGAAGACCCTCACCTTACTCACCGCAGTCGTCGCCACCCTCACAACCGCCCAAACCCCCGCCCCCTATACCGACCCAAAGTCTGGCATCACCTTCTCCACCTTCCAACACACCAGCGGCATGTTCTTCGGCCTAACCCTCCCCCTAAACAGCACCAGCAACACCTCCTTCATCGCCACCATCGGCGGCAAAGGAACCAGCTACAGCGGCGTCAGCCTCGGCGGCGGCATGCTCAACAAGCTCCTCCTAATCGCCTGGCCCAACGGCCAAAGCATCGTCAGCAGTTTCCGCAAAACAGCGTATTCACTTCACCTGTCCCATGCATTTGCTGTAGCTAACTCCGCAAAAGCACCTACGCCTCGCCCACTGTTGCGACCGGCACTTTCTCCCAGCGCGCGATTGCGAACGGGACGTATGTCAACAGCACGCATTGGACGTACACTTTTCTCTGTGAGAGGTGCATACAGAGTGATGGGACGACGTTCAGGGCGACGGATGGGAAGCCGAGCATTGGGTTCGTGTTGAATCCGAGCGCGCCGGCGAAGAAGGGGGATCAGGCGGCGAGTGTGTCGAGGCATACGGAGCAGGGGCAGGTGGTGTTTGATTTGGGCAGGGCGAAGAGGGAGGGGTTTGAGGTGTGGAGGGGGTGGGCGGAGATAGGAAATGCTTGATGGGTTGGTGTGGGATTGGTAGTGGAAGAGGGTGGGGGGAATGGGCACGGGATGAGTTTCTGTTGCAATATTGAGCGGTAGATGGATATAAGTTCCTGTTCCTGTTCCTTCCACCCCGAATAATTTACATGAGATCGCCTTGCAGTGGAAAAATAGCGCCGAGCAACATTTTTGCACGACCCTGTCACCCACACTACAAGCAGACCTATCTTACTAAGGCGTGAGGTCTCAGGCGGTCTGTTAATATGTGGTCAGCTTGACTTCAGCCTGAACTTGCCCAGCATACTATATGCGCCAACAGAAAGCTTGGCCATGCCCACCCCGCAATCCATACGGTTGGGCTGTGCATGTCATTGGTCCAGTATATTGCTCGTGAGTATTTTCAGGAACAGGCAATGACACACCAGGTTCTGAGATGCGTCTTTTCCGTGCCACAACACTGAATCTACGAAAGAGGTTTGGGAGACGTAAAAATATCGACGGTAGTGACAGGAGGCAGCTTTACGGTACCTGCTCAAGACGCACAAGTGTCGAACAAACGTACCGCGTGCGTTCTTTCGATATGATGTTACGTGCCTGAAGCCGCAACCATCGAACCGAAGCAGTCATACTCTCGTGTGTTGCAGCATAGCAATACCGGGACGGCAATACGGGATTTGAGTGCGCCGATGTCACGTCGCGCTGCTCCCCACGTCATCTTCGCAGTGCTTCTCTGTCGGTGTTCCTTCACTCGCTTCTCTGTTTTTTCTTGCCATATGACTATCCATAATGTTGGCATCTTGGTCACTATGTTTCTCCCTTTTGTTCGCTACGCTCGTTCAAGCGGACTTCAAAAAATACATAAGTACATCCGCAGACATTCGCACGGAATGCAAGACGTGTCCACGCTCGCTATGTCCCAACCAGCTTTCCTACGACTTTGACGAGGCCCTGAATGTGACATGCTGGACGCGAGGGACGAAGATCATGGGCGATCAGCTGTGGCTGAAGAGCGATGCCGGATGCTACATCACGCAGTATGATGTCGCCGAGTACGCTGGTGACTGTAAGTCTCGTCGATTCTCTTCCATATCCACTCTAATGAGTCGCCATAGACACAGACGACATTCCATACTGCGGCAGTGATTCCGAAGAGCAAAACCTCACCCTCGAAGACGCGACACTCAAGTACAAAACCGAATGCAGGATCTGCCCGCAGATCAGCTGCGACACGGTAGCATACTTACGCGAAGACACAGAGCTAGAGCTGACCTGCTGGTATCCCGACGGGCAAGTGATCATCGATGACCCGTAAGTCGTCCCACTTACCCAGACACACAATCTCTCTAACGCGCAAAAGCTACTGGATGAAGACAACCAACAATTGCTACGTTGCGCAGGCAAACCTCTACTCCAAGCCCGACACCACCTCCCTCGACCCATGCGGGCCCGTCCCGCTTCTCGAGACCGCAAACCACAATAATGAGAACGGCACGAGCGATGTGAACAAGCGTGAGATATCTCCGGGACTTGCTGAAAGAGCAGCACGTTATCTCGTCAGCCTCACCATCGGCGAAGAATACTCCAGCTGCCGCAGCTGCGCAGACACGCCTTGCAGCGTGGAGAAGGTGTACGAGTTCAACCAGACAGTTGTGATGCAGTGCTTGGTCGAGACGAACGGGACGGTTTGGTGGAGTTTGACGACTGTGAGTGTGTGAGCTGTGGGGTTTATAGGATGGCGCGCTGACTCTGATGGTATAGGACTTTTGTTACATCAAGGCGACGGATGTGTGGGAGACGCCGGAGGGCGATTGTAAGTATTTCTCTTGGGGGTTGATGGAATTTGGTGCTGATTTGATTGCAGTTTATCGCATGCCACTGTGTTCGTACTTTGATGGTGATGGAGACGGTGGGGGCGGTGGAGATGAGTAAAGTGTACGACTTGCAAGAATTACTCTTTCTTGTCATTAACAGAGCTGAAGCGTGGTAATCTCACGGTGATCTCGAGTTTGGTAGCATGAAGCTGCTGTGCTCGAAAGATCCTGTATCTTCAAGTGCAGGATAGATGTGATTAAAAAATACTATGCAAGTTAACTTGCGATGATATGGCTTCCTGCATCGCATTGCGCTCCTCCCAGCAACTAATATCACTTTTCATTCGATTTTGAGGTGTGGAATTGAATGATGATTCAATAGCGCGCAGATACATACACGAGACAATAATACACAAAAGTCTAATGAACGAAAGGGAGCAAAGAGCAACGAAAAACAGAAAGAAAATTGAACCCGGGATCCTAAGGCGCCTCAAAAATCCAATCAACCTTATAACACGCAAATGATCTCTCAATATAACACTCTTCAGTGGTAATGTGACATGTCCGTCGGGCAGGCGGGAGCAACGTCGCACAACACCCGTCTATCCGGCAACACGCTTAGCAACGTTTGCCAGTGACTTGCTCTCGATGGACGCACGCTTTACGGCGCGGCCTTTCGCACGTGCGGCATTGCGAAACTTGTCTCCCGTGCTTGTCTTGACCTGCTCTGACTGTGTCTTGTGGGCGCTGTTCTTGCTGCACGAATCAGGAAAGTCAGGCAAGATGTTTCTGGTGACGGAGTGTTTTGATTTGGCCAACCCGGTTTGCTTGAGCGGCGCGGGAGATTCGGGTGATGCTTTGCGGGGGGCTTCTATGTTCTTGATGGTTGACTTGACTGGCGCACAATTATCTTTGGCCTCGGACTGCTCGTTGTTCGGGGCTGGGGACATCCGGCGACGGATGGTGCGTTCTTTGAGTGCTTCCTCAGCAATGTGGATACTCTCTATGCTTGCAGTAATCCCTGTGGTAGGTTGATCGAGTAGGGAAGCAGGGGGTGACGATGCAGCACTGCTGGCAGATGATGTTCGGTCATGGCGGGACCTAGCACTGGCTGAGGAACAGTGTGAAGACTGAGGGCTGTATGAAGACACTGGTTCATCGTCGATATCGATGAGAAGGTTCGCGATAACCTTCTCTGGCCGCGTCGTAGCTTTCAAAGTGGGCTTCCGAAGCACCTGTACGTTTTCTGGTTCCTCAGAAACAAGTCCCTTCTGCGGAATACCATGTAGCTGTCGGGACATGTCGGGAGAGATAGAGTCGACAGCCTGTGTACTCCGGAAGGTTGAAGGATCAGGAAAGGCGCGCGGAGGTGGCATCTCTCCTGCCTGAGAATCATCTCCATGACCGGCAGCAAGACGCTGTTGCATCCACGTCGGACCTCTAGCAGTGATCGCAGACTTCTCCTTCCACCACTTTGGGATTTGTGTCACACCCAGCTCGCGCAACTTCTCAAGATTGGGCATCTCGTGCTTGTACCTACAGCCTTGTTGGATGAACGAACATTCGCCAGTCTTGATCCAGTGAGAACAGTATACTTTCTTCGATGGATCGGGCTGGACACCGGAGGGATATGGGGTATGGTAGCCGAAACGTTGCGCATCTCGCGGGTAGATGGACGCGAAAGTATCCGTTAAAGATGCTGGATGCTCTGGAGCAGCTTGGTAAGTGCAGCGAGCGTCGAGCCTGGGAGACTGAGCTGGGTGTGCGGGTGGAGGCAAGCGGCAAGTCTCGGTTGTGACTTCATTCAAATGCTTTGGGGAGCTTCTAACGTGGTGATCTGGCGCAAGGAAGCCAGGGCTTGCCTTTGACGTAGGTGGAGGCGATGAGTAGCTGTCCGGAACGTGTATCGCCAGAGGAAACGCAGCATGCTTAGATTCGTGTAGGAGCTTCCAGTTCTCGTCGGACAACTGGCGATGAGTCAATTGTCGTGGCAATCCTCGAAGCTGAAGAGGGATCTGGTCGGCAGGTACTAGAGGCACCATAATATTGCCACGAAGAAGATAGTAGCGGTCGCCTTCCGGTAGCGCTGTGGGCTGAGATACTTGGACCGTCATGGTTACAGTCCGTTCGTTCAAAGATAATCGAGATCAGATGTTTTGGACAGAATATGCACTTTTGCTATCTGTTATACGACAATGAAATCACTGAATGGAGAATATTAAAAAAAGGCTGCGAGTGTCGCGATCTTAAAACGAGGTTCCGAAGCCATTTGTGAGAAGCAAACACTGTCTCAAGCTTAGGCATCTTTGTCGCACATGCAGACACAAACAACCCTCAGAGCTTGGTCGGGACAAGCGGCCGCACAGAGACCTCAATAATTGAGCTTAGGCAAGCACTTAAGGTCCGGGCCTGACTTAAACGGCAGATAGCTTCCACAATCGTTCGCCAGTTGTGAGTATCCTGTGAGGCCGGCCTAATCACCATAGCCAGGCGCCTATCTGAAAGTTTCCCAGCAAAGAAACAATAGACACACCTTTTCACATCAGCTTTGCTTGTACTAGTTTGCGACATGCGCAGGGATTCGTTGCCGTAAGATCAATTTGTATTTGCGTGTCAGCCACCAAGCTGTGTGCCCGGCTGGAAGGAGTTTGCTGTACATCCAAATGCGCAAATCAGGGCGTAGACGAGCGCATTACATTCGAATTCGCAAGCCAGGCGTCCCATTGGCTCCAGTCGATCGGTTCGTGTGCATAATCTTGCATGCTGTAGTCTGAAGGCAAATCGAAGTCCAGATCCATGTATAATTCATTCGCCAGGTTATCATCAAACCCATCAAAGAGTCGCAAAGGGTCAACCTCAGTGGCTGTATCGGCTTGGTTATGTTTTGGCGTGTTCGTGCTTGTGCTTTGATGAAGGGATTGTGTAGCGTCGGAGTGGCCAAACTCAAGTCGTGAAACAAAATTGTCCTCTGATGATCGTTGCATCTTTGCTTCTCGGGCTTTTCTCTTCTCGATTGCATTCTCGCGACGGTGGCGTAAGTTTCGAATGAATGTCGGTGTAGGCGCTGAATACATTTTGTTGCTCAGCAATGCAGTTTCGCGAGCGCGGTACGCTTTCAGACAAAGATTGCCTATAGCTACATGTATAGGCTTCTTCAGATCCGATCCTAGTTCTGGAGTACTTTCGTAGATACTCTCGACAAGTTGCCATGCTTTCAAAGCGTCTGATCGCAGTGGCTCTGCGCGAAGAGTGTCCAGGACATGGATAAATGCGTGCCATTGGATAAAGTAGGCTAGATTTCAAAGTCAGCGGGTGTCAGGTCTACATTGATCTGGCTAGGATGCACTAATAGCAATGATTTGGAAATACATTGCTGTCTGCACAAAGAGCTCGACTCGGCAAAGGTGTAACTTACTATTCAGGAATTAGCAAATCGAAAACAACAAATCTCATAAATTCAACTTACCGCGCATGCCATGCAAATTGCTGAATTATGGGGTTGGATTGCATCATGCTGTACTGATCTAGAAGCTTGATGCTACCGTCCCAGACCAGTACACGCTCCGTGGGTGTCACATGCTCCATTTTGGCCCACCTTCGTGGATGGTGCGTCAGAAACGTGACTATGTTCATGCCGTATCGACCGACCAGCAACAGCACAAGATGTAGCGGCTGCGAGGGGTCGCAGTATCGCAAGTACTTCATCTCAAGAGCTTCTCTGAGTGTCTCGGCTGATGTTTGGATCTCTTCTTTGTCGTTGCCTGGGATATCCAAGTTCCATTGGCTGGAATCTATTCCTCGCTTGCGGAATATGGAGATTCGACCGGCCGCAAATTTGGTCATTTCAAACTTGAATGCCACAAACGCAGCGTCTGTGAGCCCCGTCGATGTTATTTCCAGGCTAGACATTTTGGGATGCAAATCGTTGCCGCCAATGTTGGATGGCCACTTGGTGCTTTCAGGACTGGTCTCAATATCTCGGAATTTGGCAAGACCACACAGCTCAGCAGTGCGAAAGTCATGGGACTTTAACTGCCACCATATGCGTCGCCGAATCTCAGTGTCGAAGGGAGAGAGGCCAAGAGTTGTGCCGTCTCGATCAAGACTTAAGCCTTGAGCAATCCGAACGGCCACGCCTGTCAACGTCCATACAGTTCGGGGCTCATAGACATCGCGTACTGAGTAAAGATGGATCACTAGTGCTTGAAGAACCACAAGACTTGTGGTAGCCATGAACTTGGCTCGCGACAAGGCTGCTTCCGTGGCGGAAGAGTACTTTGATAGCATGCTGCGACGTGTCTCACCAAATCTCTGTTGACAATCTCTGTCTTTTAATGAAAGTATGCCGGCACCAAGAATGGCGGATATGAGTGCCTCAAGGTTTCGCGGAATATTCGTCACATCTCCGATGGCTCTCTCCACTACAGGCCGCAGAGATGGGACGTGCACGATCTTCGTGAGCGGATCAAAGTTCTCGACAAATGCTTCCCACAGTTGGTGCATAACATGGGTTGGTGGAAAACGCGATTTGTCTTTTGGTCCCGGTCGGGCGCTGAACATAAAGCTATGCTCGTTATCTGTATCACCCTCGTTGCTCGATGTGTCGGAATGGTGTATGATGTTTTCGGAGTCGTGTGACTATGTTAGAACATTAATAGAATCCTGAGCAGGTGTTTGAACACTGCATCCCTCACGATTTGCTCCAATTTTGCAGCTCTCATACTTTCAATCTTTGAAAGATGCCCGTATGAAGAAAAAACCGAGAGAAGATGAAAGTTGTGCAAGCCCCATGACCACGCAACGTTGTGTTTAGGCTGCGTCGCAAAGATCGGGGGAGAACAGTGAGAGCGTCTGATAGAATTCAGGCGCGATGATGATCATGTGCTGAAAAAACTAGACTGACCTCTTCTACCACTCTCCTCCATAGGGTACTGTACAAAACTCAGTACTCGAATGTATACATCAGATGAGAAGGCATACTTTTCCACCAGATTAATGTTCGGTTGCTCAGTGCCGTGATGAGTCTCTGTCATGTTACAATATACTTGTTCTCTTTCCAACAATGGTGGAACAGGGGCATGAACTCCGGATGAAAGCGCCACGTTGGATTGACCTGGCCTGCCAGGTAGCTGTTCGTTGGAGAAGCTCGGCAACTCGTTTCTGTCGATTCCATGTTGCTGCAGTAAAGACTCATATTGCTCAAGGCGGTCGGCCAGAGCTTGAACCTTGACACGTTTCGGTTTCTTCTGTGCTTGTCTCGATGGACTGTAGACGCAGTCTGCAAAATGTTTTGCGCAAGCGCCACAAGGTCGCTGCCGGTCGCATTTCACCTTCCGCTCGGAGCAGCGAACGCAAGAAAATGTAGCCCGACTACATGTTCTTGCAGTAGGGATGGTTTCTGCCGCTGTCGCAGTGGCCATTCTCACTGAACAGGATTTGTTCGTCGAGCTATTCGTGTTGATGGTAGTACGTTAATGTAGTACAGCCTGCATGCTCTCGCAGACTTGGCGGGGTACCTTCGATGTAGAGGTCATTATGCGGCAGCGCTAGTTCTAGTTTGGGGTGACTTAGGTACGGACGGCGGACATCGGGTAAAGCGCAATGGCGTCTCAAAGTACAGCTTCACTCTAGACTCCCAATCTATCAGCCCCTGGCGGATTAAGAAAAAGCGGTGAATTCAATTGGCAGTTGTAGAAAGACAGCCTCGAGTACATTGTCTGAAAACTACATTCATACTGGCAGCCGCCGAAGCTGTAGATGGGAAGTTGCAACAGGTAGCAGCTCCTCCCATAGCGTGAAGCTATGTACAGAGTCTTTGCGTCGCAATGGAATACTGTGTTCTATTATTTATGTTTGCTTTCTGTCGTAGTTGTTAATCTGTAGTGTGTTTGAAGCTAATCCCCAGCGGCTACTTGCACTCCACATGAGGACGCGTGAGGACTAGCTTCAACCTAACAAAACTCACGATCTATCGCCCTTCCCACATTCTACATTCTTCTCCTTTCACACCTTCGCTACCTGGTTCCATGCTCGTCAGAGTCAGATCTCTGTATTATATACCTTATGCATGTGGACACGCGTTACGCTTCAATTCAACCACGTGCGATGTTACCCCTTTCCTGACCAACGCGAGCCACTATACGACGTCATGAGAAGAGATATGCGCGCTGCTCGAATGCATTGTAAGAGTACTGTCGCCGTGGCAATTGCAGCGTCTTCGATAGGTGTAATTACCACATGTCTCTGTACTATCGATGTGGCTTGCTCGGTCAGGAGCTGAATTCACTGTTCCTTTTCATCTAGCGGCAAGCTAGCTGACCTGCATTAGTCTCTCTAACTATATTCAGCCTCACATCGCCCGCGCCGAAGGTCCAGATGCAAGACCACGGTTGTGCTCTTTTGCTCCTTTGATGTGTGGAAAGTCCTACTTTGGATCGATACATAATCATATCCCTCCCTACTTGGGGCAAACTTCAGTCGCCCGTATCAGTTTCCAGTTAGCAGCTTGATTCACTCATTTTTCGTCCTTATTATATTCATAATGCTTAATATATCTGCTTGGGTCCTCGCAACCCTTGCTGTTGTCCAATTAGCACACGCAGCCCCACAAGGCATCAGTCGTTCCGCGCGCTGCGGTCCGTCTTTCGGACTTACTTGCAAAGGAAGCTCTTTTGGCAACTGCTGCTCAAAGTATGGGTACTGTGGCTCAACAATTAATCACTGCGACTCGAGCACCGGGTGCCAAGCCAGTTGGGGATCTTGCTCTTCGGCATCCTCACCTGCGGCGACATCAAAGATCTCGAAGAATGGGAAATGTAGCGGTGACAGTGGTGCAACTTGTCAAGGCTCTACCTACGGTAACTGCTGCAGGTGCGTGCTCGAACTGCTCACCAAGAGGCATATGCTAACACTTTCTCAGTCAGTACGGCTATTGTGGCTCGACGACCGCTTACTGCGGTAAAAACTGCAACCCACTGTTTGGCGCATGCTCTAGTTCGCCATCTTCCACTCTTGCGGTCTCATTGTCACCCTCAGCGGTCCCTTCTCCGGCGCTAGTTGTCTCCACCAACGCTCGCTGTGGTAGTGTAAATGGAGCCTTGCCCAAAAGCATGACATGCCGCGGATCAAAGTTTGGTAGTTGTTGCAGCCAACATGGTTACTGGTATGTGCCAGATATGTGTGCGCTTTTGATGATGCTGACCAGATTTAGTGGTACTTCAAAAGACTATTGCAATAATGGTTGTCAGTCATTTTTTGGTGATTGCAATGCAATGTCATCTTCCTCTCCCTCAAAGTTGGCCACACAGCCCGGTGTCTCATCTACGACTACTCTGGCTGTGGCCATAGTAACCTCCAGCACTACGATTGTCACTTCGCTCAGCTCAACTCCGTCAGCAGCTGTCACTGCTGTGAACCAGATTTCCTCGTTGGCCACCGTTTCGTCAGCTAGTGTGCTGTCTCCGCCCTCAACTTCTACAACCGCTCTCAGCACGACTACTCCTGCTTCACCAAGCAGTCCCGCTGCTCCATCCGAAACATTGAAATGCAAGGAAATAGGACGCTTGCGAGATACAGAGTTTCTTGCGAACATTGGTTTCACCAGGCAAGTCACCCTCGAACAATGCACAGCAACCTGTCTCGCGGCGCCCGCATGCACATATTTCATCTTCAGAAATGGAGCTGACTGTCTTCTCTTTGGTGGGAATGTCGCTACATCTGGACCTGTCGTCCCAAGTCCAGACTATAACTTGTATGAGAGAGGCTGTTTTGCCACAATGGTTTCAAGCTCGACATATCTGTCTCCGACATCCGTGATTTCCACTACCTCGTCAAGCAGTTCTGGATCTCCATCTGCTTCTCCGACACCTGCCGTCTCGGCTCCGCTCTGCGATGTGCGGGGATCTCCTGAACATGCGCAAAACATGTTCATAGGGGCATACCGAGACGACGAAGTTGGAACATGCTCATCCAGGTGCTTCAGGAGTCCGGAATGCACCTACTTCATTCTCCAATCTGGTTCGTGTTCCTTGTATAAAGGCGTACTCGCGGAGGGTGGCCTGATCATTCCCAACAACTACAATCGTCTGTACGAGAAGACTTGCTTCCAGACCGTGGCTTCGAGTTCGTCCGCATTTTATTCGTCAACTCAAGTCACCAGAAGCTCGACTTCGTCAGCCACGCCAACCAGCTCTACTCCAACTGAAACGACTACTTCTACAACCCCTTGACCTACACCGATCGCCCCACAGTGTAATGAACAAGGTTATGCCACCACCAGTCTTGGCGCCGAAAGCACCATTCCCCTCTCCGATGCTGAATTCTGTGGACGGGTATGTCGCCTCACCACGAAGTGTACGTTTTTTGTTTTCAGTCCCAGCTTGTGCACACTGTTCAGTGGCGTACCAGTGCCTGGTCCGTTTGTGCCGAATCCTGACAGTGTCCTGTATGAGAGAAACTGCTTTACGTGATGCAAGCTACTAGGTGGATGCGCGGTGCGAGGTAGCAACAAATTCAGAATTTACTCTAAATTTAGTAATAAGACAACTTTGAACTCAAACGGCACATAGTAATGCAATCCACGCTCAAGAAGTTCCGAATAGTTCTTGAGCCTACTTCTTGCGCAAAGATGACATGTCAGATGATTGGTTCTATCTACGTCTATGCGCCTCCACGCTACCAGTATCATCATCCTCAGGCACAAATCATCCTATCACGAGCGGCAAGGGACAGGGAAGAGGAGATCTCACTAGCTTTGCATTCATGGTTCAATCAGAAGGGGAGAAGGTGTTAGGTTCAAGATTAGTGAACCCCCAGGATTGTACCGTGGAGTAGACTATGAGGTACGGGTGAACGTCCGGCAGTTCTACAATTGAGAGTAGAAACTCTAAAGCAGCAAGGCGTCTACTGGAACGCTGCGGGGCAACCCTTCGAGAACTTGAGGTGTACTTGAGGCTCAAAAAGCTACCTTCGCGTCAGCGGCACTGATTATGTGTTGATGGGCAAGCAAACGCGTCCCGTCGGCGCTGCCACGTGACAGCAAAAGCTTGGCGCGACTACAATATTCGGTCTCGCCTTCGTTTGCGGACTTTTCTTTTTCACGACACTCTCACCTCCACCACAGTTGAAACGTCTTCAACATGCAAGCAAGCAGCGGTACCAACCCTCATGGGTCTAATGACCCCATCAGTGAGAAACCCTGTTCGATGACCACATTGCCTTTGGCCTCCACTGACACCCAGAAAGTTTCCGAGCTCGAACAGAAGCTCAACACCCTGTCTGCCGAGATGACCCGACTTGAAATAGCCGCTCTCTCAGGCCAGTATTCCCCTTTGCCCATGTGGGATCTAGCAACCATGATGCAAAGTACACGATACCCCCTACTCATGGAGCGGTATTTCGACCTTCAAAAATCGGGCAGAGACCGGATTGAGGCTACACTGGATCGAGCAAGATCCGCGAAGCCATTCTTGGGATTCATGCAAACTGACATCCCAAACAAACCAACAAAAGCCCCCGTGGCACCCACGGGCACACATGGACCAGTTTCGGTCGCAACACATGCACCAGATCCGGTAGCAAAAGCCGCAATACCAGCGCAGACCCAAAGACCAAACACACATGCTTCTCCACCTCGAGGAATACCCGTGGTCAAGTTCACATCCGAGCTCATTTTCGCGACCAGACCAGCCGCAGAGAATCTGCCAGGCGCGCCAGCACAGAGCTTGCACGAAAACAACACCTCGCAGACACCGTTGCAGAATCGCAATGTTACCCCACAAAACAAGGACACTCCCGGGAAAGGGAAGAACCCATGGCTTGAGTCCCGCGAAAAGGCCGGCTTGCCGGTCAAGTTTAGGGCACCGTCCAAGGGCGGCAAGATTGACCCAAGACTCATCACGATAGGCTGGAGTCGCTTTCAAAGCTACGCCGCACTTCCAAGGACAATGCCAATCATGCAGAATGGCCAGCCGGTCAAGGATCACGACGGCAACGACAGAGTCGCAAAGATCATGAATCCCGCGGACTATGGCGGTAACACTTACTACGATCTTGGCCTCTGTGAAGCCTGGTTCTTGCATGGCGACTGTGTTGATTGGGGTCTCTGTCCCTGCAGACATTGGTTTTTCGACGCCACAGAGAGGAGATGGGTCCTTGACGCCTTCTTAACGAAGATGTCAGGAACTTTCGAGGGGCCATGGCTCCCTCCAGACGACGACGCCTCGGGATATGTCGGTATCCCACGTGAGTACATTTCTGGACGAGTCTTCGAGCCAGAGCACTAGCGAGTGCGCTGACACCAAAATGAACGTGACCTGATCCGCACAAGATCAGTGATAGTCTCGGAAGAAATGGATGCTCACAATGCAGCCAACGCACCAGCTGGTGCTCAGCCCATAAAGAGAACTGGAGAGAGCATGAAAAACCGTTGGAGGCATTAGTCGGAAAACAGGCGCGTTTGACTATCCAATGCATATTCCATTCCTGCAGTGTGCTCCATGAAACTGTTCCCATTAAGTGAAGTATGACTCGTCGTGCACTGCATCCAGCCCTACACTCATCTCTTGCTGTTTTGAGCTTGTCGTTTGTCGCGCGGAGACGCAGCGGTGGTGGTGAAGGATCTGACTTCAGACCTCATGCGGGGTGTCGAGGCAATGCGTGAGATGATGTGGGAGTGGAATTCGCTGTGATAGGAGAAGGAAGGCTTCCCGGGTTGAGCTGCTCGGTCATAAGATGGAGATAGCACTAGCGTCAATGTACGCCAAAATAGTTGTATCGCATCGTGTCTTCCCGCCCACAACTTGGATGCCCTCTAATCCTTACGCTTCTGATACCAAGACGATCTCAGCCATGCTCCGCAGGTCTTTGACTACAACGTCATTCGCGTTCCGCAGATCCTTCACCACCACCGCTCGTCTCCGCGCGACAAACGACAAACCCCCAGCTAAGAAGCCAACCTCGCGACAACCGCCGCGTCCTCGCGATGAACACCAGTCCAAAGAGAATACGAGGAATGGACAAGAAGAAAGCGTGTTAGACAGGATGAAGGCCGAATTCGATCCGAAATCACCGCACTCCACACTAGGTTTTGCGAACCCAAAACTCTCGTCTGAGCAGCGGTCAAGAAATCTGTTCCTGGTCACACTGGCCACATTCTTTGCGTTTGTCACCGAGCCATTGATGATATCTGCGGAGCAAGACGAGTGGTTCCCGAGTCGTGAGGCGTTTTTGGCAGACCTGGTACGTTGGAAGCTCTCTATGAGGGTCGTGAGATGATACCTGACATGCTTGAGTAGATAACGTCCACTGTCATACAATCGCGCAAAGAACAAGACAAGGAGTCACGCATAGCTGGCCTATGATCAGAGGAAGCGTGGCCCAGCGCATCCATTATGCCTGCCAGGAACACGATGGGGGATGTGTCTCCCGATGAAGGGTTGCAGCGAACAACGTGATACGCGAATTTAATTGATTGAAATCACATGAGTGGCTGTTTTGGGACGAGAAGGCTTTGTGCTGTCTTCCACGAGCAGACCACAATCTCACACCAATTCCCTCGCTGGGACAGGAACGGCTACTCGAGTCGATGTCGAGATACGGATTTTCTACACACGATACATCTCTCTTGTGCTCCAGTGCATTCCACCGACGTCAAAACCGTACAGCCTGGTCCTCTACCTCCCGATAGAATCGGCGAAGGCGCACGCCTTTGTTAGAGCCGCTGCTCTGGATCTGTCCTGTCCAAAGGCCAAAAGATGTTTTCCTAAAGCCGTTTGATCGGCTCTTTGGTGAAGGACCCGACATCTTCGCCTCGTGTAATGTACCAGCAGATCCAGGTGATCCAACAAAAGATAACGTCGAAGCCAACGCTGCTGACTGCTGGGTGCTCAAGGAGTGCATTCTGGATCCCCACGAATCCACCATAGGATACGGCCGCATAAGTCGTCTTGAGCATCATAAGTGCAGCGTTGCCAAGGGTTAAAGCCCACATGTAGCCAAAAACCTTGTCTTCAAAGGCCAAATCGTTCTCTGGGAACCAGTTCTCTGGAACTAGCGCACGTGCGAAGGGTGTGACGAGAAGCGCAACATGCGGTATCAGTAGGACGGGCATGAAGTCGGTAGAGTGGTACCAGTAGTGCTCATCTGCAAGAAGATATGCTGGGATCGTAGTTGCGAGAACCGAGGCCAGATTCAGGAGCCATGGGCTGATCCAGCTTGATCGCTGGGGTCTGGTAGATGACACTGACGGCGTCGGTGGGCTCAATATCAACGTAAGAAGAAACAAATTTGTTGCGAAACTGATCGCCACGATTTGCCCGAGAAGCATGAACGCCCAAGTGTACTTGATATTCCGTCTGACGCCTATGATCATCAGCTTTCATCGTTCACACCTGTGAACAACCAATCTTACCTCTCTGTTCCATATAAATACCCAGCCCTAATGCAAAAAAGAAGATCTGGTGGCTCCACCAATATCGCGCGTTGCCTACCACTACCAGCTCCCACGCTTCATGGAACAGGCTGGTCTCTCTCAACCAGAGTCCCCAGTGTCTGTGGTGCGGATCAAGTTCGTAGTAACTCCGCCACATCAACCATGTCTTGTAGCTCACGTTGAAGTACTGGATCATGAATCCCCATGTTGTCAGCAGACTTCCAGCTGCAAGTGCGCTGAACAGCCACACCTGCTTTCTGGGCGGCGGAGTTAATATAGTCGACTTCTTCAGCACAGTATTCTTCTTGACGATCCTCTGAATAATGAATACCGACACGCTGAAACAAGTCAACATGTACGAGAAGAAGATCAGATATGGTCGCGTATTGGTGTCCGCGCCATCGGGAGGAGGTGTGCGATTCATGTAGCGTTGAGGAATGGTGTAGCCAGGCGGGCCGAAGCTAGGAGGCGCCATGGTGAGGTTGTCTTCGGAGAATTATCAGTGTGCGGCATTACGTACATTGTCAATTGTCGAGCTTTTATGTACGAGCTGATGCGTGATGAGATGAAAACGTGTTCACTGCAGGCTAAAGGCTCGATTTGCTGTGCCGGTAATGCGCATTGATTAAAAATACATGCTGATATCAGGCGTTCAATCTTCAGGGTTCGGCATGGGGAACTGTCGGTAAGGCACCAATCAGCGTCATGGCGGTGTGATCGCGGAAGGAAGCATCACGTGGTGTGGGGATGAGGCCCACGTGGTTGCGCCGCCAAGCGCCTCGGTCCACCAGTTGCATCATTGCGGGTTCTAGGAGGTTCTGGTCTTCAACATTAAGCTTCCTTGAATTTCTTCGCGAACTTCAAGACTGTTCCCTTCAAACCTCGCATCAACATTGAATCTGTTTGTCTGTGTTCTCATCAATTGCAATTGTCAAACTTGAAACTAGCGTTGTGATGTCAGACACACGGACCCTTTGAAGTTTTGCTGAGCACGTTCATTGGTTGTCACTTCAACCTCACCGCCCAATACAACAGCCCGATCGTGCAGTTCTCTTCTCTTAAACCCTTTCGTTGTAGCTTTCCCGACAGGCTTTTCACAAACTTCCAATATAGCCTGCAACTATGACGGACACACCACAAACGACAGCTGGGGCCGACCCTAAGGAGGCCAGGGTTCTCGAGCAGCATCTGGATCCAGGATACGCTTTCGCAGCAGAATTCGACCCGCAGACACCCTTTACAGATGACGCACCTGGTAGCTCTTCCAATTCCGTACGGCCAGGTGTTGAATCGTCTCTACAACTGCAGGGTGGCGACATCCACCGTGACCTCTACAAGATCGCTGGACAAGGCAAACGAGCCAAGATGCATCAACGAGCAGCTACGTTTTCGCACACGCACGAGTTTGTGGCACCGTCAGAGTCCGATTTCGACCATGATGAGCTCCCAGTCACGGATCAGTTAGCGCCTGGAGGTATGAGACGACAGTTCCTGCAACGGCAAAGCAAACGTGTTAGCTACATTTCAGAACCTGTGACCAGGAACTTTATTTCTTTCCTGGAGCTCTATGGCAACTTCGCTGGTGAAGATCTTGAAGAGACGGACGACGAGGATGCAATCGCAGACGACGACGAAGAGGGCGAGCGCCGCCCTCTACTTGGCCGACGACAGAGCTCTAAAAGGCTGAGGGAACGTGGCGATGCCTCGCAAATTAAGACATTCTTTACGCTCCTAAAGGCTTTCATCGGTACAGGTATCATGTTCTTGCCAAAGGCATTCAAGAATGGTGGAATGCTGTTCTCGACCATTACCATGATCATAGTAAGCGCGGTCACGGCGCTTTGCTTCGAGCTGCTCCTGTCCTGCAGGAAACAGTACGGTGGAGCCGGTTACGGAGACCTTGGAAAGTCAATCAGCGGACCGAAGCTGCGCGCACTCATTCTGGTTTCCATCACACTGTCCCAGCTCGGCTTCGTCTGTGCAGGTCTCATCTTCACAGCAGACAATCTGGCATCGTTCGCCGACGCCGTCAGCAAGTCCAGGGGCGAGCCACTATCAACCAACGCCCTCATCGGCATCCAGCTTATCGTTCTGATCCCGATGTCATTCATCCGTAACATCTCCAAGCTTGGACCTGCCGCTCTCCTGGCCGACGTATTCATCCTCATTGGCCTGACCTACATCTACTGGTACGACATATCCTCCATCGTCAACATGGGCGGCTTCCACCCCTCTATCGAACAGTTCAATCCTCGCGACTGGACCATGACCATCGGGTCGGCCATCTTCACCTTCGAGGGTATCGGTCTCATCCTGCCCATTCAATCGAGCATGAAGCAACCCGAACACTTCAGCAAGCTCCTTTATATCGTCATGATCATCATTACGGTCATCTTCACCTCCGTCGGTGTGCTCTGCTACGGTACCTTTGGAGAGAACGTGTCCGTCGAGGTGATCACCAACTTCCCGCAATCCAGCAAGCTCGTCAACGCTGTGCAGTTCTTGTACGCTATGGCTGTGCTGGTTGGTACGCCTGTGCAACTCTTCCCCGCGCTTCGTACAATCGAACTCAAGATTTTCGGTCGCGCATCTGGCAAGCAGAGCAGCATGACCAAGTGGAAGAAGAACGCTTTCCGCACCTCGCTCGTTCTGTTCACTGGTGTTGTTGCTGCAGTTGGTGCGAGTGATCTCGATAAGTTCGTCGCTCTCATTGGAAGTTTTGCCTGCGTACCGTTGGTGTATATCTACCCAGCATACCTGCACTACAAGGGTGTCGCCGACCGACCGTGGGCAAAGGCCGGAGACATTGCGATGATGGTCGTTGGTCTCGTGGCGATGGTGTACACGACAAGCATCACAATTGCGAGGTGGGCTGAGACGTAATACAAGAAAATGTGGATATGTGGGCGGAAAAAGTTATTGTTGCTGAAATTGGCTACTTGCATGATCGCGCGCATGGCGTTGTGGGATCTGTTATTTGATATGGTGTTTTAATAGCGAGCATGTATTATAATCAGCGTATGCAAAGCATTCTTATCATGCGACATATGCGCCCTGATCTCGCTTGATTACACATAAGTCATGATGAAAGCACCGCGATGACTACCCTGAACGCCTTGTGTCTACCCCACTCAATCCGCAACCGAGCATACCAAGACAGTACCTGCAGTCCCTCGTACCACACTAGTCTCAATGCCGCGAACCATCGATCTGCAGCCACATACTGCTGTGCAACAAAAGACTCAAGAGCTCTGGGGAGCCGAGTTCAATGGCGCCTAGATCTACATCCCAACCTGGAATGCGATAAGTCATCGCCGTCGTTTTTTGGACGCCGATGAGGCTGAGAACTATACTGCAATAGGCTAAAACGCGGCTGTTGACGGCGTGCGATAAGATAAGGTGGGGATGTGGGGTTCTTGCGCCTTGTGGGCGTGCGACGACAGGGAGTAGTTCTCAGGAGCTCTTGAGATGGTTCAGATGCTTTTTCTCACGTCTATCGATTGGCAATTCGATATGCTTGCTCCAGTGACTTTAGTTGTGCTGCTCCCTTTCCTGCTTCTAGGTCATGTCATCTACAACTTCTTGCGTAATCCGTTGCGTAAGATCCCGGCTGCACATCCATTGTCACATTTTACATCGATTTGGATTCATTCGATAAGGTGGCGTTCTGTCGAGAATGCGACACTCAAAGAAGCACACGATCGACTAGGCCCGATAGTATGTCTCGGACCCAATGAGATCAGTGTGAACTGCGTCAAAGGAGGTATCAGAGAAGTATACGCGGGAGGGTTCGAGAAGGAGAGCAGCAATGGAGGATACAATTGGTATTCATTCTTTGCGAACTATGGCGGGTAAGTCACACTGAACTTGCTGGCGCGTTATCATTAATAACAGGCAGTGTCGACAACATGTTCTCCATCGGCGGCAACAAGCCTCACTCAATGCGCAAGAGGATGATCAGCAATATCTACAGCAAGTCAGTGGTCACGGCATCTCCTGTGCTGCTAGCTCAGATGTCAACCATCATGTACAAGCGCTTTTTGCCTTACCTTGAAGGAGTATGTCGCAAAGACGGTTGCGTATTCAACATCTATGCGCTTCTCAGCGCCTCCACCATGGACATTGTCAACGCCTACATCTTCGGTCTCAAGGCAAGCTCCAACCTCATCGACAACGCAGATCAGCTGACGTGGTTCCTCGGCCTCTATAACTCGCGCAGATCCTACAACTTCTGGCCGCAGGAATTCCCAGCCTTCAGTAGCTTCGTCGAGAAGTGGTTGGGTTATAGGTTCGCGCCGAAGTGGGTCGAAGAAGCGAACGAAGAGATCGAAAAGTGGACGCAGGAAATGTGCGAGGGTGCTGGACTTGTGTTAGCACAGGGTGAAACAGAGGCAGAAGATACTCCAGTCGTGTACCAGCAGCTTGCGACGGCTCTGACCAAGGAGGCGAAGAAAACGGATCTCGAGAAGACTGACTTCGCTCCGGTACTGGCCAGTGAAGTGCTCGACCATTTGGCAGCCGGTTTCGACACGTCGGGCATCACCCTGAACTACCTTGTCCACGAACTGTCGCAGCGCAACGATGTGCAGTCTCGTCTTCAGGACGAACTTCGCACGCTTTCACCTCGTCTTTCACCTTCTTCCGCGCCAAGCTTGCCCGACCCAAAGGCGATCGACACACTGCCATTCCTACACGCTGTGATCTGGGAGACGTTGCGTCTGCACTCTGCTATTCCAGGCCCGCAGCCACGCTTTACGCCACCACAAGGATGTCGTCTAGGGTCTGAAGAGCAGTCGTACTACGTACCCGGTGGTGTAAGGATCAGTGCCAGCGCTGGCTTGCTGCATGCGAACGAGGAAGTGTACGAACGCGCGAGCGAGTGGAGACCGGAGCGATGGCTAGACATGGAGCGTCTCGACGAGGAGAAGAGGAAGGATATGGAAACCAGATGGTTCTGGGCGTTCGGCAGGTCAGTGACCCGAACAGGTTTGCAGGGCGATTGACTAACCTTCACAGTGGCGGACGGATGTGTGTTGGGAGCCATTTGGCAGTCTACCGTAAGTGGCTGAAATTCCTCTGTCTTGGACCATCTGCATGCTGTAGGACGCCTGTTCGTTTGCTCTATGCCCATGTGCAGCAGAAACCCGGCGTGCCTTGTGTCGCCGACTGCGAGCTAACGTTCAGGCAGAGATGAAGTACATCGTGGCGGCGTTGTATTCCAACTACAGCACATCAATCGTCGACGATTCCGGCATCGAACAGACTGACAGCTATACAGCCCCACCGCAGAGCGATAGGCTGATGATCAGATTAGAGAAGCTGGCGAATTGAGGCACGTGCTGTGTTCCAAGCAAGGCCCATGATTTCCGCAGCTGAAGCCCCGATGATCGGTGGTCCTTGGAGGACTTCGAGGCACTCTACAAAATCTGCAGGGTGGAGGTCCACAATCGGACGATTGGTGTCGGAATCACCTACCGGAATGTTGAGGGGATCCAGAGTTGTACCACGGTAACCGCCAGGCAGCAAAAAACGAACTCCGATCAATGTACTGATGTGGAGCCTTTGATGTTCACATGATACTTTGGTCTGTGAATAATGTTTCAAGATAGCTTGTCATCATAATAGCGATACTAGACTGAGCTTGCTTACTTGAAATGGTGTAGAAAGTGCATTAGTGTGAATGTGCCTTACATTTTCGTCCAGGAAGGGCCCGCTCGACAACGGACCACATGCTTCCAGGCTTTTAAATATGCTTTTACCAAGTAAACGCACGATATCGATCTGTCCATCGACGGAATCGCACGGAAAAGTCCTACTTCGACATCCCTACATGTCGGGGCTCCAGTCTTTGTCGGCTGCGCGAGTTCCCCCCATTGGTGTAACATGGCCTAGCCCTCACACTGTATGCTGCTGATCTTCTGGCATCCCATCGCATTTATGAGTAAATCACGTCGTCACGAGGTCGTGACTGATCGAGGCAGGGCTATGCCAGTGAGCGGCTAGAAGCGGGGACGGGCTGTGAGCACAAGCCGTGATGTGAACATTTCCTCGATGACTTCAGCTTGCCCGGGTACTTTCAAGCGGGATGCCTGACCCTGATCGAGTCTCATGTATACCGTAAAGGGTAGGGAGGGGTTTTCTATGTAGAACCACTGCTGACACTGTGTCGTCACTAACGGATAGTGCCGCAGTTGCATCTCTTCTAAAGCAGTGCTCGTAGCACTTGGACAACTGCTTCGTGCGAAAGAGATCTAATACATTCTCAGATCGTGGTAGCATGCTCATGGAAACCTGGAAAGCTCCGAAATGGGTCCATACGAGAACAGAGCTCGGCAGTCAATATCGTATCATGGCTCATCTTGATCGGTGTGTCGCTCGAAGCACTTACATGATACACAATCCCGAAGTAGTTGCCGATAACTCTGAACAGAAGCCGCAGGTTGAACGTGGTGAGGATTGCGAGATGGCAAACCGTAGCCTGACCTCCAAGCTGAGGCGCTATAGTGCCTTACTCTGCTGCAGGCACCCGGGCCACGTCCCTCAATATCAGACTAAGCATTGCTGATCGCTTGTTTCAACATGCCGAGAACCGCCTGATTCCGAAGCATACACTTCGCAGATGGGCCGGCGGCTTCACGAAGCTGAGCAGGCATCAACTCAGCGTAATGGAAGAATCATCTGCCGTGATAAAGCTGCATTGATTGTTTTGATGATGTTGGCTGAATCATGTGGGAGAGATCGGAATGCATAGGCACGGCCTACCCCACATGTGCTATAGTAGCCTGCAGAGCCGGCCACTCGCCGGTTGTTCGTGGAGGTTGCGGACATGGAGGGCGTTCGAAAGGACACCGCGCGACAGAAGACGCTTATGCAGCATTGTGGGATGGAAACTGTAGGAGACACTGGGTCCTTGTGAGCCTCGTTCGATCGAGAACGCACGACAGATCATGGCGACATTCCCAGCACATACATCCGGGCTGGCGGTGCGAGTCCATGCGGAAAAATGCGGTGGGTGCTCCCTGGAGCTGTGGGGAGAGGCGCTCGCTCGAGCCGCACACTTGCCTGTGACGTGCAATCTACCGTGTCTCAGGTCGAAGTTCGGTGGAGAAATATCTGCACAGCATTGTGCAAGGTAGGCGAGATCGTAGATTAAATGCATACAGGGTCGATGTTGGAAGTTGTTGTGTGGTGCGGAGGGCGCCAACGGCGGCATCGTGGCCACCTTTAGTGTTCGCGCTCAAGGACCTTCAAATTCGACAGACCTGGACATGCCTTGAGCACACCACGGAGCGAAACATCCGCAGATATCGCTTCCGCCGAGGAGGGTCCTGACGAGGATGTAGCAGCCAGATTGCCGTGCCGCAGCAATGCAACATCTGCAACGATAACCCGGCGTGCTGACCCGGCGACAGAGCGTTGCTAAGGGACAGGGGCGGCTATAGTGAGATGCTGTCAGAGCATGAGTAGCCGACACGCCGTGCGTGGAACAGGCATGCTGAGTGCTCACTCGCTGAATGTTTTGTGGCTAAAAAGAAAGGACGGGGGCCGCGAATGGTGGTGTAACGTCGTAGAATTCTGTCGTCAAGCGAACAGACCATCGTGTGTTCCGAGCATCTCATCGCTCTTGCATCCCTGGAGAAATCTTCCCAGCCACCACAGACTCGACGGCGATCTCTCTCCACTTGCATAATGACAGCGTTCAGCGACATCATATCCAGACGTGTGTGCTCCCGTGTTCGGGACACCAGGCTAAGCATTGCCCATGCATTTTCGTCAAAACTCTGCGCTCATCAGCCGCATTGAAGACCTCCCGTTCTGCATTAGGAGGACCTGGCATGGACAAGGAAGAACAGACACTACCAAATGTCTCATACGTTTTGCATGACGTGAGCATGCAGCTCCAGTCGTCTCCTGCCTGTGTCGACTGCTGTGAGGGCCAAGTCATCGGTGCTATACGTCTCAAGGCCGCCATGAGGTGCCGCCATAGAGCCTGGGTGACAGCCGCCATGTGCTTGGACTCTTTGTACGACGAAAGCTGCCGAACAGAGGTCGGCTCGAGACGGAATGCAGTATGCTCTGCTTATTGCACTCCTCGATGCGTGGAGGTTACGGGTCTATGGAACTCCGAGCTTAACAAAACCGTGTGGGGAAAATATCATCTTCGGCTCGGACGGCGATTTATATACCGCCTTTCAAGTAGAGTAGTTTCGATGGCTAAATTCCGAGCGTTGTCTGGGTGTATACAAGCCAGGATCCCGCTCCCGGGTCCCCCGTTCAATGCCCTGGTTGTGCCCAGAGCTTCCTCGAACCTGGGATTGCCGTAGAATCGAAGCACTGCGGAGTTCCAAATGCATCCATGTCCTGCTGCTTCTCAACCAGTCTGTGCAGCGCTCGATACTCTTCTCGGCTGCATGGGAGATCCTCGCTTTGGCTGAATGTGACAGCGGATCGTTATTCCTCCACGCTAACAGGCCTGGGGTGATCACCGACTTCATTCAATACATCACTGGTCATATAGAGCTCTTACTGTACTTTGCCGCTTTACGTGCGGCTTCACACAGTTCTTTAGTCTCTCGTTCCCCGCGCCTTTGCTCGTGCTTACACGCGCGCCAGCGGGCTGGACAAGCCTCTCTAACCCGGTATTTCGCTGAGCATATACCGTTCTGTCGTTTTCGCTCATCTTCGGTGCGTCAAATTACAGATCCTATGGTTGTAGAGGCAATTTCCAGCCGCAGTACACTTTGAGCGCCACGCGGCAAGACATCCGTTGTGCAGTCGCCCAAGGCGTCCAAAGACGAAACCAAATCTCGAATTTCACCATACCAGAAGGCCATATCGTACAGCGCTTTTGACTGGTCGAACTAAAAGTTGGTTGCATGATCACGCCGTCGCTCGTTCATCAGCTAGCTCGCCAAATCCGGTAGCGACCGATCCTGTTAGTCGAGATCTCGGCACCCGTTGAGCTTCACACAGGACGCAAGCAACAAATCTCTCGTGAAGCTGGTGGATCTGGAATAGGACGATTGCGTAGTGCTTCAATCCTGGATAGCAGACAAGGCGGATTTGACTCGCCGACCTTTACGGTGCTCTTCGTTCCAAGGGTCCAGCTTCCAAATTGACCATAAGTCTCTGGGTCACTCATCCCATCGCCTCCTGCACGCTTCGCTCATAATACTTGGCTTTCCTAAGGACTGCACTGCTCCACTTCGTAGGCCATTGTGCAGCGCTACCACCTCAGAGTGCAGGAAACGGTCCCGGTTTTGTCCCCTCGACCAAAAGGAATCAGTATCATCGCCCAGTACCACTTCGCGACGCTCGTGGAAAGTAAAAGCAAGCCGAGGAATATCGTTTGCTATGCTGTGAAGGAACAGGTGGCCAGCATTGAGGGCTGTGGTCAAGTCTGTCGAAGCCCTGTTGGATCAAACAGAAAGGACGAGGAGTTGAGGAGTTTCGCTATCGCTCGCTGCTAAAGAGCCGTTGCGCTTTCTCCCGTTGGTGATCCGTAGTTTGCGGTGGAGGCGGTTCCCCATACCAGGCACGCCATCAACCGATCCCGTACCAAGCTGTGAGCCCCAGCTCCACTTCTGTGCTGAACTTCGACGGCCTTCAACCTCAGGTAAAGCCTCAGCAGAGACAAAACGCCTCACGAGGTTTGCACGCCAACATCGACTATAGTAATAGACGGACAGAAGACTCGGGCTCTATACCTCATTTCATCACTCGAGCTGTGAGACAGCTGGGAAGTTGCCATTGCATCGACGAAGCACAGTCACCACACACAAAGACCAACGCATCCTCGCTACCAGTATTCTTTCACTTAGCTCGTCGGACACTGCGCTTTCGCGTCACCACTATACACTCCAGGCCGATTAAGATACGCACTGTTCATGTGGAGATCAAGTCCACGCATCGATCTGTCCTTTCAAGAATCCTTGAGCATACCCTAAACAACCGCTGGTACTTTGGTTCACGAAAACTGGTGTTGCACCCTCTACGCTGATAGGCCGCATCGACGTCTATTGCTCCACCGTTGTTGCGCGCTCTATTTTCGACGTACCACGGAAGCTGAGGAGCTCGGAAGGAGCAAATCTGGGTCAAGCAAGCGTAAAGTCCAACGGTACTTCCTCGAGTCTCGACCTTGCTCTTGCATTTTCTCCGTCTCTCCTCCCTTCGCCATCACCCCATCTCAATTTCAACATACCTCGCATAAATCTTCCCATGGTAGATTTGCGGTCCATCCCACCACCATCAATACTCAGTCCGTCACATCATCATTCGACCCATCATCTTCCGCCACTGTCTCGAACATGTTTGGTAACTACCTTACTGGTGGTCTACCACACGCGATGCCTTCGTTAATGGCACCTGCGATGCCCTCTGTTGAACCTGTGAGAGTCGGGCAGTGCAAGCTGGTCGTGCGTCAACAACCATACGAAGCACTCGTCTCTATCGAGGGCAAGGAAAAGTCTCGCAAGCCCATCGATCCTCCGCCCATTGTCGAGCTGCAGGTAAACAACCCATCGGATCCTGGCAGGCAATGGCTCCAGAGCCCATACTTCTTCGTTGTCGTGGACTTGATTGAGAACGGTAGAAGCAAGCGCCGGGAACCGGATGCCATGATAGGACCTTTGACGGGTACGCTGACCTCATCACTACACCGCCTCAAGGACAGTGACAACATTGACAAAGGCTTCACGGTCTTCGCTGATGTCTCGGTTACTCTCGTGGGCACCTTCAGACTCCGCTTCAGCCTCTTCGAGCTGCAAAGAAACGGCACAATGTCGATGTTCCTGGCCAGTGTCGACAGCGAAGAGTTCAACGTTGTCGCCGCAAAAGACTTCAAAGGCATGGCAGAGTCCAGCGTCCTCTCAAGGTCCTTCTCTGACCAGGGAGTCCGCCTTCGTCTTCGCAAAGAACCTCGCGGATTGTCGGGCAACAAGCGCAAGCATGGTGCAGCTGCTTCCGAGGAGAAAGACAAGCCCGACCGACAAAATCAGACGAGCGATCCCTCATCCTACGACGAGAAATCTTCTCCAGTCAAGAGGTACAAGTACGAGACCGACGAACGCAAGGACAGCCTTCCGACAGTCCCTCACGCCAACGTCAACTCGTCCGCCAACATGAACTCATCCACCAACATGAACTCGTCCGCGTACAGCAATCCCTCCTTGTACAACCCGCTTCCGAGCTACACATCACCTAGCCATGCTTTGTCCAGGCAAACCGCGCTTCTAACCCCCTCGCATTCAGCAATGCCTGGTTACAACTTCAGCAATGTCGGATTGCAGGGCAACTTTCCCCGCACAACAATGGGAGCCTCACAGCAATACCAACAACGGTTGCCCGTTGCGAATTCACCAGCCCTGTACAGCCAGCAAATGTACCAGAATCCTCCCAACAGCACCATTTCGAATGGTTTGTCGCATAATGCAGGAGGTCTGTCACAAAATACAGGATACAGCAACGATAGCAACGTCTTCAAATATGTTGGACAGCGCATCTACCCCACCTACCCCGACAACAACGACTTTGATGGAAATCCCTCGTTCCATCATGGTCAGTAGTCCTCTCACGAGGACATCTCCTTCGTCTGCCCTGTTCATCATCCGGATGCAATGGACAAGTCCCTCTTCCGAGACCCAGTCCGTCAGCAAATGGTGTTTGATGCAAGGCTAACGTGCAAACAGGAGAGGTTCGGCGCAAAGGAAATAGGAGACGGGCACGAAGTTACGACTCTCACGCGCCAACTGACGGCGGAATGTAATAACGGCGTTATGGTGCTTTGGGCGCAGTTTTTCTACTTAGAGTTTTTCCTTCTCGCAGGCTCGTCTAGCATGGACGAAGAGTCTCGCACAGTATCGGCCATCGGCGTTGACGAGTTCCATCATTTGCGTGTCCCATGGGCACATCTAATGGAACGAGTAAATCTGCACGCATAGCGATCGGAGTTGGTTAAAAGGGTCGCACTATACCCCAGCAGTGATATTCTCCTGCAGGACAAGGGGATTTCATTCTTCTTTTCTGATTACATTTGTTTTACATTTGGTTCACATTTGCTTTCACTCGGGTTTTACGGCCTTGGGCCACCTAATGTTGTTGTAATGTGTTATCATCATGGTTGTTGTTTTGTAGAGGAGCAGTCCTTCAATGTGGAGTTGATCCAGTCCCGATATTGCTTTAATATATTTATTAGTTTTTGTTTTCGGGTCTATCGCGAGCGAAGGAAGTGAGGATGTTTTCGATTTTGCACCGGACTCTCTCGTAGGCCATCCCACGCCTCGGTTCTTAGAAGATTACGCTGAGTATCTTCGTGTATGGTCGGCAGACGTTTGTGATTACAGTTCGTCTCGCTTCACCTACACCTACATACAGAACTACTAGTGGGATCTGCATACGTTATGGTTTCGTGCCAAAGGGGTCTCGCCATCCCACGCCTCGGTTCCTAGAAGATTATGATGGGAGGTCTTCATGTTTGGTAGACGGACATTCGAGGTTTCAGTCGTCTTGTCTCACCCAAGCGGGGAACTACTAGTGGGATACGCGTACGTTGGTGTTTGGTACCTGCGAGGTCTTCATCTTCTCTTCCTTTGTAGATTTAGTTCCCTCCATAGCAATAAACTGCGGTGAACCAATTTGACCCGGCCCATTGTTGCGTGCTTGCGTCAATCAGAGAGGTCTACAATCACATGTCTGCTAACCACAGGGTAGGACTAAGGTGGAGAGCTTGGCTAACTTGCGATACGAATCCGAGATCTGATCTATGACTCCTTGCTGTTGGCCAAAACCCGAACTGTCGATCGAGCATCCACGTTCATTCACAAGCAAAGAAGACTATCAGCCCCATGCACAGTCAGATGGCCCTTACGCCTTACGGGACTTTTGCCGCTATTTGGTGTCACCTTACCTGTCAGTTGTCAGATCGCCGAGCTGTTTCGCGCTTAACCTTATGCACGACTCGGCTCTTGGTATCACAGACCTCCTTGCATCGGCTTCTGATCACAACATCTGGCGCTATGAGATATGGCCAGTCATCCACCCTCTCCCGGCTAAGCGAGCGGAGAGATCACATCGGCGAAGCCATCGTCATCCTCATCCGCATCCAGCTCGACCCATTCCTCAATCACAAATCCTGACCCGCCTGCAAAACGAGTCTGCCAAACGCCACATTCCAACCCTCGCGTAAACCACCCATTCTCGCACCATGTACAAGGATCTCCAAGGATCTCCGTCGCAAAATCACATGTGAACACGCCCCCTCCAATCCCACTGGCCCGGAGTCACCCACCCGCTCATCACTGCAACGTAAAGGTTCGGAAGACGGGCCTGCCCTGACGTGTACCACACACTGCTTGCAGCCAAGATGTCAAATTCTTCTTCCCCACGTGTACGCTGGACCCGATGCTTTGTTGCGTTTCCTTTTCCGGCGCCCATGTCGAAGAGCTTTTAGAGTTTGCGCCACACAGGCCTAGTCAAGGGATCGGCGCCGAGGAAAGCCGGTTTGACACGGCTGGCGTGCTGGATGGGGGTTAGGCGGGGATGACGCGCATGAAGATGCGGTCTCGTGATTTAGCGGTGGGTGTGTGGGAGCTAGAGGTGGTGGTGCGAGGGACTTGAGGGGTGATTAGAATGGTGGAGGATATAAGGGTGAGGAGGGTCAGAGGGAGGATGGAGGGGTAGAGAGAAAGCAGACACATGGGATTCACACTGCATGCAAGGTTAGGTCTTGGACTTGAAGCCTTCCAAGTTTGTCATTTGTGACCAGCTAGGAACATGTAAAATCCCAGAAAAGCACCCAGCTTGTCATGTCCGTTGACATGAAGTAGGTTCCTTGCAGATACATCGATTGAGGATGTCTGTGCGATGGGTCCACGACGGGAGAATACGTCAACCCAAAACCATTCCTTTTCACCAGAGCGTGTGCTTCGCGTGTAAGTTTGTCAATCTTGTATTGTCCGTGAGACATCCCGGAAGAGTATCAAGGATGTTACCAAGTCTGCTGATGCGCGTTTGAGATGACAGCACAAGCTGTTTCTAGTCGTATTGCGCAATCAGAGACCCATACCTCTTGCCATTGACTGTGACGAAGAACTCCAGAGAAGCCTGCATAGAGATGTTGACAACGCCTTCAATGTCGTAGAAGCGCTTGCCGTTTGTGCTGATCATATGCTCTAGGCAGGATTCAGGCACATCACTGTAGTCAACAGTAAGCGTTGCCACTCGATAGACTGCCTGGTGATATGTGAGCGCTGCTAGAATTTGGTATATGTGACTTGACTTACAGTGTCATGCTCCCGCTGTGGTGCGGTGTCACTGTCGCAGGCGACAAGATCCCACTGCATTCGACGTGAATCGCCAGGCCAGAAGCTTGATGACACTGTCGCCGATGCATGGGTTGCCTGGTCGGCTTTCAGATCTTGACCTTTCGCAACTAACCACTCCATCTGATCCATTGCCATCTTCCGACCATCAAACTCGTCGTAGTAAGCCTCGGAAGCTCTATGCTTGCGACGACTGAAAGGGGCAGACATAGAAGTTCCATAATGACGGCGGCTCTTACGTGCTAAGATTGCACCGTCCTTGCCCTCGAGACCTTTTGCCGCGGCACCTCGCGCTACAGCTGACCAACTGAGCGAAGTTAGTTTCAACTCATAATGATGTAAGGATGGTTGGTACGTACGCATAACTCGGCTTGATAGTAGCAATGTTGCTTTGCTCCATATACTCCTTGATCTTGCGATGCATGTAGGGCGATTCGGAGAAGCCACCAACCAAGAAAACGTACTACAAGAGATTGTTAAAATCAGGGTATAATATGATACACGATTGTGTCTCATAAGTACAATTAGTAGAAAAGTTCTTACCTTGATATCAACTTTGTTCTTCCTTGCTCGCTGTAGTTGCTCGTTGAGAAGTTCATAGGTACGGCAGATCGACGTCTCGAACATTGAGGTGGTGTCTTCTCTGTACTCTTGTCAGTGATAATAGACACAAGGAATTTGCTGTACTGACGCAGTGACCGTTATTTCGCCGTCGCGTATGCCTCTGGCCTTATCTTCCTCGATCGCGCTCAGAGGATTCGGTAGCACTAAATATCCGGTCTCAGTGCCAGAAAAGCCGGTTTTGACCTCCAAAGTGAAGTCCTGGAGTATCTTGGCCGCTTTCTTGCTCAACGAAATCCTTGGAATCTGTTCACTGCGACAGCCCGCGATCTTGACGAAGTCTGATGTCCCTAGGCGACATTCGAGCCATCTCAAGAATGCCCTATCCACGAAGATACCGCCGCACTGAGCCCCGTTACCGACTGTAGCTTCTTCGATGATGGTAGGTTGTAAGCTCTTGACCCGATACGCGATCAGGTCCACCGTGCCGCCGCCCATGTCGCACACTATGAAGCCGTCGCCAATCGTGAGCTGTTCATTCTGCGCAGTGCCGCGAAGAGTGCGCATTGTGTAGATAGCTGCAGCTTCGGGCTCTGTCGTGACCAGAAGTGGAGTGTTCAGCTGGGGGAACGAGAGCTTGTTGAATCCAGCCTTGTCGACGGCTTGAAGAGTGCGATTTTTCGCGCCGTCAGACCAGACCGCCGGCACAGTGATCACCAGCGTGATGCTTAATGTCCTCCATAGCTCTTTGCCAAACTTGTTATCCAGGTTAGTGATAAGGTGGGCCTTCACCTGTGCCAGGAAATCTGCGACAATCTCGACTGGCTCCTTACGTGGACCTGACTTCGATAGTTCTTGCGAGATCTTGGCTGCTTCTCCTGTATGGCGGTGGTCAAGTTCCAGCTGGAGCTTAGTCCACATCTCGCGCTTTTCGTGAGGAGGGATGTTTGATCCCCAACAGATGCCTTCGTCAAGATAGGCAACTTCGGAGGGCACTTTCTCCTTCGTGCCGATTTTTGTATGACGAGAGGGCCAATCATGGATGATCTCTATGTGCTGGCCATCGGAATTCGCGTCTGACGCCTCGCAGAAAGACACGCCTGTAAATGTCAGTTGACCATGTCGTAGTCCAAGGCCTGCAAACTTACCTGTGTAGGTAGTACCGTAGTCCAGGCCGATCACTAATCGGTTACCCTTCATGGTCGCTGTGTCGCCTTTGTGGTTGCTGTGGCTGTTGTTGGTCACAGAGGGTGGTTGATGTTTAGTCCTTGTTGCTTGGGACACTGCCAAAAACTATGAGTAAGCTATTGCCGTTACGTAAGTGAGTTGAGCTATTCAAGGTGAAGGTGAGCGGCAAACGTACCGCTGCCAAACGCTGCCGAACGCCACGTGAAGGCGGATTGCGTCAGATAGCGTATCTTGTCTCTCGCCTCACAAGCGTAACAGTGCGACTTCGACCAACTACCAAATTGCCTTGGAGCACTAGCGACACCCAAGTACCTAGAGCTCCTGTAATGAGTTTTGGCGGAGCCTTCGGCACCGCTAGAGACGTAGTAAGTCTATCTGCGAGTACATATCAGCAAGTACTCATGGATTTCCAGTTCACCACAATGATGAGGAGAAACCAGCTCAGTTCATCTACTCCCAACGGACCGGGACACGGCAGAGACATGCGCGGTCATGCATCGAACACAGGCAACGGCCAAAACGTCAACTTAGATAACGATCGCCTTTACGGACAAGTTAGGAACAGCGCAGTCATCGCGAACCTGAGAGCAGAGCTCGAGAGGCAGGCAGGGTATCTCCGTAAAGAGCGGAAAAAGAGCAACAAGTACTGCAGTCACTGGTTGAAGCTTGAGAATCAGCTCAGAGAATTGACCGAGGACTTCGACAATTTATACAACGAGAACAAAGACTTCAACGCGTTGGAAAACGACAGAAACCATTGGAGAAGCAGGTACAACTATGTGCTGCGACAGCTCATTCGACCATACACCCAAGAACTTGGTTCTGTTTACGATGACCGCACTGCTGGTACCACTGATCTTACCTTGCGACGCCTTCTCGAAGATGCTCTTCAGAGCAACCAGCTTCGAGAGCAACTCCTAGCTTCGCAGGCCGACACCAAAACTGCGCAAGGTCAGTTGGAAGCATCCGAGGCACAGTGCCAGTCGCTTCAAAAGCAAATGCTCGCACGAGTCGATAAGGTGCTGCCTATATTGGACGACCAGTTGAGCCAGGACTTCCGCGCCCTCGGCGCACTGGTCAAATCATTGAGTCGCTCAATTCGGCCCACGGAAGATATGGACGTCTGCGTCATCCTCCCGCCTGCTGATCTGCACATTGGCGTGAGCCCTCGCCATTGGAATCGCCGTGCGCGCAAGAAGTATTACATCGAGGCATGGATATGGTCAGTCCTGGTCCACGAAGTGTTCTCGAGCCCATTCGCAATGTTCCGTCAGTCTGGGGAGGCCTTTCAGTCAAGCTGGGAGTTGCTCTTTGGTGGCGAGTTCCACGAGGGCTGGCCCGATCCATCTCTGCCATGTGAGAATTGGCGCTGGGCAACCATGGAGCAGCTTGTGCAAAAGGTGGGCTCATCTACCATCACTCTGGGTCAACTGGTGCAATCGCCTGCCGGCCCAAGTGACACGAAGAGCCAAGCCACACAACAGTACATTCTCCAGACCCGTAACAAGGTTGCAAACACCATTGGAGAGAAGCTCACATTGGTCTCTACTCAGGCGGACCTCTCCCGAGTACCTCTCATCGTTGACAAAGCGTTCTCCTTGGCGATGGAGATGTCACTTCAGCGTTCACGCCTTCAGATCACTTGGCCAATTGTCGGAAACGCATTCGTCGAAGAAGAGATGTCTTGTTTGCCCGATCCTGACAGCGAAGATCTCGAAGGTGGCAACGTGGCATTCACTGTGAGCCCGGGTCTGGTGAAATGGGGTGATGCTAACGGCAAGAACTTCGAGGAGCGCTATGACATCGTGCCATCACTGGTCCATCTGGAGCGCGTGATCATCAAAAATGAACATGAAGAGCCTGGAGAACAGATGGGTGGCCTGAGTTTTGTCAACGAGAACTAGTTTGAAAGAAGTCGAAGGATTGGTCGGAAATAGGGCAAGGAAAATTGGAAACGCTGACAGCAGTGAGTTTGCATGGTCAGATCGTAGGGCATGATGGACTGTAAGGCGAACGGCTTCGATTAGGCATTGCAAGAAGACATGCTTGTATAGCAAGCATCATGTGTGCTAGCACACGAGAGCTTCCGCCTAAGGAGATTGCCGATATAGTCATAGAGCCTTCAAAACAGAACAACATCTTTCCAAATCTGCATGTGCCTGAACATGAACACCGAACACTAATTATTAGGGATGGTGGCGACCAGGTGGAGATGAAAGTGTTCACGTCAGAGGCGCGTCGTGGGCCATCTCAATTTCCAGCCTAGCGCCATTTTGCACGCGTCGCATCCACGGGCACATCCTCACGCAACGTACAAGCACCCGCACCCGCGAATACCAATTGCCTTCTCCGCTTCTCCAGACCCGAGTCCTGCTCGATTTTATTCTTTCTTCGGCTTCCCACCATGCAATAAGCTGCTCCACACCCTAATTACCCCGTGCAAGCCACCAAACGCGTCTCTTCGCGTCTTCTCCAACTTCCGCTTGCAGGGCACGCCGAACCCACATAGACGACCATGTACCTCCCACGCAACCTAATCGCACACCTCTACAACAACCTTGTAAAACGAACACATGCCGCTGCTCCTCCGGTCTTGCTTCTCGTCGCCCTCGAGCCAGACGCGCTCTGTGCCTGCAGAATCCTTACCGCGTTGCTGAAGCGCGACTACATCCCCCACAAAATACAACCTATAGCCGGATATGGCGACCTTTCACGTGCAGCGGACGCGCTGGTGCGGCCAATGCGGACAACAGAAGGAGGAAGCGGGGGCGTCGTGGTGTGTCTAGGCGTCGGTGGCATGGTAGATCTGGAAGAGACGCTAGGACTGGACGTGGACGAGAATGGGCAGGGTGGGACTGGTGACGTCGAGGTCTGGGTGCTGGATGCGAGGCGGCCGTGGAATCTGGCGAACGTGTTTGGCACCCCCGTTGGCGAAGACCCGACTACTGGGGAGCTCGTGCGGAGACAGGCTGGCGTGGAGAAGGGCAAGATCCTGCAGAGCTACCAGACATCAAGAGGAGGCATTATAGTGTTCGACGATGGGGACATCGAAGAGGAACTGCAGTCAGAGCGGACTGCGTACTGCGCGCTGGAAGAAATGCCAGAGATTGGAGAAGAGGACGACCTGGACGAAGACTCAGATCAAGACGACGAGCCATCTTCTGCACAGCATTCGAAGAAGAGAAAGTCGTGGAGTGAGGAGGACGATTCAGCAGACGACATGTCCGACGACGAGCGACCACAGCAGCGGCGGAGAAGCAATTCGGTATGTATGGCAGGATTGGGAGCAAGAGACGAGGTCTGACATCACACAGGGCGGCTCGATACCGTCATCACCAGAACGAAGACCAGCACGAAGAGGGCTGCTCGTAGAGAACCAGCTCGGTGGATCCTCCGACTTCTCGCGCTCAGACTCCCGCAGCCGGTCAGCATCGCCAGCAATAGCAGCACCACAGGAGAAGTCTGTGAGGACACTTCGAAAGCAGCTCATGGTCATGCGGAAGAAGCACACGGCCGTTCTCGACAAGTACTACCAGCTCGGCGCATCATACGCGGAACCCGTCTCATCCCTCGTCTACAACCTAGCCTCCGAACTAGGTCGCGAAGACAACGACCTCCTTTGGAACGCCATTGTCGGAGTCAGCAGTCTGGAACTTTACGGACGAACAGGCAGCGGTGTCGGTCTCAACCCACTTTCAGCAGCCGGCGGCTCAGCAGGATGGAACGGCAACCGAGGAGAGCAGATTCGATCCGTCCTGCGAGACGAAGTTCGCCGTCTCAACCCCGTTACAGATCCTCACGGCGTAGCTCGCGATGCCAGTATGGGTGACGCAAGTGGTGTCATTCCCACAAGCGCCCGCTCAGCAACAGACAAGTCAATACGACTCTCCCCAGAGCCACGTTTCCTTCTCTTACGGCATTGGTCATTATACGAAAGCATGCTGCATTCGCCCTACCTGTCGGCCAAACTGCACATCTGGAGCGATGCAGGTCAGAAAAGGTTGGCGAAGCTACTCGCAAAGATGGGAGTGTCGCTGTCGGAATGCAAACAACGATATACACACATGGATATGGACCTCAAGCGCGGGCTACGAGAAAGACTGCTCAAGTTCGCACCACAGTACGGCCTCGATGGGCTCGTGCCCCCACCACCTCGCAGCGGCGACATGAAGGACGGATGGGGCTTTGTCCGCTGTTGGGGCTGGAAAGCATGTCTCTCCGCCATCGACGCGGGCGTCATTCTCGGTGCCATCCTGGAAGTCGGAGACGCAAAAGACCTCTCCCACTCCTCCTTCGACTCCTCCAACCACACCCACTCCACCCAAGACCACGCCTCAGAAATCACATCTACCCAAGAACAACAAACCGCCGCCCAGGAACACATCACATCCCGCTTCTGGACCGCCTACGACGCCCTCGGCAACATCGACCTCCTCATCCAACACATCGTCACCGCACAGATCCTCCACCGCGCCATCCTCCGCACCGGCACCCAACTCATCGAAAAGAAACAAATCCGCCACCTCCGCGCCTTCCGCATGGCCGTCGTCAAAGAAGGCCCAGACGTCCACCTCTTCACCCACCCGGGCGCCCTTACCAAACTCGCCCTTTGGATCGCAGAAGCCATCGTCGAACTCAACGGCACCAAGGGCAAAAACCGCGGCTCCGAACTCGTCATGGCGGGTCTCGATGAAAGCAGAGGGGTTTGTACGTCGTCGTCGGCCTCGGCGGCGGCGGCGCGAACTGAAATCCGCAAAGGAACGTCTACTCAAGCGCGACGCGCGCATCAAAGCCCGCGATGCGAAACGCAAGGCGCGCGCCGACGAGAAGGAGAAGAAGCGCCAAGCTCGCATCGCGCGCAATCTCGCCGCGGGCCTGGAAGACGACGAAGTCGAGGACGAGACCGAGGAAGAAGACTCCGAAGACGACGACGACGATAGCGACGACGACGCGGATGAACCCAAGGGCTTCGGGCGGAATCGCTTTGGAAACGCGTTTCAGGAGGTTGTGCGGGAGACGGGGGCGCGGGTGCGGATGGATAGTTTTGAGGCGTGTGTTATTGAGATTCGGAAGGAGGATTTGAGTGGGTTTTTGGAGAGACTGAGTATGAAGGCTGTGGTCGGGTAGGGGATGTCATCGCGACAGGTATTTCTTTGTGTTTTTGTCCTGGGGTCGGGTTTTTATGTTGAGAGGCATAGCGTGGCTTGGTTTGGTCTTCATTGGCTATTTTGAGGCATAGTATGGGTAAGACATGTAAAGCGATGGGATGGGGCATGATGGTACATTTTCAGCATAAGCTTAGCGAAGCAATATTTCATATTTTTTTTCAAGAACAAAATTATTTACCATCACATCCAAAATCAACCAAGCCCGTGAATGGTGAAGGAAAAAAGTGGTATCATGTCAGCCTACTAAATAAATAAAAACTCTTCCCTATCACCAATTCTTCACTCCCAAAATCTACCACGTCCCCCTCTTCCTGCCCATAACCAATTCCTCCTCCTCCTCACTCTCATACCCCTCCACAGCGCCGCTACTCCTCCGCTTGCCCATGCGCTGCTTGACCCCGTCCTTGAGCCTCTTCTTGACCTCCTCGATATTCCCGTCAATCGTGCTAAACGGCTTGAGCATGAAGCCGCCCAGATTCGCGCTCGACGCGTTGCGGCTGCGGCTCTTCTTGGGCGTGTGCGGGCGCGACGAGAAAATGTCCTGGTTGGCGAGGTCGCCGAAGGACTCGTTGCGCGGGAGCGAGGCCGCGGGCGACGTGGGCGAGGCGGGGAAGTCGTATGTTTCGACGGATTGAGGGCCTTCGGCGCGGGCGTCTGCGTCGGTCTTTATTGGCGGGGGAGTCGTGGGAGTGTCGGCGTTGAAGGGGTCTTCGATGATGCGCTTGCTGTAGAAGTCCTCGTACATTTCTGGGCCGAGTTCGTTGATGATTTCGTTGACGCGCTTGGCGAGGTGTTCGCGGCGGTCCTGGAGTTTGGCGAGTTCGCTGTTGCTGAAGGGGTTCATGGCTTTCCAGAGGGGGCCGAGGGATTTGAGAATGTCCATGGCGACTTCGCCGAAGCGCAGCGCGCCGTAGGTGACGCTGACGTAGAAGATGAGCTGCGCGATGATGAGGTAGCGCTTGTGGATGCCTTCGGGGAGGTAGCCGTTGCAGTTGTTGTAGCGGTACCAGTAAACGCCGATAATGCAGTACCATGTGTAGGCGACGGGGGCCGCGACCATTGCGACGAGGAGCTTCCATGTTGCCATGACATCCCTGGCTTGGACCTTGACGTTGGAGGCTGCGAGAGCTTCCTTGGCCTTTGCGATGGAGATGAGCTTTGTGGAGATGAAGACGAGACTGAAGAGTAGCGTGCCCGGGATGACAAGTGCGCTCAGGAAGACAAGCTTCGCCAGTCTAAAGCAGAAGATTCCAAAAGCCACAATCGGGTGCATCTTCGCGACCTGTACCTGATGGTCTCGCAGTCCAAGCGCTCTAAGCTTGCGGTTGTAGATGGTGACTTCCTTCTTGAGCTCAATGATGCGCGGATCGGACTTGTAACGTTCGTAGCCTTGGACGAGACGACGATTAAGCTCCACGATCCTGGGTAGGGGCAGTTTCGTGCCCTTGGAGTTGTAGAGACGGCGCACAGCTTGGATGACCTAGTTTTGTTGTTAGCTTCGATAGCTGTGAAGTATGGGGCTAAACATACCATAAGCGTATCGTAATCAGGCGTGGTAACTGTGACCGAGATCAATCCTTGACGGACGGTCTCGAGCATCTCGCCAATAGCATCTCGTCTCCCTGGTCCTTCAAACTTCTTAGCAAGCTCCGCGGGTACATCAATCGCTGTGCCAAACTCAATGACCGCCCTTGAACGGAACTTGTGAGCGTGGAAGTAGTTCATGCCAACCGGGATGATCTTGAGGTTGCAGTCAGGTTTCGATGCTACGGTGCCGAGCGCCATAATCGCGACACCAGCTGTGATGCGTTAGTTCTATACCTCCGTTAAGCATTAGATCATCTCACCTTTCAGAGGCAACAGATCAGTACGGTCATGGCTACCTCCCTCGGGGAAGATACCAATGCTGCCACCGTTGTGAAGCACTGCATGTACGGCGTCGTAAACTTCCGTCTGGTCGAGCTTGGGCGCAACTTTGAAAGCTGAACCTTCAAAGCCCTCCTCTACGCCCTTCTTGTTTTCAGCGCCGTTGACGAATGTGCCATCTTTAGTCATATCGCTCCGCCCGGTAAGCTGCTGCATTGCAACACCGCCCTTGAATCCGCGCTTCAGCCTGATCTCTTCCGGGCCCTTGATCTCCAATATCTCTGCACTAGCCGCTTTGTTGTCCACCTTTGGCAGCACAATTGAGCCGCCAACCTGAAACTCCTTGTCCTCAAAGTTGGTGCCCACACCGCGAAGTAGCGTCGGATCGTTGATCGGGTCCGGTAGGTAAATCTTGCCCTGTGCCGTTTTCGTCATGTCCATTGCTCTGCCCACAGGCACAACACCGGTCAAACCCGCCATGGTGCCTATAAACCTGCGCTTCATCGATTTGTCGGCTATCAGGAACTGGATTCGGCGGTCGGCTTCTTTCTTTACGACGCGCATCAACATGAGCGGGTCCACAAACTACTCTTGTTAGCGACGCGATCCCGCAATTCGACATATCTCCACGGCTTACCTGGTTGGCATGTGGCGCGCACACGAAAATGACGGGCCCCTCCTTTGGCACCTTCCAACTACTCCTGGGATGTACCTCCCGGAAGAAGAGCTCCACCAATATCGAAAATGTCCATAAAAACGCATCGTAGACGTATTTGTTCATGACAGCGATGGGCTTCTTGCCCTTGTGCTTGCTGTTGTCCGCCATGATGGCGTATATCCTCGCGGCAGCTCAGTCGCAAAGTAATAGGTAGCGTGACGTGAAAGCAATAAGTGTAGTAGCGATTGCAGGTGACGTGAGACTAATCGAAAGCTCTCGAAACGCGACGATAGTGGGGACACGTTGGAAGAAGCTGTGGCCCTGTCACATGTCAGTATCGTGTCTTCTCATGCCTCCAAGACTCTCTCCTACCCGTGCTTTCACTCCACTCTTTCCTACTTGGTAACTTGAGTCCTGCTGGATTATTGCCGCCTGAGGTATTTATGAGAGAGATATCAGGCCATGCTAGGCTTCGCTTTCCGGGTACAGATAGCCTCCGCGATAGCCGAGTCGCGAGCTGGCGAATGCGTGTGTTGAGGACGGCAACGGCTGCGGGCGCGCGGTAAGCCGCTATTTCTGTTGTTGAGCTCGGAAATGTGGAGGGTCGCTGAACCGGGGGAGCGGTCCGTCGAGGCCCTATGTCATTGCGCCCAAGCGCTTTTTCGCGGACGGCAAGGTGGCGTGGGAGCGCGGGGTTCATCAGCACGCGAGCACCATCATCCTTGCACCATGTCACGACATCACATATACTGGGCTCAGTTCAGAGAAAGTAGAATTGAATACCTATACACTAAGCGTCGGACGACCTATAGGCCTCATATATGTATGGACCAAGGTGCGGCTGTCTTGTATAGCACGACCGGTCGTGGTGGGATATAGAACAAATGAACAGTATGTACAAAAATCGACACCCAGTTCCTGACAGATGAGAGGAAGTGGTGTGAAGGGGGGCGGGAGACGTTCTCGTTTAACATCTACAGAGCTGCAGCGGCAGCCACAATTACTGCAGCAAGAATCGCAGTGGCAGCAGCCTTCATGGTAACTGCCGCACCTTCAAACTGCAAAGGCTGGCTCGGACTCGGCACAGGCAGACTGCCATTAACAGATGCGCTGGGGATTGGCATTCCGGAGATAGTGGGCACAGCTGGCGCGACGTAGACAGTCGTGGTAACACTGGGAGTGCACGAGGTTGAAGCCTTCGTGACAAGGGGAACGTAGACTGTCTTGGTCACGCTCGGAGTGCAGGTGCATGAGCTGCCATTCGACTTGGTGCAAGACTTCGAGGAAGGCTTCTCGCCGAACTCGCCGCCTGGCTTGACGGATGAGCGGGATTGAGCTGGGACACTCGTGCTGTTGCTTGGGCCAGCAGAAGGCAATACTGGAGCCGGAGTGACAGAGCTTGCGGGAGCACTGGCGCTCGGAGCTGGCGCAGGCGAAGCCGATGAAGGGGAGAAAGTGAATGAAGGAACGTCACTCGGTTGCGCTGGGGCCGGGGCATTGCTTGACGGTGCTGGCGAGGGTGCTGATGAAGGAGCTTGGCTGGATGGAGCTGGAGAGGGAGCCTGGCTAGACGGAGCTGGCGCAGAAGATGGTGCAGATGATGCTGCGGGCGTAGAGCTAGGCTTGGGTGTCGCACTTGTGGCAGGTTCCGGCTTTGAAGCATCCTTCTTGGCTGGGACGGTGCCCTTCTTAAGCATCAACAGAGCCTGGGTAACTTCCAGAGCTGAGAGCTGCTGGCCGACACCAGACTTGCCATCCCAGGCACCAGTGTACCACTTCGAGCCACAAGTCTTGCCGTCAGCGCCACCGGAGCAGGACTTCGCAGCACCAACAGCCGACGCCTTGAGGTACTTGGTAATGGTGTCCTTGGTAAAGGGAGCCATGATTGCAGTCTTGGCCATGAAGCGGGACAGGTAGGCCTTGAATGACTGCTGGTCAAGGTTGCAGTGGCGGCCAGTCTCTCCGGTCTCGCAAGCTGCCTCAAACATGATGTCTGTGGCATTGTCGTAGGGCTTGAAGAAGAGCTCCTCGGCGCGGCTCATGAATCCAGATACCCGGTCTTTCCAGGTGGAGTCGCCCTTGGTGAAGTCGAACATGAAAGCCGAGCCGTGCAGGTACATGGCGTTGTTGTAGGTCCATTGGGTCTATCGGGGTCAGTTTTGAATCACATAAACTTGGGAAATCCACAATTTACCTTGTCAATAGTCTTCTCAGCACAGTTCTCCTTATCGCCTGCACCATCGTACACCTCGAACTTATCGGTAACGAGTCCGACCTTCTTCGACCAATCGTATACCTTGGTAGCCGTGTCTAAATTCCAGTCAGGAATGGGTCTTGCTCAGCTTGATTGAGCAACTTACCAGCATACGACTGGTTGCCGGTGTAGCGGGCCAGGCGAGCACCGAGCGCAAAGGCGCATCCGTTGGAAATGGAGTTCTTGTAGTTGTATCCATACGAGTTCTCGGGGTAGATCTGCCACTTCAAGCCTCCACCGCACGAGGTCTCATCCCACCGGCTCATAATGTTGTTGAAGCTGTTAACTGCGACGTCCAGGTAGTCCGCGGGAGCGTTCTCGGCATCAGGAAACTGATATTCGAGCGCAGACATGACAGCGAGCGCCCAAAAGGCCTGGTCATCGTTGCCCGTCTGGCTGCGGCGATAGTCCAGGATGAAGTTGTTGGCCGGGCCGTAATTCGCAGTGAGAGCCTGTTGCAGCGTCTTCGTAAAGCTGTCATCTCCCGTGAACATGCTGTACTCGATCATGCCCTGTCTCAAAGTTAACAACCCCGCATCCAATGCGCATGTCAACACTCACACCCCAAGCAGCCCCACCTTCCCACCAGTAATGCGGCTGCGGCCATATGCCCACGTTCTCTATTGCCGTGCCCTCCGCACCCCCCTGATACAGCGCCATCAGCCCCGCCGCATACTGCTTCGACGCCGCGAGAATAGACTCTTCGGATTCCGGATCGAGATCGACAGCCCTCGCAGTCGACGCGAGCACGAGGAGCGCAGCTCCGGTAAACTGTGTAAAGAAGCGCATGATTGTCTTGCAAGTTGAAAGTGAACGTAGTAGTGCGGAAGGAACAGTGTAGACAAGGAAGGTATCAAGCGTGTGCAGCAATGTAAAGAATGGAAAGCCCAGCTCAAGCAAGCAGGCACACAAACGAGAAGAAGTGGACGTGAATGGGAAAGGAAAGACTGAAAGTGAAGGGATAGAGATAGAAGAAAAGCAACACAACCAACCAAGCACATGCCAAAGCCCGCCCATTAGCGTCCGTCATCCTGTGATTATCGCCATGCTATTTCCATTCCCGCCCTATCCCGTCGCCCTATTTGCGCGTGGGTGAGCGTTGTGGGCAGGAGCAGGCGGCTCCGCGCCCCACTTTTGCGCCTAGCGTAGTTTCACGATCCAGGAACAAGAAACGCGCGGCGCCAATCACCGCGCATCTGCCTTGTTTCAAACAATGCGCCATTGTTTCTTGGGGGGCGGTGCAGAGCGGTCGGCGAGATATGAAAGGTGCCTTGCCCCCGTTCGTGTGGTCGGGATGGGCTGGTGTTGCGGCGGCTGTGTGTGCGGCCTTCAGGAGTCAGTGTTGTACGGCAGGTAGGTATGTATGTATGAGAGGCCATGCTCGTGCGGTACGGCGGTGCTCAGGTTTGGGGGACGATGCATTGTTACGAGCATCGCTTGTGGAGGGGCCTGATTGGCCAAGATTCATGGTAATATCCAGGACAATGCATTGTTTCTAGGCATGTCGACGACACTCTCCTGCTATCCACCGTCATTCCTCCAAGTCCGACCGCGATTTCATCGTCTACCACTGACTGTATTAACGCCACAATCCACGAACACAAAGCCCCCACCGCCCCCAATAGTCCTCTCATCCGCGCCTCCACCTGCGTTTCTTGAGAGTGGGACAATCCTCAGGACGTTCATCCCCGAAATCCGATGATTTCTCGTCGTACACATGGCCTCAAGGGTCTCCTATATCCTGGCCTGGGTCTTGAAGTCCAGCTTCCTGTGTCTTGCGCATCTTTCTTTTGTTCATGTGCTCGCTAACCACGTCGTACGCCTTGATCCCACCTCTAACAACCTTCGGCCCGTGTTCAATCGCCAGGGGAATACCAACAACAAGCAGAGGGACGACCATTGATGGTAGAGAGGAGAGTGTGTGGTGGTCTGGGACTGGTGGTAGGTTTGGATTATGAGAATTGCGGGTGAGTGCGGTATGGTATAGATAGGTGTGTGTGATGAAGATGCTTGGATCATAATAAGGTCTAGTAGTCGTGAGGTTTTATACCTTGCGCGAAGACTATGTCAGAACATGTGTGCGTGAAAGGACGAACTTCGTAGACGGTGACTGTAGATTGTGCACATGTGTATACAATACTTCAACTATCAATTTACATGTGCTTGGCGTCACTGAGTTTTGATTGACTGTTTGCATGAATGGCCGTCAATGCAAGGATACCGATTCTCGAAATGTAGCTATTCATACAATATATACGTTGAATGCGATGAGCACTTTGATCACATCTAAGCTCAGTCCGCGGTCAGGTTGCAACCCCATGGATGAATGAGAAGAACGTAAGAACGCAGCGATGCCTTGGGGGTCTCTCAGGTTGCACAGTCTGTAGAGAAAGGAGATTGCTGGTCCTCTTGAAGATGGGACGAGATCACCTGCACAGTAATAGTCTATTGTCTGAAACAGCCACATTCAACCTTATTCGAGAACTCTCGCTGGGACCATTCAATCCTCATTCTAATCAGACCATCTAACCATCAGTCTATCCAGATGCAGCCGCGAAACGGCCATGTGTGTGGGTACGTGCAGCCTCTTCTCCCCCCGCTCAGCTCGCACCACCAAGTCGCTTCTCCTTCTTGTCCTTCTCGGCCTCCTGGATCGACTTGAGCTCGTCCTTGGACGCGTTGTACGCTGCCGAGACCTGGTTGAACGGGTTCTCCGGGTGCTTCTCGAACTCCTTTCGTATTTGGTCGATCTTCTGGTTTCGCCTCAGACCCTTCTCGTCTTTCATCTCCTCGAGTCTCCGTTCTTCGTATTGTGCGTATGCAGCTTTGAATCTCCTTTCGGGGTGGCGGTCGAGCTTGTCCTTTTGTTCGGCTGTGAGATCGAGAGCGTCGAGCGCGTTGTCGATACCGGAAGCGTTGAGGGCACTGGGCTTCGTGTCGAAAGATCCAAGAGCGCCGTCGATGCCGCGGGACTTCTTCTCGGCCTTGGGCGCTTTTCCTTTGGGCTTGGATGGCAGAGAAGCCTCCTCTTCGCGGAGGAGAGCTTCCTTCTCGGCTTTCTTGCGCGCTGCTTCGGCTGCCTTTTCAGCGGCAGCTTCCCTGCATGACAGTCAGTATTGTGCAGCCTTCGTTATCGGGACAGTAAACATACGCTTTCGCATTCGACTTTGCGCCCTTGTCCCATTCCTTTGCCTCGGCTTCTTCAGCTTGTTTGCTCTTCACTGCCTGCTTTGATGCAGCGGCTTCGGCCTTGCGCGCCTGTCCCTGCGCCTTCTTCGAGCCCCCACCATCCCCACCACCAGCGCCGCCTTTCTTTGCCATGATTGTGTGAAGTTTTTTGTGGGCGGTTTTCGAGGTTCGCACGCCGTGCTTGAAGTGTGGAATGTGTTGCTCTTTGTGAAGGGCAAGTCTGAATCAAAGTTTGGTTGATTGCGGCGATGACAGCGGAGGTGCCTGCGCGAAAGACGAGGTGGGGCACCAGACTGCGTCACCGGCACGCGTGAATGACTAAGCGCGCAAATACCTAAATCATAATATGAAGACGGGAGGTGCCAATAACAGTGACAGTCATAATATTTGGCCCCAATGATTTTGATGGGTGCTCCTACGGCCATGTGTAGCCAAATTCGTCTTGCAGATGCGAACTCGTCGACTCAAAACTCACAACTACGACTTTTGTCTTTAGGCCATGCAATTAATCTCTCGATCTTCATGAAAATTTTGTCGAAACCTCCTATAGCTCATACAATACCCTCGTCCTTCTCTCTCCTCAAATGTTCCCTCCTTGCTCTCATGGCGAACTTTGGCGTCAAATGCTTCAAGCCCAACCACGGTGTATTGATGGGACTAGGACCTGTGTAGATGAAGATGTCGTAGAGAGCAGCACCGAAAGCGCACCCGAGAAATGGTGCTACCATGGGTATCTGATAATCTTCATCAGTGCTAGTCTGTGCTAGAGTGTATTTTGCTTACCCAGAAATAATATCCACCAGCGGACCAAACCTCACTGCCATAACCCACAGCATACGACATCAGTCTCGGGCCAAAATCACGAGCAATGTTAATGGCGTATCCTGTTTCCCAGCCAAAACACGAACCGAGACCGAAGATGAGGAAGAAGAGACACAAGGGGAACCACTTGTCGTCCTATGATATGGTTAGCTTCGTCCACTTAAAGACCCACAGCAACATACCTTGGGAACGCCATTATTGCTCGTGATCTTTCAATGCAAAGATGACAAACATCAACAACGCGCTTGCGATAAACTCTGAAAAGAACTGGCTAGCCTTTGGGAGAAAGGCTTGTGGGTATGTGCAGAAAATGGCGGCAGTAGCCTTCTCCGCCGGTGGTACTGTTCGCAAGCCACCTTCGAAGTAGTCGATTGCAGAGATGTAGTTAGCGTAGACGATGCCGCTTCCGACGAATCCACCAAGTATCTGAGCTACGAAGTAGACGGGAAACCGCCGCCATGGAAGTTGGCGAAAGAGGCAATTGCTGAAGGTAATAGCGGGGTTGAGGTATGCTCCTGAGTCGCCAGCGACATAGATGCCCAGCATAACACCCAGGGCCCAGCTATCTGAAAGTCAGCATGAATGCACATTCCAAAAACATGTAGCTGATTCACCCCCAATTTATGCTTTGATACTGCCCAAAACCATTCCCGCCAGGTGCTGTGGTCTGTCCAGAAGACAGCAGGACCTGCGCCACTGAGCCATCACCAAACATCACCATGATAGCAACACCCCAGAATTCGGCAAATGGTTCTCTGAGTACTGTTCGTATCCTCGACCATAACAGTTCAGATCGCGCGCCATGATCGTGCTCTTCATCGATAGGAGCTTGTGGATTCAGCCCAAGTGCTGAGCGCGTTTTCTGTGCACTTGATGATGTTCTGTCAGGCGACAGTTCGGTTGAATGCGCAGAGGATTCTGTCTGAGCCTGAGTTAACGGTGTATGCGAGCTGTAACCACGCAGCCTGGGATCGTTGCGGTCGTCGGCCCAGTCATGAGATAGGGATGGCCCGGGAGCCATCGGCCCTGAAGTGGTATTCATGTCTGCTGTTCAATAATGATCCAGCAGGTCAAGTCGCGAACCAAAATCAAGCCAAAAGACAGCTCACTTCGCAAAAGTAATACAAATTGCACCGTCCTCCGTGGCGGCCTGCTCGCAGCTTAAAGAAGCGCCTCTGCTTGCCCTCGGCTCTCAAGCCAAACGACGTCACAGCATAATCCTTAGCCTTTACCACAAATACCATTGGAGGCCATCATGGCATTTCCCCCGCATTTGCTAGCGATCCGCCATTCTGGGGTTTATTTCCGCGCCATCAGCTTGGGCGTGTCTGCTGTGCGCCATAAATGACGTTTTCCTAGCTTGGGAGACGGAAGTGGCTGCCGCATGCCTAGGGATCTCGATGCGTGGAGGCTTTGAAAGATAACATAGTTCCAATGCACGAGGTTCTCAATATCGCAAAGGCATCTGCATGATGGATTTGATGTAGAATTGTGATGTCTTTCTCCACAGATCTGGAGAGTGGAGCTCCGTGGAGCAATATTGTGGGCTTTTGCCGGGGTGCAGAGAATGGACCCACACGTTCGTTTGGTGGAAGATGCCGTGCCAAGTAAATGTTGCAACTTCATCTCTCACCTCACCACGCTTCACCATCACTCACAGCACCTTGAAGCCGCAGCATCTACCCATAAAACAGCGCCTACAACTCTGAATATCGCATCTGTGCATCTAGCTTTTAGGCGGATCAATATGACGAGGAGCCTTTGCCACCCTGCTATCAATCTTTGCATCTGCAGGACTTTGCTTCAGCTATTACGATAAGGTGAATGCAGCGCGCAGTTCTCTTAAATACCGTTAACTTTATTCTCATTCAATAGAACCTTCGCATCTATTAGTCAGCATCACTCTCATCCTCATCGACCTTCTCTCATCGTAGCTCCTTCTATATCTGCTTCATCGCTTCTACCTCAGTCGCCCCAGCCTGATTATTCTTATTGAGCCTTCTATATCGCTACGTCTACGACTATTGCTTCTGAACTTTCTCATCTTTTCTTTACAATCAAATACGCCCACCGTTCGCAAAGCATTACACTACTTGGACGGCTCCGCAAAGGACACAATCAAGCTGCGACGCACTGAGCACTTTCCTTTCCAAGGACAACTTTGCCGACATGTATATTGAGCATGGTTCCTAGAGCGGTACGTTCAGCGCGGTGTCGCAGTGAGCGTCGTTGGTGTTGTGCTCTCTCGAAGCCTCATGAGCGGCTGCGACAAGAATATTGCATATCTCAAGATATCCGACCTTGCGGGCAGACTGCGCGCATCACGAGGCGAGACGATACAGGACTGAAGACTGCACATATCGCGTGGCAGCGCGCAAGCTTGTTACTCTCGCAGCAAAGTTCAATTTTGCATGTGGGCGACCTCTCTTTCACCTGGCCAGCGCTGCTCCCCCGCACCTCCATATCCCACCCCACGAACTTGGCCTCTCTTCCGCTACATAACCCAACTAGTTCTCCATTCCTCCAAGTTCAATAGGCAGTCCCGCTCAAAAGAGAGTTTGGCACAATTGGGAGCCTGGGCTAACACTCGGTGCAAAACCACGATTTCTTGCGATCGGACCCAATTGATACCCCTCTTTGGGACTCGAGCCCACAGAAGTACCTGCGAGTTAGAAGGGTGATCCCTCTAGCCAGCCATATTAAGGGAACTGTAAAGCTAAGACCCGAGGTTTAGCTTTTTTGCGCCCGCGTTCGAGTCTGGGTGGGGAGGGTGTTGGTGCTGAGGGTTGCTCTTTTTGGAGGGGGCAGGGCATGGAGCACTTTCACCTTATGCTGGGAGCCTTGTGAGACAATATTATCAGCAGCAGTGTAGCATATTGAATCCACACTGCAGAATAGATTCACATATATGAAGCTAGCGATTCCATCAGCACTTGTTTACATGCTTCGTCTTCCATGCTGCGTGACATCGCAACATAATCATCTCCCTCAACGCCGCCCGTAGATGAATGAAAGGACAAGCCGAAGTAGTGACATACGTAGCCACACATAATTATTGGCATGCTCATCTCCAGCCCCAGTCTCGTGTGAGTTAAACGGCTGTCCTCAATGGCGACATTCATCCCTTCACACTGATCGAGAGTCATGGCGGTCCTGTTACTTTCTTGTTACATTTTGAACATTGAAAAGGGTATCATTAACATCATCTTCAAACTCGACCCGACATGCCTCTCACATCGACTCAAACAAACTGCCGGCAAGCCAAACCCCTACACATCCCGCCAGCGCCGCCGCACCGGCAATCTGCTTACTCCACCCCTGCTCCTCATCCACCTTCACCGCACCCTCTCTCCGCAACCCTTGCACCGGCTTGGCTTCCTCAACAACATGCTGCACATCCACCTGCGGCTTCGCATTCAAACTCTCATTATGCCTCCTCTTCGCATCCGCAATCATCCTATCAATCGCCTCCAGCTCCTCCTTCCACTGGGTCTCATTCCGTCCCTCACCCTGTAACTCCACATTCTGCACGTTTCCAAAGAAATCCATGACGCGTCTATTCCTCGCGCCTTCCTCGCCGCCCGCAAACAAATCGTACCGTATGCCAGCATCCGAGTGGATCTTCGCGGAGTCGTAGCTGTCGAACAACTCGCCCATGGTCAGCTTGGACGTCGGGCTTGTGACTTTCTGCTCGAGGAATTCGAGGTTATAGTACGTGTAGCGGTCGATGACGGCGACGCCGACGTCGGAGTCGGCGTGGTGCGAGTAGGACGATTGGTCGATTTCAGAGCTTCCTGTGGCGAGGATGTTGGGGGAGTAGAATTTCGAGTACATGGTGTTGGCTTGGCAGGTGTCGATCATGAAGAGCATTTCGTGGTAGCTGAATACATTATTAGCAGACGTTATCATGGAGTAGAGGAGCGAAGGACGTACCGCTTCTTCTCCCACATTTGCCCGAATGCATCTGCGAGATCAAATGCGCTGATTTCCTCGGCGTCTTGGAATTTGAGAAATTCGTTGCCGCCGTGGCCCGTCATGTAGACTAATATATTACTCCTCTCGTCGGTCATCAATCGCTTGCTGCGAGGCATGTCGGGGCCCACGCGGTCTGTCATCAGGCGGATAAAGTTCTCCACGGTGACTTCGTAGCCTCGATAGTCCACCTCGATGTTGTCGCCGTAGAGGTCCAATGCACGGTCAGCGTTGTTGAACACATTGCCTGGGAATGCGTTGCGCGGGTTGCATGCCATGTCATCAGGCAGCATGAGGATGATTTGCGAGTCGGGGATGCCGAGGCGCTTTACGGTTCGGTATAGGGACAGGACATTGGCGAGATGGCGGTAGTTGAACCAGAAGCGCGATGTCGAGACAAGGACGGCCCAGTTCGATGTGTGCTCGCTGGCGACAAAGGGGGCTGCCAGCAGCGGCAGCAGGGCGGCGGAAAACTTCATGGTGCGTGTGAAGCTTGTCAAGAAGGGTGAGGATTGCAGTCGGTAAGTTGGTGGCAGCACCGCCCAAGATCGCTTGGAGATTCACGTAGAGCAATTCACGATGCACGCTGATGTCGCGGGTGGTCGTCGAGCACCGACGAATCGGAGATAAGCTCTCATCCGGGCATAACCCAGCCTCACGTGCGAAACTAAACCGCGCGCGACATGCGTCATGTCAAGCACGCAATGTGGATCATGAGGCTTATCTGAAGATTCCCGCCTTCACGATATCGCAACCGTGTCTCAATCCATCCCTCTCCAGGACCTCGCAACCATGGCGCCGGACCGGGGCTCGACGTCGCTTGATGATGAAAGAGCTGGGAATCATGCGGATGAGCGCAGCAGGTCTGGAGCGCGCAAGTACCTCGCAAAACGAGCTGCACAGCCGCAGAATTTCACGCTGCGGGGTGTGGTGGTTGGGCTGGCGATTGGGGTGGTTATATGTTTCTCTAACATGTACTTTGGCCTGCAGACAGGCTGGGTGTCTGGAATGGCGATGCCTTCTGCTTTGATTGGGTTCGCTTACTTTAAGGTCGTGGCTCGGACATTGAAGCTGCCGTTTACGCCTGTGGAGAATGTCCTGGTACAGTCGGTAGCCGGGTCTGTAGGAACTATGCCTCTGGGATGCGGATTCGTGGGTGTCATCCCGGCCTTGAACTACCTCCTAACGGAAGAAGAGAATGGACCACTCGACATCAGCTTGTGGAGACTGATCATCTGGTCTGTGGGCATCTGCTTCTTCGGTGTTGTATTTGCTGTACCCTTGAGGAAAGAAATGATCATCCGGGAGAAGTTGAAGTTTCCAAGTGGCACAGCAACAGCGCTCTTGATAAGAGTCCTGCATGGAGATGAGAAATCAAAGACTATGGTCGCACGAGAAACGAATGATGATGAAAGCGAAGGAGAAGAGGAGTCTCAAGGCTTATTGCAGGGTTCCAGTGCTCAGCGTGGAGGAGCACGACTTGCGCCCATCTCTAGACGATCAAGTGGAAGGACAAGAACAAGATGAGGATCTTGTCGATGATGGAGAGTGGAAGGCCAAGATACAACTACTTCTGATCTCCTTTGCTGGATCCGCGCTCTACACTGTCGTATCATACTTCGTTCCGCAACTTCACGACATACCCATCTTCGGACTGCCCTTGGCTACCAAATGGCTCTGGACGCTGAACCCATCTCCAGCATACGTTGGCCAAGGCATAATCATGGGACCAGCAACAACTCTGCACATGCTCCTCGGAGCTATCATAGGCTGGGGCGTGTTATCCCCTCTTGCAAAGCACAAGGGCTGGGCACCAGGCCCCGTATCCGACTGGACCAACGGCTCCAAAGGCTGGATCGTATGGATCTCCCTCGCCATCATGCTTGCAGACTCCCTCGTCAGTCTTGGTTGGCTCCTCTTCCGCCCCCTGATCACCATCGCAAGACTATACTACCCCACCGCCAAAGAAACCTTTCAGACACATACCTGGAAAGAGCTCTTCACCCTAAACATCACCCGCAAGCAACGCTACACCCCGCTCAACTCCACGACCGAAAGCCCCATCGCAGCCATAAAAAAACACCTCGCACAAGACCAAGAACCCGACGCGCCCCCAGAACACCTCATCTCCAACCGCACAACCATAATCGGCCTGATAACCTCCCTCACCCTCTGCGTCATCGCAGTACACATCTCCTTTCCCTCGCTCATCCCTCTACGCCTCACCCTCCTCTCCCTCGTCCTCGCCCTCTTCCTCAGCATAATGGGCGTCCGTGCCCTCGGCGAAACAGACCTCAACCCCGTCTCCGGCATCTCCAAACTCACACAACTCTTCTTCGCCCTCGTAACACCCACCTCGGGCCCCGGCGCGAAAAACGCAGTCATCATCAACCTCGTCGCGGGCGCGATATCAGAGTCTGCGGCGCTCCAGGCCGGCGATTTACTGCAGGATTTGAAGTGCGGGCATCTACTTGGTGCAGCGCCGTCGGCGCAGTTTTACGGGCAGATTATTGGGAGTGCGGTGGGCGCGGTGCTGTCGGCGCTCGTCTATAAGTTGTACACGAATGTGTATACGATTCCTGGGGGGTTGTTCGAGGTGCCGACGGGGTATGTGTGGGTGTTTACGGCGAGGCTTGTGACGGGGTCCGGGTTGCCGCCGATGGTGAAGGAGTGGGCAAGTGGAGCGGCGGTCATATTTGCGATTAGCACGGTCATTAGGGTGTGGGGTAATAAGAGGAAGATGCGCGGGTTGAGTGGATGGTGGATTGATTTTGTGCCGGGTGGGATTGCGGTGGCTGTTGGTAAGTCTTCTCTGTCCTTGAGGTTTGGTAGTTGTGCTAATGAATGTGTGAAGGTATGTACAACACACCTAGCTTCACGCTGGCGCGCACGATGGGTGGATTGATTAGTCTGTGGTGGAGAAGATGGAAGGGTAGAAGTGAGACACCGATCATCGTGCTGGCAAGTGGTCTCATTCTCGGCGAAGGATTGTTCAGTATCATGAACCTGCTGTTAGCGAGTCTGAAGGTGCCGCACCTGTAGTTGTTGAATTCGAGAATCACGAAGCTTCACTCACATCATGAGTGTGCGCCGCGTTAGAGCAATTCTATGCTTATTTTGTCGCTTGAAGACTACATGCGCATCTTCATGTATGCTACCCATCCTGTGACGCCTAATGAGGAATGCCGTGAGGTATCAAATGCAATGCTGCACCGCCTAGGTTACGCCGGAAAGCCCCCATGCGAGAAATTAAAATGAGAGGAAACGCCAGAAAAGAAACGACATGCGGTGAAGCGGAACCCAAATAATCCGGTAGACTCCATGACTTGTCTTCCAACAATTATTGGGAGTATTTGCGCTTAAGAGACTGGCTGCCTCCAGATTGTATGGCGAGATTGGACAAGTCTTGACCAGGCTGTCCCATCAATCGAGTAAGGCTCGAACTCTTCTGCGTATAAGCCTTAGGACAAGCGGCCGTTCTCCGCTGGACCACAACTTCTGCGCGTATGGACATCCGGCCAAATGAATCATCAAAGGCTGTATTACCCAGCTCCTAGTATGGATTGTACGGATCGCCAGCTGGTGTGCCTCCTAAAGCCATCTCCCGGAAGCCCGGTGGAACAGTCCAGCCGTGTACTGCGCAAGCACGCATGTATGCCTCGACAGCCTCGCCCACACCATAGTCCACGCGTCCATGATTCTCTAGACGAGCAGGCTTTGGATCGAGACTTGAGATAGCCATGCGGACCTGCAGGAGGACGGACTCTATCGATGACGCAGCACTCCAGCCGTCGTTGGTCAGAAGCTCCATGCACATCGCCCCGCCAGCAGTGACGTGGCCACCGCCGCCCTGGGCGAACCCCAGGAAACGAGGGCGAATGACACGGACAAAGGGCGGACTCATCGGATAGTCTTTGCCAAAACGAAGCTCCAAGACGACGCTCTTGATATTTGCCTTCTTCATGTCCATCGCCAACGGCAAGGTAGACTCAAACGAGTGCAGCTCCACGATCCACTGGTACATATTCTCCATTTTTTCCTCATCGATGTGCCAGCCAAGTTCGTGCGGAGGAGTTGATTTCTGGACGGTGATGAGATCCTTGAAGTCCTTCATCAGGCGTCTCGTGGCTCCGCTAGTAGCCCACGCTGGCATTTGCAGCATAGGCAATTTGCTGTAGTCCAGTGTACCAGGTACGTAGTCGGTGAGGGGTTGAGTCGGCATTGACTTGGCACCGAAAAGCTTGGATACAAAGCCCCCCAGCTTACCCTTGCCCTTGTCGCCCGAGACTGAGTTGGGTGTGAGAAGCGGGTTGTGTTCGGGCATAATCAGGTTGTCGTCCTCGAGAATTGCGTGGTCTTCCTCCAGGGTCGCCACACTCGCCCCATCGTCATCGTCGTCAATCTCGATAGGATCGTATTGGCTGCCACTAGTAGCCTTTTGCCGTTTGTTCTTCTGGTGGTGGTTAGTATGTATCATCAAGTTCTTGGCTAGGTAACATACGCTGGTGACCTTGGGCTTAGGCCGCCGCGAACCTGAAATAGCATGAATTGGAATCACGAGCGCACCGTTGACACCTTTCGGAGTCATCTGAGGATCTTGGTCGATATAGTCGTGAGGCTTCGTGCCTTTGTCAGGGGTAGTCGCAGCACCGACGGTGTAATCTTGCCTAGTATTGACGAAGAGATAGCGAGTCTGGATCCAGTCAAGTTGAGGAACGACCAGATGCGGGGTCTTGCTTGTGAACTCGCTCGGTGCATTGACAATCTCGTTGAGTGCCAAAGCTTGCGACATTTTAAGCTCGCTGTTCGCCCAGCCAGATCCAGACCCATATTGAGAATATCCCAAGCTAGTGTTGACATCAAGTGCGTGATAGACTCCATTGCCGAATGCCCGACCATGAAGGGTCTCGTTGAAATGCAGACCTTCACGAATGATGCTGTGCCAGTTCTGCATGGGGCTGCCGTGCCAGGCAAACAGCGTCGGGTATTTGAGACTGAGCCTAGCCGACGTATCTCGGACCGCACTGATGAAGCGTCGCTCTTTGTCAGGCGCGCCCATGGCAAAGCGAAATTGCGTCCAGCCCGTCATGCCGTAGAGAGCGTCTTCAGCTTTCCGTCCACTCGAGCTGTCGTCCTCGTTCTCGACCTGCACAATGCATGCTCGATTGGACGCGATGATCCAGCGCAGTAGTCCAAGCACAGCAGGCGGTAGACGATCGACCCAAGAACTCAATGGTGATTGAGCCTTGCGAACCAAATACTTCTTCATCTCGTTAACAGTAGGAAGCATGTCTAGCATTGCTGAAATGGCCTGTCGCTTCTGGTTGTCCGAGAGATCGTCAAAGTTCTGCTCGTAAATGTAGAAACTTGCGGCTTGGAATTCCTTCACTGGTGGACGAGGAGCCGGCGATGGCTTGGCAGGCTGGTTTGCGGGTGGTTGCAGCCGACCATAGAAGTTTTGCTGAGACGTCAAATCTGGCACCACTGGCAAAATTGGGGCAGACAGTTGAACTGTAGGGTAAAGTGAAGCATCAAGGACGCGGCAATGCATTGCCTTGTCGGGGGCGTCGTCTGTTCGTAAGACGATCCATTGAGCATCCTTAAGAGGACAAACCTGGTCCTTGTTTTCGAACAACAGTTCATTTGCCGCTGGGTTGTACCTCGCCTGGGTTGCAGCCCTCTCTTCAAGAACACCTTTCTGCAGAGTTTGTGGTGGTGCCGGTGTGGTATATCCCCGATACTGCTGCTCGGTCATCGCATACGTCTCGTTTGATTCGGGTGGAGGAACTGCCAGGCTGAGACCCGAAGGGAAGTCCCTTAGTCTACCAAATCGGGCGCTGGTATAACAGAAGCTTATAAGCAAGTCTACCACCTTCGGCTGCGACAGGATCTCGTGCTCGATGCTTGGGCCAAATCCTAGCGACATGTATTGGTATAAACACAGCGGATTATCGCAAACGTATGGCTTGATAGCTTGCAAGTCGTCTGGCATCTTGCTGAAACAGATCAGGCAGAATTCGGTGCATCTCACAAAGTGACGCAGCACGAATTGCATGCCGACGAGGGGAAGGGAGTGCTCCGCGCTCATCGATTCTTGAATGTGATCGGCGGTCACTAACTCAGGGTACAGTGTACTGACATGCTCGGGCTCGTAGTATTTGTCTTCCGAACCATCAGCATGTCTGGTGTCGGATGCTCGAAGGATCTGGTCGTTGTGAAATAGCTCTGCACCGCTCCACGGCATGCCACCGTAACGGTAGTTTAGCAATGGGTGCAAGCGCTGCTCTAGGAGTTCGTTCAAGGGCCGTGAGATGAAGGAGTTGCGGAAACCGTTCGACGATGTGGTTGGCTGCTGCGAGTCGTTCGCCTGTGATGCCTCGCGACGCTTCTCCTCTTCCTTGCTGAGGACAGTGAAAGCTTGTATCGCCTCCTGCATCGTGGGTTTGTATGTTGTTGAGATGCCGATGCGGATGCCAAAGTTGCGGCGCGCCGTTGAGCCATCATATGACCTCAGGTCGTCCATGCTCTTGTATCCGGCAGGATAATGGAAAATGACCACGAGATACTCTGTAGGTTCGAGCTGCCATGCTTGCATGGCCTCTTCTGAGATACCCAGCTTGGCAATGCGTACAGAAATACTGACATAGCAAGACAGGCCCTCAATTAAGCCTCCTAGGTGCCCAACTTTGAAACCCTGCTTCTTGGCCGTAAGAAGATCACGTCGAATCCGATGCTTGAACAGTTCGGTAGCTTCGGTGAAGCCGCCTCCTGGTGCCGAGCTCACGCGGCCATTTGACAGAGAACGGGGACGCATCTCCTCATCGCCTGGGAAATACTCATCGAAACCGGCATCCTCGTCGAACTCTTCAAACTCTTGAGAATCGAGCATCTGCTGGTCGCCATCCCAATCGGTCGACTCAAGTCTGCTAGACACGAGTTCGAGGATCTGTTGAATAGTCCTGCCGGTAGCGGCGTCGGAGATGTCGTTAAGTGATGAAGCTACGCTGGCAGGAGCGTTATCCGGGGCGAAGATCATGCACATGTGACTTGTGGGATAGTCGGAGAGTTCTGTTTAGGGTTAGCGGCGTGCTTGTAGCTCTACCTCAAGCCTAAAAATATTGATACATACCTGGTACAAGAACAGAAATCTTGAGGGCTTGGCCGTCGGCGACACACATGAAAGTGAACTCTCCATCGTCGCCACCCGTCTGTACGTCTGAGATACCCGCGACCGAGACATTCTCAACGGCCTTTGAGAGGTCGGCAACGAATGCCTTGCGCGGCATGTTGCGTGAAAGTTGGTGTGTCGCTCAATATGGTATGTCCTCGGCTGTTGAAACCCCAGTGGAGTGCCGGCCGTGGTCTTGGTGGCAGCGAAAGTGGGAAAGTTGAGGGAACTTGTGGCGTGGTGGTGCAGAGGGAAAATGATACAGGTCGCGGTGCGCAAGTAGGCAAAGAGTTAGCGCGGTCAAGCTCCGGATAACCTTAGAAGCTTTGACGTCAGTAGCGTGGCTTGTGCGCGGTGAATTTGAGGAAAACGCGTTGTTCAGCAATCCCGATTGCTGGTACGCTGGTGGTGATGGTTCCAGCACTGCTGTTGGAGGCACGAGAGCGAGCGGAGGAAGAGGAGAAACGAGGGACAGATGTCCATACAGATACCTTGCCGGCCTCACGACTCGGCACAGCTAATTACAACTGTACGACGCTGCCTATTGCCGTGTTTGCGATGAATCAACAAGGTAGGTAGCTCAAGGCAGCAGGAGCAAGCTAGCCGCCACAGCCACCCCCCGCACTCCACCCGGGCACGCAGGGCAATGATACCAGCCTCGTCTTTGGCCAGATGAGGTCCAAATTCGATGCAGCTTTTACCTACCAGACTCTCAGATGTTCTATATCCACTGTTGATGAGGTGATAGAGAGCAAGGCAAGGTTGCAAGGTGTAGTCCAAGATACAGCTAGTTTGCCCCACTATCTAAGCCGCGGGAGCGAACGTCCCAACCGACCGGCTCTAAATTTAGGCGATCCAGGAACATCTCCGCAGCTATTCATATCTCCGTAAGACACCATGGCCGTAGCTGAAGAGAAGACCATATCCAGATCCTCACATGTCGCTGATCCCGCGCTCGCACCGTTCTTGGAGTACAAATTCGACCCCGCCGAGTACCTCAATGCAACTTTACCTGCACTGTCGCTATCTTCCGCATCGGCCCGTCCTTTGAAGTCAGCGAATGCTGTCTCGCTGGCAGATCTCTCCTCTCAGACCCAGGACCTCCTCTCGCAGCTCAATGCACACACGACGCGACTATCCGCCATCCTCACCCAGCTCACCGATGACATCCTACGAAGCGGGGCACGGTTAGCCTACGAGGTGGAAGTGCTACGTGGAGAAACAATCAGCCTCACAGAGACGTTCACCACCGACCTCAAAGACGATGTCGAAAAGTTTCTCCCCGGCGGAATCAAGCTCCCTACAGAGCAGAAAGATGAGGCCCTCAAGAGCCCAGCCCTACCAACAGAGCCATCTCCCTCGCAACCACCCCAACCCCAAGACCCACCCCCAGACTCCACGCCCGAATACATCTCCGATCTCCGCACCCTCACAACCGTGCGCACGCGCCTCGAAACCGTCATCAAAGTCTTCGGCGAAGCCATGCACTGGACCCTCCCTCCCTCCGAAATCTCCCTCACATCCTCCCTGATCTCCGTGTCTGCGCCCGAGCCCGGCTCCGACAACGCCTCGCAGGAGCAGAAGGGTAAGGAATTCGCCGCTGCGCTGCGGTCTGAGATAGCAGATTTAATTACTGGTGATCCAGAGGGTGGGAGGGAGAAAGCGGAGGTCAGGATACAGGCGCTGAGGGACTTGGCGCAGGTGTGGAAGGGCACAGCGGAGGAGAAGGCGAGGGGCAAGTTTGTAGAGGGATTGGTTAGGGTGGCGGAGGATAAGCTGAGGGAGATTGAGAAGGAGAGGGAGAGGAACAAGAGGCCCGGGAGGAGTGGGAGTGTGAAGACGGCGCAGACGCCGGCGGTACCGCAGCAGAAATCGGGAGGTGGGTTTCTGGAGAATCTGCAGCGGATTCGCGGATTTGTGGAGTAGGGACATGAATCTTTGGACATGTATCAACATCAGATAATTGAACGCGATGTCACGTGAGACCGTGTTGATAAAACTGTCATAAAAATGCTCACTCAATCCAGGTGAGATGGCGTCAAGGCAATCGCAGCATCACAGTGAGGCAAGCTGAATTATTTCATCCGTGTTATTCATTCGTCATGATCTCATAGTACTAAAACAAAACAAGCCCAGCTCCAATGTCACCTAGTCGCAGCACCCCAGAACGCAAACCTCGTCAGCTCCACCTCTCTACCTGGCAATATACGGTTGTCCCGAGGGAGCCAGCCCGAAGGCGGCTACAACCAACAAGATTCCCTTCAAGCCGCGATAGAGTGGAGGAGAAGCTTGATCCAGCTCTAAAGCCAACTGCTCCTAAGGAACCATACAGTAGCCTACGAGCGAATGACCTCCGATATCTCCATGTGACCCAATAACGCCTTGCATGCCTTCAGGCCCGTGTTTCCGGCCAGGGTATCATAAACGATTGAACGCCGCCCCGATGCATCCCAAACTCCGTAATCCTCTCAATTTCGTTCTCTCCTAATATGTGGGAATGGCCTGCAGCTGTGCCAAAGCACGCTTGCCCTCCGCGCGGAATGCTGCAATCTGCTGCTCGCATGCCTTGCGCAACTTCTCCTCTCCTCGCTGTGCGTTATACATGACCCACTGCTCAATCGTCATCGCCTTCTCCTCGTCCGTCAGAGCAGCCAACACTGCAGCCTGGATCTGCTTTGGTGTGGTTCCAGTTGCGGTGAGCTCGTCCAAACCGGCATCGACCAGAACCCCGTTGAAGAAGCCCTGTACCTCTTCCTGGTTGCCGAAGAATGCGTCCATGTCGGTTGGCTTCCAGCCGTTGTTCTCGTCGTCTTCAACCTGCTTGCGAGAAGGGGTCTTGGTAACTGCGGCCTCCTTCATATGAGCCGGTGTTCGCTTAGGTGTACCAGCTAGCACGCTTCCTGGCAGGCTTGACATGGTGAAGGGCTCGGTGACCGTTTCCGTCGTGGGCTGATTCTTAGGAGTGCCGACGTCAAGGTCATCTGGGAAACTGGACATGCTTGAGAAACGCATACGCTTGGGGGGGTCATGGTGGATGTCAGACATCTGCATGTCATCCTCAATGGCTTCACTGGTACGCTTCTTGCCACGGGGCTTAGCCTTGGGCAATTCGGAGTCATCGGTTGCCTCGCTGATGCGCTTCTTTCCGCGGGTTGTCGCCTTGGACAGGTGGGTGTCGTCAATCGCCTCGCTCGCGCGCTTCCTTCCTCGAGTGGTCGCCTTGGATAGCTGAGTGTCATCGATGGCTTCACTAGCGGGCTTCCTTCCTCGCGTGCCGCGAGTCGTTGCCTCGGACATTTGTGTATCATCCATAGACTCGGTGGCGGCCTTCTTGCCACGGGTAGCCTTCTTCTTAGGCGCTACTGTCTCCGACATTTGCGTTTCGTCAACAGCTTCGCTAGCACGCTTTCTTCCACGTGTAGCTTTCTTCTTTGAGGCCGTTGTGTCAGACATCTGCGTGTCGTCAATCGCCTCGCTGGCTCGAGTCTTTCCTCGTGTAGCTTTCTTCTGTGGGGCTGTCGTAGAAGTAGCATTGCTGGCGATGGACGAACGGCTAGACGCCCGCTTTCCTTTCGTGACGCGCTTTGCTTTCTTGGGCTCTGGTGCGACTGGGTGATACAGTTCGCTGAGTGCAAAGAAGAGACAGTCCGATGCTCGACGACGATGCTCCTCAAGTGGGTCATCTCCTGCGTCCCAGGCGTCTAGGGACAGGTGACAGTAGGCGCATGTCGCACCATCCGGGGTCTCCTCTGTTGGATCATAGAACCAGCCTGCTTCAGCTAATTGATCGACCGAAGGGTAGCCAGCGCTGACGTCGAGGGGCCACAGATCGCCGAATGTCTCTTTACGTGCAGCGATCATCCGCTCACTGATCGGATCTTCTTCGGTTCTGCCGGGATCTCCATGGCGAAGTCGGATAGTAGTGACAACAGCAAAACCACAGCTGGGTGAATGTGTGAGATGCTCATATGCAGGGACGTCGGCCTCTTCCCAGCCATCGAGCTGGCAGTTGCAGGCCCAGCACTGGACGTTGTCTGGGCTGACTGACGTGGGCCTCCATACGAATCCAGCGAAGGCCAGATCTTCTGCACTCGGTGCTGCCAATGGCCATGCTGCCTTTGCTTTTGGCGCAGCCTTCTTCGAACGTGAACTGGAGCGTCTCGTCTTTGCGGCAGGTGCTCCTTGGAATGTTGCAAGTCGCGCCTGGAACGTAGCCATTGACGCGTCCATGGTAGGAGTTGCGATGCGTCAATGCGACTTTAGTGTGTGTTGTTAGATTTTTGAGTGTCGGACTGTGATCGCGTGGTCTGAAAGATGGGTTGGATGCGCAGAATAGAGTCTTCCGCGTCGTTGTAGCGTTTCGTGTGTACGCTGGCTTGGATGGGAAAAGTGTTGATGGGGAAGGCGCGCGTAAACAAAGTCAATCGCGAGGGGTCCGCGCCATCCCGAAAGCGATCAAGCTCGGGCTTACGTCATCCGAGCTCCCTCTTCGCAACGCCTGAGGCACCGAGCTCAGCACAAGATGAATCGACTTCGCCCATTAGTACGGATAGCTGGGTGCAGAAGGCCAGTCGCCCAATGGAATCGCCGCTTTATATCGTCGCAGCCGACGGAGCCGACCGAAAAAAAACCGTACGAATACCATGCGCTGCCTCCAGAGTGGGAGGATGAAGCTCCGTCGCTGTCCGACTTCAAGCAGCTGCCGGAGGGTTTCGGCAAGAACCAGTTGATGCAGACGAATGAAGAGTTCAAAAGAAGCTTGAGAGGCATCCTGCGACAGTTCCCTCCTATAACGTATGCGTTTGCCTACGGCTCTGGCGTCTTCCCTCAGTCAGCTGCAACAGCGTCGCGTACCACCAATTCGCCTCATCCGAACCCGCCTGAGGCGATATTGAAATGGCAGAAAGGTGGTGGGAAAATGATAGACTTCGTCTTGACGCCGCGCTTCTCAGAGCACTTCCATTCGCTGAACTTGCGCAGCCACCGTGACCATTACTCCTTCCTAGGCTCCCTTGGCTCAGGAGTTATAAACCGTGTGCAGAAACTGGGCGCCGGCGTGTACTTTAACCCATACATAACGGTCAATGGCACGATGATCAAGTATGCGGTGGTGGACTATGACACTCTGCTTCGCGACCTTACCGAATGGGACACGTTGTACCTCGCCGGACGACTACACAAGCCCGTCAAGATTCTGTTCGAAGAGCCGAACATCCGTGTCGCAAACCAGCGCAACCTCCTCTCCGCCGTCCGATGCTCGCTCCTACTCCTCCCAACAAGCTTCACCGAGAAGGAGCTATACTCTACCATCACTGGCTTGAGCTACCAGGGCGACCCGCGCATGCAGTACGGCAGCGAGAATCCTAAGAAGATCTCCAATATCGTCAACAACCAATTGCGACACTTTCGCTACCTCTACCACGATCTGATCATGTCACTACCTAACATGCGATACCTCGACGAACAGGCAACGCGCAAATCAGGGTGGATGGAAGATGACAAGCTGGATATACAAGCTTGAGCAGGACATGGATCCCGAGCGACGCGGCAATATTGTTCGGCGGTTGCCCAAGAAATTCAGGGAAAGGGTTTACTTCCAATACCGCGGCAAGATTGGCATGTCCGGCCGCGATTACCAGGAGATGCTGGAAGCAGCGACGGATGAGGATGCGAAGGGGGGACTCAAGAAGCAGTTGGGAGGTGCTTTTGACAAGAGTCTAGCTGCGGAGAAGGATCTGCCGCAGATGGTGACGAAAGCCATCAATCAGACAGTCAAGTGGCCCTCGTCAATCCAGAGCGCCAAAGGCATACTCACTGCAGGCCCTGAGAGAGCGTGGCGATATCTGCAGGAGAAGAGGGCTAAGGGACGGGAGAAGTCGACTTGAAAAACTGGAGCCGAGGAGCTCGCCAGTCTTTTGCATTCATTCCATTTGTAGCATTACCTAAAAGCACGAGCAAGCGAGCTGCGTCATGGCATATTTTGAGAGCTGCATGCAGTCGCCGTTGGAAAGGCCACGGGTCAGGCTTGGGCTGAGAACAAAAGTACACAATAGAATCAATATCAAATGATGTAAAAACGGCCAAGCTAATGTGTGTCTGCGTGGAAGGGTAGATGTGCCAGATTCGCACACAGCTTCTCCCGGATCGCGGAATGCAGCGTATTAATGAGGGGTTTCCACACATGCTCAAAATACCGGCGCGGCAAGTTTGTTCAAAAATACAAAGATGCACGAGCTTGCACAACCCTATTCATCTAAACTGTGCACCCGATGATAAGTCATGTAATGTAAGACTCTACGCGCAAGGCCAGCTGAACTATGGGTGAAGCGTGAAACAAAGTTCCTCAGGTTTCTTACTTTCTTTCGTGCATTTTTTGCCTCATTTTGGACAATCTCTAGTTAGAGTGTGGTAACCTAGGTACTCTGAGGTCATACCTCCGGTGCAGACATGTGGCAGTAGAGACCAAAGTTAGGCGTAGGTAGAGAAATTAATACACATTTTGCCTACATCGAGTAGACTCGACTGCTCATTTATGAATAATGAGCAACTACATGGATAACTAACAGACAGTGCTGGGGAAATTTGGTACTTTCACTGACGTGCCCTGGTCAGGCTTAGCTTGTTTTCGCGTAGCTCGTGCGTTGCGCCCGAGCCCCACCCCGCAAACATCTTTATTGAGCAAACGTTCAAGCCTACAGTTTTATTCAACCAGCCAGGCAAAAGAGTTGGCGTGTCATCGCGAACAACTCATTCGAACCATAACGGCGACAGTCAGAACCTGACCAGCCCTTAGGTTAAGCACGACCATAATCAAAGACAAGGTCAGCTTTACAAATCCGACAATGGAGTCCGGTGCGTCGATCGATCTCGATCCAGGCTCCGGCCCTACAATACAAACGGGGACGTCCTCTTCACAGCCACTAGTGAACGAGGCACAGAAACTGCTTTCCAGATGCCGACGGACTATCAGCGAGCGTACACAGAACAGTCTACCTACCAGTAGTCTCGTCAATGGACAGCTTCCAGAGAAGGACTATATTGCTCTTGAAGATCTTCGCAAAGATATACTGAAAGTTATCACGGAGCGCCTGAAGGCGCGCAACATCACTTCTATGCTGATCAAGACTAACAAGTTCTGGTGGTGCCTCCCCAAGCAGTGAGTTATTCAACTTCGACAAAACTCCGGCGACTACTGACATGCGGCAGTCTCGATCAAGAATCTCAATTCCGTCTACTCTTACAAGATCCGTTTGCTATTGGTACGCATATGCTGAAAGATATGCTCAAACTTGAGGCGTCTACACCTGATAGCGACATCTCACCTCCGAACGCAACGCTTTTCTACATTCGGACCTTCACAGTCAGGGTCGAGGATCTTCGAAATGTGCTACATGCCATGCTCCACGATGGCTTCGATATGAATGAACGTATATATGTCTGGCTTGAAAGGATAGAAGACATGAGCGACATCGCATACATCACCCTCAGATACTGTGGACAGACGAGGAACAGACCCTGGGATCGTCATGTTTCAGACATATATTCCGTATCGTTGCGGTCATTCTTCAGTCGATTCTTGAAGACTTGTGGTATGATCTGTCCCTCAGTATTGGAGAGCGCCCAAGTGGATGTCGTGGAGCACGCGAGTGCGATTCTTGGTGCACCTATTGGCCCAAATCTTCAAGAGCTGAACGAACAAGTACTAATTGCCTTGTTTGGAGACAGCGTGCTCAACACAGAGGCTGGGGGTAATGAAACAATCTTGATGACGCAAGAGGACCGCGATGCATTCGACAGCCTACGCACGAAGACTTTATCCGCGCTAGGAACTACGAAACCTTGTCCACCAGCCACAGAACAAGCTCTTCGACAGTACGCAAAAGATATTCGAAACTATGTCAATCAACATCCTTCAACCACGAAAGGTCAATCGAAAGAACACACTTTCTCGGATGCTACCGAGAACATGTTGGTGAGGCAAGGCAAGCCCAATGTCCTGTCTGATGGTTCAGCTGTCATGGTAACGGTTGGTTCTGACTTTGGCGACACGCACGAAGATGATGAGGAACCATTTTTCGAAGCGGGCGGCCGTAGTGTCGACTTGGTCACGGTGCTATACAACAATTTCGGTCATTGGGAGCAGAGCCTGAAAAGCTCTTTCAACCAAGATCTAACCAAACATCTGGCGAAACAGAGCTATTTGCCTTTTTTCGACTTCTTTCCTTGGTTTGTTAAGCATAAGGACGACTTCAAGGCTGCCAGCCTCTTTGCCAAACAGTACCTTAACATCACGAAGCCCTATGTGCTACTCACATACGGCAACATCGTATGCTACTCCTCCTTTACTTTATTTGAACCCGACTTGCTGACCAGTAGCAGCCTACCTACGCCGGTATGAAGAGCTTCCAACCGTTTACTCAGGGTGCATACGAAACCGAGTATAGCAAGCTCAGCAAAGCAAACGACAGTGAGGCGTACTGGCTGAAGGAGGTGATGGGTGTTCCTCAAATGGCGTCATTCGATGGTGCTCAAGGAGTTACACTGGGCGCAGAATGTGTCCTCATCCCATGTTTTCATCCTGGACGAGTCGGCCATGCCGGTATTTTGAAGACTTTAATCACACGTTTGTTGGCTATGGTTTCTGGAATGGCATGGGCGGCTATGGAATATGCAGTCACGGTCGATCACAAGAACCCGAACCTTCCACGGAAGCAAAAATGTGAGCAGATTCTCGGACAGCTCAATATGCAACTGAGCTCAAATCACCCGTTTGGGCAAGCTTTCGAGAAGTCAAAGTCAGAGTACGCCGTAGCTCAGACCGCAGATTGGCAGGCGAGGTTTGCACGAAAGAAGACAGTAGCCATTGGCAAGCCTCCCCGGGGTATTCTTGCTACTAAGGTCCAGAGAAAGGCGAAGCGTTCGCATCTCGATCTTCATGCTGGAGCTATGGAAGCAATTGGTGATTCATACGAACTCAATATTCAGCACTATCCATGGGCTGGTGGTGGAGATAAGGACAAGCGCCATACTCTTATTTGGACCGAAGATGATGGACAAGTTTGGAGTATAGGACCGGTTCTGCTTCCGGAAAATGTGCTGCCTTCCGACGGGAACGACAAGCGGTTTGTTGTTTTGTAAGTCCCCCAAGTTCACTGTTAGTATCGATTATATGATCTAATTCAACTAGTACCGAAGGTGGTCTCGACATTCGTAATGGGGCCGGTGAATCGAAGGGCGACAGGAAACCGCTTCTCAGCGGCAACAGCAAGACGGAAACCGTGCCAATTGCCAGTCTCGTGCTCACATTATGTGAACAAGCCCATTGGACGCTGTTCATCTCTCATTGGGAAGACGTAACAGGGCTCTCTGTAGACTACGTTCTTGGTTCGAAGCTTGCAATAAGGAGCAAGGCTTCATCTTCCTTGTCAACTGCGAACGAAGACTATTACCCGAACTCATTCTTCGCTGGCTCGAAGAGAGGGCTACCTTTCACTTGGGTGTATCAAACAGTCAAGACGAAGGAGAAATACCTCAGCATCATCAACGCTACACTGCCAGCACAGCCTGGAGATCTAGTCTGGCTCATCGACAGATACATTGCCGAAACACTACCCAATGGTGGTGACATTGATCTGGTTCCTGCGTCCGTTCACGCCAATTCGGTTTTTGCACAGGTCGCCTCATTCTGTATGCAGGCAAAATACAAGAACCATCCGCACCTACGAACGTTCCTCGCTTTTGCAAGCATGTCAGAAATGGGTGTAGATGAACGACTGGTCCCTGCAACTGCCTTCACAAATGTGGTCGAGGTACTTTTTGGCAAGTTCGGCAAGAAGACTAAGACAGTCAGAACCAAGATCGCCAACGAAACTCGTACTATGAGCCGGGTTGTGCTCACTATCGGTACCGAACGCCAGTCTGGTGTTCTACAAGAGATTGAGGAACCGGCTTTCGAACAAGATGTGATCATTGAGGGTGATGTTACGGACGATGAAGGACAAGAAGACATGTCGCGGGGGCAGAAGCGAGGGTTTGACGGTGACGATGATGGAGGCGAGTCCAGCAAGTCTGGTGCCAAAGCATTGAAGGGCAAGGGCAAGAATTAGGCACAGATAAGAACAAAGGTTCCCTAGATATTTGGCAACAGCACAGAGCATCTTAGATCTTAGCGCAGCTTAGATGTTTTAATTCAAGACTATAAGGTCTAACGAACTGTCCGCTTTATACAGCTCTGCTTCTATCTCTGCTAATTCCTTCTTGCCTAGAAGATCTTATATGCATCTTAAAACTTCTAGATATTAACTATAAGCTTCTTATAGTTAAACATAGAAGAAGAAGAAGAAGAAGAAGAAGAAGAAGAAGTTAGAGACTATATCTATAAAGAGTATAGAAGCAAGAACTTACTATATAAGCTAACTTAGAAATAATACTTTCTAAGAGCTAGTATAAGAAGATTAAAAGCTCTAAACTATTAAAACTAAGAGAAGAATTAACGTTATTCTAAAAGTTATAAAGTATTATTATTATGATAAGTTATGCTTAATGCAAAAGTAGTTAATTAAGTTGTTAACCTCTAAACTACTTCCTTCTGCCTTTATACTTCGCCTAATATCCTATTAGGCTTAGGCCCTGCGCTAACGCATGTTACTTCACTACATTATATAATATATCTAAGCGCGCTAATAGTAAATAACAGCTTAAAATAGCTTTTGCTAATTTATAATCTATTAATATATAGTAGTTTATATAACAGCCTATAAGTTAGTAAGGAAATATTTAAAGTAATAATTATTTAGATTATTATAGAGCAAGATTATTACTCTATCTAATAAACTAAAAATTAATTAAGTACTCTTTCTTAAAATTAATACTATATTTAACTCTAACTAGTATATAAAAAAGTAAAAAGTAAATTATTCGGGCCTCACTGGGAATTGCTGTACACTGTTAGATTCGAAGTCTTAACCCATTAACTTGCTGAAATAGTTAAACTTACAACCCAGGACCTCCTGCATTTGCGCTTTGGTAACCCCTGCTTGATGTATTAGAATGGCGCTCCTCAGACGACAGCTTATGAATCTTACAAAGCAGGAATCATACGACTAGCTGCGGTAGCGTTAGTGAAGTGAAAGGTGGGGGAAGGATAGAGGAGACGTACACCATAAGGCCGGATTCATTTTGATGAGTAAGCACCAATTTAGATAACATATAATGGAAATCGTAAAAAGGAAGACGTGGAGTGTTGTGCGTGTTTAATCGCTCACGATGTGGGTTAACAAGGGGCAAGCGAAGGGCGGAGTGGAGACAGCGGGTGCGGGGCTTCGCTGGCGGGATGCAAGGCATGATTGGACAGAATCGAAAGAAGCATATAAAGAACATGTCGGCATGAAAGCACGCAGAATCAAGTAAAAGTAGAGTGGTCAAGAGAAAGTCATAAATTCAGGTCGTTACAGAGGTATCATATCCAAACCCACCAAAACTCCAAAGCAACAACCAAAAGATCACACACTATCCTCCTAAAATATCAACACCGAAGAGCAATCTACTACAGATCATTGCTGCGGCCAGCGAATCTCCAATCCCCGCGTCCGATCGATCTTGACGCCCTCCTTCTCATCTACCCGGACCTCCTCGCCCAGAATCACCGTCGCAAGTCTCCTCATAACCTCCTCCGCATCGATCAAGTCACCCGCCTTACCAGGCAAGCAGTCGCCCATTTCGATCTCCCTGCCCTTTAGCGTCTCATACGCCTTCACGCTATCCAAGCTCATGAGTTCGCAGAACACCTGACACAGCACCACCAATTCCTCGGTCATGTCGAATTCGTAGCCCCATGCGGCGAAGACGGCGCCGACGTAAGGTTGTTTGTTTTTGTTGAGGAACTTTTGAAGTAAGTGGGCGTTGGTCTGGGACAGAGGGGTGGGGGGAGTGATGTTGGGTGAGAACAGGGCCAAGTGCTTCTGGTTGATAGCGTATAGCCTGTCCAGAGTCTTGTAATGTGTTTTAGTCCAAGGCTCAACCTTGGGAAGTGGGCTGAGCTTTGAGAGGATGGGATGGGGCTTGACGACTTTGTCCTGTCGGGTGACGGTGGACCACAGTGACGACGTCATGCGGGTGAGGACTGTTGGTCGCTGTTGTGGTGCCTCAGGTTGTGCAGCAACAGCAGAGGGCTGCTGTACCGAAAGGGAGCTACTTGCGGTCTCTGTGGTTGATTCGCTTTCATTGTCCCTTCGTAGACTCTCGATAGGCTTTGCTGGTGCCGGTTGGAAAAGTGGAACCCTCTTGCGTACAGGTGACAGCATCTTCATCCGCGGTGGACTTGACGCAACTTTGCTGATATGAGTCCGGCTGAGTTCCGTCACCTCCTCGATCTCGTTCAAGCTGCGTTCTTGTGCTTCGTAGGCTTCCAGATATCCGTCCGCTTCATTGCGCACGCGCCGGATGCTAGATGCTGTAACATCTCCCATTTCCATTTGAAGTTGGCGTTGGTCAGATGCTATGGAGATTTTGCTCTCTCCGTCTACATAAGTATGAAATGGTGAGCTTTGTGGAAGCGGTAGCGACGATTCTTCGTGAAAGCGAGAATGGGCCTCAGACGAGAGTTCTGAGCTGCGCAGCTCTCGCCGGAGTGGACTACTTTTGTGGGGAGAGCTTGGAAAGCCCGAGAAACGTGGTGGTGTGTTGAGAAATGGATTAGTCTTTGTCGCTGGAGACGACTTCTTTGTCGCAACAGGAGGTGAAGATTCCGGAACCAAGCTCGCACCCTCATTCATGAGTAGCGTCAGATCCAACTTTTCTGTTTTCCTTTGTTTTAGGTCGCGCGAGTGCCTTTTGCTAAAGATGTTGGGCATGTTGGATTGGAAGAACATGCCAGTATCGTCGCTACCATCACTAACAGGATCATCTTCCTCGGACATATCTTCATCATCGTCCACTTCATTCTCCTCATGTTCGTCTTCGACAAGCTCCTTCTGTACTGGAGCGTGCTGCTGTGGCGACTCTGCCTCATCGCTATACTGGAAGTGGTTGCCACTCTCGCGCTCGCCAAGGTGCGAGGGAGCTTGCCACGAGCCGGCGCGACAGGACCCGGCTCAAAGAGATCTTGTACCTGCGGGACGTTGTCGGTTCCAGCGGAGTTAGACGATCGGCTGGCTTCCTCCTGCCAAATATCGCCATAGTCTTCTTCGTGCACCTGAGTGACCGCATGAGCTACAGACTGGATCTGTGCGCTCCCGTGAGATTGCTCAGGCTGATCCTCCATCGCAACAGAGTGCCGACGCTCAGAGTTGATATTCGCCGCAGGTGGAGAATCAAGCTGCCAGCTCATCTCGTTTTCGCTCCTTGCTGGGCTGGGTAGCGACTTCTCCGTCGTAGTGTCAAGTATTGGGTACTGGACGTCGTTGCCTTCGGCCTCAACATCCTCTGTAACGACAAAATCGTCATGGTCTTCCGGTGTAAGAAGGCGTGGCTCGCGATGCTTTCGCTTCGACTTGAAGACGCCTTTGGGTGCAGTCTCCGGCTCTGCATTTGGCTTGATAGGACTAGAGTGATCTCGAGACGACTGTCCTTCCTCCTGGCCTTGGGCAAGCTGTTCACCTAGACGAAGACCTGCTTGCAGCTCTTTGCGAGTACTGTCGCTGAAGCCACGGAAGAGGTCGTCCAGCCTGTCGCGTTTGTCATCCAGCATCTTCTGCGAAGGCTCGGGTGTGAGACGACTGGGGTCCAAGACTCCTTGCAGGGCAACGCCCGCGGTCACCACACGGCCGAGTCCCGGAGTCTCGGCTTTGGGTGGTGCCACCTGGACCGGCGCAGGTTCAGGCGGCGCAGAAGGGATTGCAGCGTCGATGACTGGCGTTACAAAGCGTCTGAATGCCGGACGCGACAGGCCTGTGTTTGGCTGTAGACTAGACGACACGTTCAACAGTTTTGGTGATGGAGCCGAGACTTGTTGGGCTTTCGGAGGAGAAGTGACGCTCATAGATGGCTCCAGATACTCGTGCCTAAGCATAGAGCCACTTTGAGGCGTGGGCTTGCTGTTCACTTCGGCCTTTGGTGGGCTGGTGAGACCGCCACTATGGGGTAGTGACTCGACTGAGATCATGCTGAAGTTCTCGCTGTCCATCACTGTGGTATCGTCTGGCATGCGAGTGGTTCCCTCATCAAAGGCAAAATTGGTGGCATCCTGAAGCTCTTCTTCGTCATCCTCAGTTGGCTGATCAGAAAGCATTTCTCCGCACGCAACAGGGCCTTCAATTTCAGGATATGCATCGACCGAGTTCGATTCGTGCTCGACCACAGCGCGCGTTTCTTCCGGTGCGCCTGCAGTGGCGAACGGATCCTCCATCTCTTCGTCGGCACCGTTGTCATCTTCTCCGCTAGTTGGGGTAAGAACATCGCTGTCTTGGTCTGATTCTTCATCCGACGAGATGGTCACGGCTTTCTTGGCATGTGGCGTGTTCTTGCGAGCGCGTAGTCTATCTCCCAGCTCTGTTCGCGGAGGTGTGTCAATGACTGGTAGTTCATACTCTGGCAGGAAACCCCTTCTGCGACGGTCGGCTGGTAGCGTGAGACGTGTGTCGTTCTGCTTCTTGTCCTGTGGAAGAGCGGAGCTGGGTGGTTGTGGGGTCGCATCTGTGGTCTCAATATCTGGGACAGATGCCAGCGGAGTCGCAAATCGTGTGCTCTTCTGTGATGTTGATGGCTTAGACTTTGCTGTAGGAATAGGTGTCGCTTCCGGTGATGGCTCGTCATGGATCTGAAGTGCCTCCATGATGATGTCTTCGTCCTCTACGGGGGGCTGTGCGTTCTTCCTTGGCCGTCCTCTCCTCCTCTTAGGCGGGGCATCCGTGTCTACATCTGCCGCATTCGCATCTGTGGCCCCCGTGCTTAGATCTCGTGACTTTGATCTTGCCGCCCGTTTCTTTGGCGTTCCAGCTCGCTTAAGTTTGGGAGTCGCTCCCACGTCGGACTTCCTTGGTCGACCGCGGCCACGCTTGACAGGCGAGGACGCGTCAGGGTCCTTCAAAGGGACAGTCGTGGTCTGTGTTCTCGTTGTCACGCGCTTGACGCTCGGTGACTGCGCGTTCTCGTCGTCACTTCCTGGTTCGGCATGGACGGTGACCTTGATCCGCCACGGGCTTGCGCTGCCCATCCTGGGGGTGTTCATGACCATGGCCTTGGATGGGGACGAGAATTCGAATTCAGAGACGCCTCCTCGTCGGTTCTGCTTGCTTGGAGATGTGGAGCCTAGCGGTCTTCGCGGTGTTGCTTTGCGTGCTGACTTTGCTTTGTTTTCATCGAAGGACATGGCCAATGGGTCGGGGCTGGAGTCGTTGCTGCGAACATCGAAGTCGCTCGTGACTGGAGAACGACCGCGGTATGCCATAACTGCAGCAGATGGCCGGAATTTCGTGTATAGTTTGGTAGCGATGGTGTTGCAGAGGCCAACGGTTGGAATGCGGGCGCGATGTGGGCCACGCGCGTGTCGTCACCCTAGCAACAATCTTATCTGCACCCCAGCCGGCGCGTCACACCACGACAAGGACCGGCGATCTTCTTTGTGCATGAGCATGGAGTGGCGATGGGTATTCACGGGTGAGTATTTTCGAACACGTGAGATGTTGCAGGACTAATGCGCGCAGTATCTACAAGGAGATCGGCCCCGGAAGACGCATCGCGCTCTCAAAACTCGCCTTGGAGAAGTTTGAAGACACTGGGCGGCCGCTTCGCATTGCTATAGACACATCAATATGGCTCTTCCAGATACAAGCCAGTAAAGGTGCGCAGTGTGATGATGCACCCAAGTGAGAGACGCTGACAGGTCAGGTGGCACGAATCCTGCGCTTCGTACCTTCTACTATCGCCTCCTACGACTGATCGCCTTGTCCATTCATCCCGTCTTCGTTTTCGACGGCCCCAACAAGCCGCCCTTCAAGCGCAATAAGCGCACGGGACCTAACGTTGCCTCCATCCCCGAATTTCTGGCGAAGCAGTTATTGAAACAGTTTGGATATCCCATACATCTTGCGCCTGGCGAGGCCGAGGCAGAATGCGCACTTCTCCAGCGCGAAGGCATAGTCGATGCTGTTTTGAGTGAGGACGTCGATACGCTGATGTTTGGGAGCGGCATCACGATCCGCAACTGGTCACCAGAGAAGGGGTCATCAGGCAAGACTCCTACGCACGTCAACGTCTATGATGCTGTAGAGACGAAGAGTGGACCTTCAGGACTGGATCGCGATGGCATGATTCTGGTCGCGCTGATGAGTGGAGGCGACTATGTGCCAGAAGGCATACCAGGGTGCGGCCCGAAGACGGCGTGCGAAGCAGCCAAGGCAGGATTTGGTCGCGATCTCTGCCGCATACCGACTAGCGATAAAAGAGCTATGTCCGAGTGGCGAGAGAGACTACAGCACGAGCTGAAGACGAACGAGAGCAAACTCTTCAGACGAAAGCACGGCACCCTCAAGATTCCCGACGACTTTCCCCGACTGGACATCCTAGGATACTACACGCACCCGGCGATTTCGAATCAGGTCGGGCTGGACAAGCTGCGACGCTCGATCAACTGGGACCAAGATCTCGATTTTCCTGGACTGCGAGACTTCACTCATGATGCCTTTGACTGGGTCAAGCTGGAGGGTGCGAAGCATTTCATCCGCAGTCTTGCACCTTCTTTACTTGTTCGCCAGCTGCGCATACGATCCAAGGACCTGGATCGACTAACTACGGACAACCTGAAAGCGATACAAGAGGACGAATCTCTGTTGGTCAAAGGGATACATGGGAAGCGACAACACCCGGTGACTGATAATTGCACAGAGTTGCGCGTGAGCTTCACACCTATCGAACTTGTCACCATCGACTTAGATCAAGAAGAGCCAGATGATGAGCCAGATCTGCCGCCTGCAGGCTCGCAAACGGGTGAAGTCGATCTAGACGATGAAGTAGCTGATGAACTTGAAGACGATGGCCCGAAGAAGCGTGGACCAACGAAGTTCGAGCCTAGCAAGCCTGCTAGGATATGGGTATTGGAATCGATCGTCAAAGTCGGCGTACCCTTGACTGTTGAGGACTGGGAAGCTGGGAGGCAAACGAAGCAAAAGCCTCGACGACCTGCCATGGCGCAGGAAACAGCGAGCACCGCGCCGAAACCCACCAAGGCACGGCGCACGAAGCCCGCAAATAATGTGCCTCAAGCCTCCATCAACCAATTCGCAAAGGTTACAAAGCCAGGGTCGAAGCTTTCCCGCACATTTGCGAAGACTCTGGATGACCTCTCTGAGACACGGCAGCCTACACCACAAATCGAGGATGTCATAGATTTATTGTCCTCTCCACCTGTGGCTCGGAGGAGTGTTGCGCCGGCACCAAGACCAGCCTTTACGAAGTCGCCTTCCCCTGTCTTGCCAGACTTGCCCGCGAGCGTGACGAAGAGGAAGAAACGAATGCCGATGCAACGTTCACACACCCTTCCAGCGCAGCTTGGAGAGACATTTGAACGACCCAAGACACCACCATTGCTGAACACGGTGGATTCATTAGATCTGCTCAGCTCGCCGGTTCTCCCCTCGCCATCACAGCTACCCACAAAGAAGGCAAAGACTCGCACTAAGACGACACAAGCTGGGAGAGCGCCTCGTGGTACTTCCGTACCTGTGTCACCTGGTAAAACACAGCAGACCACACTGGACACATGGAGAGCATCTGCAACGCCTACAAAGTTGCGTGATGTTATGCCTGCACTTGATACTACTCGAATACCAGCGCCGTTGGACCTTCGACCGTCCCGCAGCGGTTTTGATGAGCTCGATCTAACGTCGTCACCCACACGGCCAGCGCCATCGAAAGCAACACAGCTAGTGCCTCCAGCTTCTCGAAGAACTGCTGCTACATCCACGACTCGGCCACCATTGACCTCGATATCTTCCAACTCATCGTCACTGTCATCATGCTCGATACCAGAGAGTCGGAAGAGCTCCAAAGAACAAATACCTACTACACGCAGCAGGCGCACATCACCTCGTTTGCGCAAGACAAAGTCAGCATCTCCTGGGGTGGAAAGTGTAAATCTGCTGTCCTCGCAGCCAATTCCAGCACGGAAACCATCACCGGCTGTCGACTCGATAGATTTGTCTTGTCTATCCTCTCCAGCTCCACCTGCAGTAGAGACAACCACAACCGACGTCGACGCCATCGACCTATGTGATCTATCTTCTCCTGTACCACCTATACTCGACACAGCTACAGACACCGTACCTACGCCCGTATCGCCACCACCCCAAACCACCCAAAATACCACCATCCGTCGCTCCCCGCGCAACCACATCTCATCATCACCTGAGCCCTCGAGCAAAACCTCGCCGCCAGCCGCATGGAAAGCGCGCGAGAAGAAGAAGCGCCAGGTCATATTGCGCAAAAGTGTCGCCGGTGGATGGAACTTTGCAGACGTCGATAGTCCACAGAAAGTGGGTGGTGGTGGGGATGCGGTGTTGAAGGGCAAGGAGCGGAAGAAGTGGAGGGAGAGCGAAGTTGATTTTTTGGACCTGACTTAGCTTTGTGTATGAGTTGTCTGAGTTTAGAATAGGAAGTGACTTGTTATGATATGACACAAAGTGTTGTTGATTCGTGTTTCTGAGTTCTTGTGTTGACGTGCTAGCAAAGCGCGGCATTGGGCTCGCTTGATTTTCGCGCGTCAGATTGGCGGCACTTTCTTCTTTGCGACGCTTCACGCTGAGATGTAAATTCGCAAATAGACCCGTAGTAAAAGGATCATAATATCGATTTAAGTAAACTTGAACCTGCTGATTCTTCTCATATTCCTGTTCATGTATTCGTCCTACAAATCGATCGGTGTCTGCAACTATGCGCATTTCCAGCAGCGCATCCACCTTAAACAGTGTCGCAAACCAAATGAACTCTTGCCATAGCAAACATGCATCTACCATCGTCTACACGCCGTCATGTCTTACACAAAAATCACCTTCGATGTTCCCGCCGCACAGTGCACAAAGAAAAAATCTGCTCACTCAGAAAATACACCAAGGTCCAAAAATCATCCTCTTCTCGCCCTGGTCTCCTGTACCACCTGTAGGCTGGTGAGGCATAAAAGGGCAAAAAAGAAAGACGGGGCCTGACCGGGATTCGACTATTTGAACGTTAGAAACGCTCATTTCGAACCTGTTGGGTGAACTTACACCCGGGGCCTCCTGCAGAATAGGCTTTGACGTCGACGACGTCGTTCCCAAAGCAGGAATCATACCACTAGACCATCAGGCCGTTTGTTCTCTGTTGTAGAGGATTGATGACAAGATTCCGATTTTTAGAGGTTATAAATAACTTACCAAGCAGTGGATAGAGACGCGTACTGGAACTCACTTTTCCGGAGATCCGACCAAGCAGGATTCAAGTAAGACAAGCGCTAAACTAGCCCTGAAAGTATTAGGGTATTCCGTTGGTTGGTTGTGGAATGAGGGGTCGGTTGGGTTGCCTCAATAGCCGGACGCGAACGGACTTCGGCAAATCTCCATGTTCATCAGCACGGACCATTCTCCCAAGAGGATTCCAACATCATTTTCAGCGACCAGACTAGCAATGAAACTGAAAAGTTTCAACTTCTGTAGATCTAACTCTGGAAGATACGTATATTCGAAAGTGAGGTCCTGATGACACAAAAGGTACCTGCAGTCAGACACTGTCACGTTGAAGCAATGGGCACGGTATGATACATCCCAATACATGGCATTGCAACATAGCAATTGCAACCGTACTTCAAATTGGTTCGCTAGCATCTTCATCAAACGCTGCGTCTTCAAGTTAACCGCGGCCATAGAACTTCAAGGTCAGCAAGTATGAAGGCGTCAGGCGAGTTCAACTACTTCAACATGCATCAAAAACCCGGCGCATGATCTCCCGCACCTTATTTAGCAACTAATTTCCACCTACTCTGTTGTACTGCTGTGACTTTGAGATGCATGCGTCGTAGGCATATGGTGGCTGCTGAAGCCAGATCAGGCCAGAATGCTTGGCGTGCGGACCGCGACTTCTCCTTCTCGGGCATACTCCCATTCCTCGCATCAGCTTCTCGGTCGTTTTCCCCTCTCGCACTATTAACCTAAACTTTTCCGTAGAATCTCTTCATCATACTGGTCGCCGGCGAAAATGAGACCCAGCTTTGTACTCTGCTTGCGCAAGAGAGTTGTCGACTCATTGCCTTCTGTGACACTCGTATCAGAAGTTAAAACATTAGCTGGACTCTCACAAGAAGACTACAAGAAGCTACCCGTACGTCCTTTCGACCATGTTATGTCTGTGAATATGAGCTGACTCTGTTATAGGGTATGATCACGAGGATTTGTAACGGCATGTCCTACGCGGAGTACAGGCACCAGAGTATTGATTTCCAAGAGAGCGTGGTTGATCAAATCAATGCAGAATTGAAAGATGCCGGTGTCGGGACAATAAGTCATGAAATAGGTCGCTGGCTGGTCCTTCGCAATGCTAGAAGTCGTCATGAATATGTGAAGGGTAAGTCGCTTGCGGAACTTTCGGTGGTCTCCGTAACACAGTAAACAGAGAAAAAGCTTTCCGATGACTGGATGAATAAATTCACGGGTGAGCATAGTCTGGACGCAAAGACTGGATGGGGACTTCTCTTGGTAGTGTAAAATGCCCGGAGCCGTCATCGTTTGGCTAATCTTAATGGCAGAGCAGTATTTACCAAGTGCTTGAGGACTACATCGAGAAGAATCAAATCGATGGCTACCATCTGTATTTTAGCGATATCCCGGAGCAAGAACGCAAGGATTTAGCGGACCAAATAAGGTAAGCCATAATCACAATTACCATTCCCTCTAACACCTATCGCAGTAAGTAGGACCCCCGCTCTCATTGGACAAACATTGTCATTTACCTACCTCACGTACCCGTTGTGCCCCTACATTCGTGCGAGACATTCGCTAATTTTGACTCCTCCTCGCCCAGAGGATCTCATGCGCGTCTCGAAACTTCCAGATATTGACCATGAGCTTCTCATGATTAAAATTAGAGGGAGAACAATGACTCGGAGGTCGCATTTGCGAAAGGTGCGGAAGAGAGAACTTGCCGCGCAGGCCGACTCGGAAACAACACCATCTGAGGGCCAGGGCAAGAAGGGCAAAAGCTCCAAACCATCGAAAACAAAAGCAGCATCATCTCGAAAGTCATCAACATCTTCAGGGTCGGATGACACGTTGGAGCGTGCCGACGGTGAATAAGAGCTTGGAAACGTACATTCTGGATCTGAGGACATTCGAAAGCCATGACGAGCTCATTTTTCCAGCGAAAGAATCACGGAATGATCAAGGTGCAGGGCCGACGATGAGAATGCCTAATATCAGCCAGCCACGAAGAAGGCCTCTGTAAGATATCACAATATTGTACAAGCGAATTCAGCTAACTATTATGCAGTGAAGAACAGCAGCAATAGCGTTTAACACATGGCGAGCAATCTGACGATCTCTATCTGAGAAACACATCGAACGGATTTATGTGCTCCTTCCCACCAAACGGCAACAACGGGGGCGATCAACCCCTCTTAAACGTCATATTTGGGAACACCACAGAGCATCTCAGATCCCAGCGCGGCTTAAATATTTCAATTTGAGACTACCAGGTCTGACGAACCGTCCGCTTCATACAGCCTCGCTTCCGTCTCTGCTAGGGTATACCAATCAAAACGCCAGTCCCATTTCCAATTCCTTTGATCCCATAAGACTGTCAATCGCCACGCCACCCCTAGTGGGTCTTGATGTTCTGCCTTGCTAACCACAGCGCCACGCTCTCTTTGGCAACGTCAGTGCCCCATACGCCATCGGCACCTCCGCGACGCCATTCCTCGCCAGATGCGTCTTCGCCGCCTCCTCGTGTCGCCTCACCGAGCAGGACCTCGAGGTCACGCCTCTGCGACGACAGCCAGCGCTTGACGAACGCAACGGGGTCCTTGGACATGCTGGTGAAAAAGGCGTGCTTGGCCTTCGATTGGCCGATTGCGCCCATGAGGAGCACGATTTGCTCGTCGAGCTTCTGGATTTCTTGAAGTGTTTGGATGCTGTCTGGGCGGCGGAGGATGTCTTGGAAGAGCGGCTGCATAGGGTCTTCGAGCGCGACTTGGACGTCGTAGATGGTGGGCTCTGACGCCACCTTGCCAGAGTCCGCTGGTGGTGAGATGTAGTCCTTGTCGACGCGGATCGTGTATTGGAGTTGGATCGGCGGGAGGGTGGTCAAGTGCGGCTTGATGAGCTGCGGCAGGTTGGGGAAGTAGAACGAGTCCTGGCCGCCGAAAAGAGCCTTGAGCTTGGCGTCGCATGCGAATTTGCGCTCGTCATCGTCTTGCTGTAGGTGTTGCGCTCGCGCGTACTCCCAGATGCCCATCAGCACACCGGCGCGGTCTTCTTCGTCGGTGTCTAGTAGTTCTGCGAGGGGTTTGCTAAGGCGGAAGATCTATAAACACATTAGCAAGTCACATCAAAAGTTCAAGCCATCAGAACATACCTCGGGATTCTGGAATCGCTGCAAGTTGACCGTGATGTTGATGTTCTCGTCGCCCTTGCGCTCGAATTCCAGCTCGCTGAAAGTTGTCTCCTTTGCGCCAGGCTGGTCCGGGCGCTTCCACTCGATCTGGGTAAAATTGTCGGGTTGCAAGCTCTTGGCGCGGTCGAAGTCGATGGTGATGGAGCTGAAGTAATTTGAGAACGGCTTGGGCTTCACTGCAGGCTTCGGCTCGCTGTCCTCGTCCATGGCATCTGCGTCCTTCTCGTCCTCCTCATCCTCAAGACCCTCGTCGCCCTCCTCGTCCAGCAAACGGCCCTGGATCTTCACGCGGTACGTCGCATTCGTGTTGCTCTCAAAATCGAATGCGTCGGCATCGATTCCAGTGCTCTGCCAGGGCTGGTTCTCGACGGTGTTGGAGATCCATATGCGCATGGTGCCGTAGCGCGAGGCGCGCGAGTGGTGCTTGGAGTCCATCACGTCGAGCTTTTTCCGCATCATGGTCGCATCGAGATTGCGCTCGACCTCGCGCAACTCCTTGTAGCGGACGACGCCATCGCCGATGCAAATGTCCTCTACGCCCTCTGGAATATTCTTGTCGGTCGGGTTCCGGGCGATGCGCCGCATCTTTTCGCGGCGCTCGGCGTCGATGCGCTGCTGGGCCTGCATGTTGGCGTTGCTGTACTGCTGCTGGCCGGCGTGCTGGGGCGGCACAATGGGGCCTTTACGAAAGGCAAACGCCATGTCAGAAATGCTAATCATGCTGAACGGTTGCGGCAGTTGAGGTAGTTGGGGCAGGTGCGGTGAGCGCTAGGGAAGAATACGCAGGTACGTACCAGGACCTCTGCGCGCGGGAGGCATGGCCATTTGCTGCTGCGGAACATAGTTGGGCCGGTAACTCGGCTGCATCTTGGGCAGGTGCGCGACTGTGTGAATGGCAGCGACGATGGAAGGGCGACGTCTGCGATGAAGACGCGAGAGTGGAGATGGATGGTCGAAGGAAGCTTTCTGGGGACGCGTCTCGAGGATGGAGCTTAGACGTGATTCGCGCCTCCTATATGGCGGGGCTGCAGGCTGGAAACCCCACGAAACTACCCTCCTCTGGAAAGATCATCATTTCTCGTCGTCTGGTTTTGCCTGGAACAGTATTGTCTCTTCTCAGTGGATATGAGATACCATCAAAAGTCATCTTGCTGCCGCTGCAGGCCAGATACATTCACGCTTTAGACGCGTAGCGCTTGGCGAGCGATCCGCGACGTGCATCTAGTCTCGTCAAGTCCATCTAAACGTCATCAGCCTTCTCAAAGTCTTCTCTTCATATGATCCTCACTGACAGTTGATTGCTCGCATTATCGCCCTTGGCCTCCACGCGAAAAAGCTAATACCATGACGGGACGACGTGATCAGCATCAAGGGACCCCCAGGGCTTTGAAGAAGATTGCCGGCGTGCGTTTACCGCATAAAGACTCCTCGGAACAATGGGACATCACTATCGAAGACGGCAAGATATCGTCTGTTGACGCTCACGACAGATCACTCGACCTGAGTGCCACTGACGTTCTCGATGCAAACAACAGGCTCATAGCGCCCTCGCTTTGCCATGCCCACATCCATCTCGACAAATGCTTCCTGCTCCAGGATCCCAAGTACAGTGACCTCCAGATCGAAAGCGGCGACTTCAAAGAGGCCATGGAGATGACTGGAGAGGCAAAGTCAAGATTCGAGGAAGAGGATTTACTCAGAAGAGGTGGCTTGCTCATCGAGGAGAGTATCCAGCATGGCGTTACAGCAATGCGAGCGTTTGTTGAGGTGGATGGCGTAGTGCAGTTGAAGTGCCTAGAGGCTGGCTTGAAGTTGAAGGAGCAGTACAAGGACATATGTGACATTCAGATTTGTGCCTTTGCGCAGTTGCCGCTCTTTTCTGGACCAAACAACGGTGCGGAAGTTCGAGAAATGATGACTACAGCAGCGTCCAAAGAAGAGGTTGAAGTACTTGGGAGCACGCCATACGTGGAAGTCGACGAGAACAAGTCGAAAGAGAACGTGCGTTGGATCACCCAGCTGGCACTGGAGCATGACAAAAACCTGGACCTTCATCTGGACTACTTTCTGGAGGAAGACAAACAACCACTTGTTTGGGACGTTCTAAAGATCCTGAAGGAGCAGGACTGGCCCAAGTCTGGAGGCAGACAGGTCACGCTCGGCCATTGCACGCGTTTGACACGCTTTAAAAAGGACGAGTGGCTACGTCTAAAGCATGAAATCAGTGAGCTGCCTGTCTCCTTTGTCGGCCTGCCTACGTCGGACCTATTCATGATGCGTACACCGGAGAACCTACGTGGCACACTACCCGTCACAGAGCTCATCAAAGACTACGACCTCAATGGAGCAATCTCTATCAACAACATCGGTAACGCATTCACACCGCAAGGCAACTGCGATCCACTGAGTCTAGCTCAGCTCGCGGTTGGTCTGTATCAGGCCGGCACAAAGAACGATGCGGAGCTGCTTTATGTACGTACCCGTGCCGTGTTGCCACTCGCAGCATCCTCTCTAACGCCACTATGCAGGAAACCGTCTCAAATCGAGCGAAGGCTGTCATTGGCCACAAGCCAACATTGTTGAACCTGGAACCTGGCCAACCAGCGGACTTCGTGTTGTTTGACACTTTCGAAAGCAGCTGGAGATGCAGAAAGAGCATAGTTGAAGTGGTCTATGATGCTGGGACGGCACGACAAACAGTCTTGCGAGGCCACTTAACTGCATCTACACACTGACCAGTGAGCTTCGTGTAGCAAACGTGCATCCCGGGTTCCCAACTACGACGAAAAGCACCCAGGGTGGCTACCCACACGATAACCTGGAGCTGTACAAGGTACTGCGAGGTTTCAAATGTGATGGAAAAGCCCCGTGTATTGTTCCAGGCTATGGTATGCCCCATACACATCCCTTTGTAATTGACAGCCTGCTGCACTTTGATAGGTGAAGGCGATCTGGACTTGAGCGTTTGTTTGGTGTCACACAGATCACGTGCTTTCTGTTCACCGACCGCACCTACCACTCATATATTGGCCGTGCGCCTACCCCACAATGACTTATTGAGACAACATCAACACGCAAAATTGATTAGCAACGGCGAAGATAATTCGCACACGCCCGCGCATAGACGTGGAAGCGACATCATGGAGTCGCAAGCAACTCCCGTTCAGACCTCCATCGGCGCCTTGTCAACGGCGTTTCTTGCGAATGTGAAGGTAAGTTTGCAATCACGCGCGTTGTTTTGTCAATACCACTGCTCCTAGCTCTCAGTGGCTAACCCTTATGTAGCTCACGTTCGGCGAGTCACAGGAGGCAACCACCATCTTCGGTGCACTCTGTGAGTTTCGACAAGGCAGAGCTTCGAAAAGAGAAACCATATCGACTATCTCCGAAGCGCTTGGCAACCATCACGACCTCAAGCGTGATCTCCAGAACATACTCGACCACCAAGACGCACGATGGGGAGCCGGTGACTTCGACAACCTACCACTAGCACTGGTCGAGGGCCAACCACCACAGTTCCTTCAGCCTGTTCATGAGCCTCAGATGCGCCATCCTTTCCTCTCATCTCCCTGGGACTCCAACAACGGTCTCCTAACGACGTTCAGCCCGATGGGTCTGACCGGCTTGTCCCAATACTCGACCTTCGCAAAGTCAACTGAGCAGCCAGCGCTCATGCCCCAGAACGGGCCCGATTCCTCGCACCCTCCCAGCCGCGCTATGCTATCTTCGCCATTCGTCCCAGATCTTGTTGGTCCATCGCGTGCGCAGCCCACATATCCTGGCATCGACCAAACATCAGGCTTCCTACCCTACCCACGTCCCAAACAAATCTTCGGCACGAATCCGTCACAGCCGGAGCAAAGCAACATCCCGCAAGAATCTCCGTACCTTGAGCCGTGGTGGAGCGAGGATTGGTTCACCCAGACTGGCCACCAGCAAGGCAGAGGGGAAATTATGTCGACCCAGGAATCGTCCGAGGTTACGAGTGCGCAGAAACCTTTGACTGCCCCACCCGCAGCGTCATTTCTGGGATCCTCCAAACTGAACTGGACGCCTATGCCCATGGATGCGCCAGACATTGGTATGCCACCACCATCTAGGAAGCGCAGCCGTGCTTTATCGTTCTTGCAGCCCAAAGCCGAAGGAGGCCAGGCGTCTGGTAACACAGTTCACGATTACAACGTCAGCAAGAGCCAGACAGCTTCCCCACCTTCAACAAAGGTCTCGCGGGACAGTACTTCAGTTGCTCCGAAAGGCAGTGGCCAGTTCATACACAGCGTATGTGGCAGAGGCTTTACGAGACGTCAAGCAGTTAAGAAACACCATTGGGGAGACAAGCTAGATGACCTGGATACGACTACCGGATGCTGGGCCAAGCACAAGAAGCCAAACGTTAACTGGAACGAACATCCTAGCTGCAAGGTTATATCAAGGGTGCCCGCACTACACTCCTATGGGGTAGGATCTACGTCTGCAGCATCTAATGCGCCGGCTGTTCCTGCCATGGTTCCGAGCTACCGGGACACTATCCCAGGACCTTCGACCTTTCTGCAGTACCATTCTCACGGGCTGCCCGGTACTGCTACACCTTCGAGCAGCAGTCCTTTCCAGGACTTGTTGACCGCTGTCAATATTGCTGCAAGCATCGAAGAACCCACACTGAAAGGACGCATCGATTCACTAATTGGCTCTAACTTAGATGTACAGGCCGATGCAGCAGCGCAGGGACAATTTCGACCTACTTCGAGCTTTACTAATCAACATCCAGGCAACAACGTCGGAAATAACGTTGAACAGTACCACGGTTACTGGCCATCTCTGGGGTACAACTTTGGTGTTGGCTCGTCGTCCCCCGTACCTGAGCCAACGGGAATGAGGTTTTCTTCGCAACCGAACTTCATCGACCCTACCACACCTTTCATGCCACCGATGGCCTCTGACCCAGTCTACAGGCACCAGCACAACTCCACGCAGCTCGACGAGGAGTTTGTGACTGACCCGGGCTTCTTCCTAGACTCAGGACTTGATCAGAACTCGGGATCGGAGCAGGACTCAGGGCTTGATCGGAACTCAGGGTTGGATCAACTCTCACAACCGAGTGCCTCAGGATGACCAAACAGCTAGCCTCCGGCTTCGATGACGAAGGTGGCTAGAAACGAGTTGGATGAGAAGAAGACGCGTTTAGATGGAAGGCGAATGGGCAGTGAATGGATGATTGCAACGTCCGTGCTTTCAGGAAGAAAGAAGACACGCTTGTTGGCCCGGGATGGACTGCCCTCGTCTGTTCGTACCTAGGAAATCATCCACGATAGAAAAGCCACCAATCAAGAACATGAATTTGAAGTACCATGTGAGCAAATTAGCGGCAATCTTCTTCGTTGTCTGCTTGTATGGTGTCTCATCAAACTCGTCAGCCACTTACGTTGATGTCACTGACACTACAGTATGCGTGCACCAGCTGCAGGTTGTACAAGTAGAATGATGGACATACACAGCTTGTGCAGGCCGCCTAATATCTTTTCTTCGAACAGGTAATGGCGTGCCCGGAATCAATACTACTTGCAGTAGTCCGTCCCCAGCTTTTTCCACGCACCTGGTGGCGCTCAACCCCGCGTAAGCATGGACAGGGATGAGGCTGGTTAACCCCAGCCGGGGCTCCACATCTCAATTCAACCTTAACTGATCCATGCTTGTCATCGCATCACGCGAAGATATTCCGCGAATCGCTGTGCCCAGCTAATTATCCGGTGCACTTTGTCTCTTGGAGCATGCACTATCGTGCCGCTCGGTAGCATATGACGTCCGGAGCTTCGAAGCTACCCCAGCAGCTGTCGAGCAGCGCTGCTGCGTCGAACAAAACATAAACAACAACACAGCGCAGATCCAAGGTCAATTGAGATCATACACCCGGACATGCCGACTTGCTAGGTGTATGAAAAGCTACAAGCCTCTAAATCGCTCCACCATGGCGTTGTGTTCCTGCAGTGGTCACGAAGCCTTTTTGCCGAGAGCGGCACACCGTTCCTCGGGAACTGGACCAACCCCGGAATCCAACCTCCAATGAGATAGCGTCTGCGAAAGCTACGGGTGAAAGACAGAAGAACAGGAACCTGGTTAGAAGGGTCCGGGAGCATGTGTACGTGCACTAGCTTACCTTTCTCCATATAAACAACAGTGCTCCCTGCCATGTGCGCTTCTCCACCTCGTCGCTTCATACCACTTCCCCACAATCGCGATTGACAAGTACAAGATGTGGACTTCTACTCTGCTGTCGCTGTTCGCGGCTACTGCCTTTGCGCAGTACGCCACGCCATCCAATGGCTCGCTTGGCCCTGACGCTGATGGCAAGTACGAGATCTCCTCTGAGGGCATTCGCGCGCACTTTATTCCATATGGTGCGTCCGTGTCCAACTTGTTCATCAAGGGCAAGGATGGCGTCGAGCGCGATATCGTTCTTGGCTTCGACAAGGCGATTGACTACGAGGGCAAAGCGCACCCGCATTTGGGCGGTGTCCCCGGCCGTTACGCCAACCGCATCAAGAACAGCACGTTCGAGATCGACGGCGAGCGTTACAACATCTTGCCCAACGAGAACAACAACAACAACACTTTGCATGGTGGACCAAACGGCTGGGATTACCGCAACTTTACTGTTGTCTCGCACACCAAGGACTCGATCACCTTCTCGATTGTCGACCCAGATGGCGAACAAGGTTTCCCGGGCGAGGTCATCAGCTATGTCACATACACCATGACCCCGAACACATGGAAGATCAAGATTGTGGCCATGGCGACTACCAAGAAAACCCCTATTATGCTGACATCCCACGTAAGTAGTCCGCATAGATTAGTGATCTAGACGAAAATCTGACCATGGTAGACCTACTGGAATCTTGATGGCTTCGCCAACCCCGATACACCACTCGCACTCAACCACACTTTCCACCTCCCATACTCTGGTCAGCGCATTGGAGTGGACAACATCCTCATCCCTGATGGCACTATCCTGCCTAACGCACCATACTCCGTGAATGACTTCTGGACCGCGCCCAAGCAGATTGGTGCTAACTACACCTCTCCTGAGCTCCTTGGCAACTGCGGTTTCAACTGCACTGGTTACGACAACTGCTACCTTGTCAACCGTGCTCAGAACGGTCCCTACGACTGGCGCCAGACTGGACCCGTCGCATCCCTTTCCAGCGCGTGGTCAGGTATCAAGATCGACATCTACTCAGACCAGGAGGCATTCCAGATGTACAGCTGCCCCGGTCAAGATGGTACGTAATTCCAATTATTCGCACTAATTCGTTGCTAATCATACACAGGCACTCTCCCCATCAAGAAGACGCAAGGTGTCGAGGGCCGCGCCGCCTTCGTGCAGAAGAACGGCTGCGTTGTCATGGAAGTCCAGGACTGGATCGCCGCGATCAATGTGCCAGAGTGGCAGCGCGAGAGCAAGCAAATCTTCGGCCCCAACAGCAAGACCTACACTCTGGAGGCCGACTACGTTTTCTCGACTACGAAATAAATGTCACCACTCGGATGAGTGAGTGATTAGAATGTCCTAACTGGTCTGAATAATCTCGTGCTTGGGATCTAGATAGGCATCTTTAATACATGTAGTAATGGTAATGAGATTCTTACTCGTATCACCTCTCTGCCCGCTCGTCACTTTCGTATTCTTAGCTCTATGTGCGAGTAGACAGTTGACTTACACCTCATCTTGAACTTTCACACTTGATCTCGACAACGACATCTGTCTTTCTTTCATCCTCCTGCACCGTGGAGCGCATACGTTCACTGCTCGCCAGAAGAAATATGTTCACCATGGTCGACAGCGAAGAATTTGGCAATCTGGAGCCCGATACCGCTGATACGGCACGCGAAAACACTGTCTAGAGCCCCATTCACCTCTCAGCGCTCACTGCGCCTAGCTCAGTGTCATCACTGACGTACTCGCCACCAACTGCTGCCTTCCAAACCCTCACACTCGACGCGAAGAGTGCGCCTTCGCGCTCAGCAAACACCGTGAAGATGAACTACTACCCAGAATCCTTATACGCCGACGATGATGTCCCAGACGCTCCTCCGGACGACCTACACTCCAAGCGCCTCACCGAAAGCCCTCTCTACAGCCGGGCCGCTGCCATGGCCACCGTCCCACGCACCTTCAGCGCCTCGAGAAAGCTACAACAAGTCCTCGGCATAGATGGGAACAAGCCGGAGCCGTACGTCCGCCCGCCGCCGATGCCGCAGGATCTTGAACAGCGGTTCTTGGCCAATCTGCAAGAATACGGCGTCGATGTCGATCTACTGATGAAAGATAGAATGAGCCAAGCCGCTAGGAGACAGCAGAAGATGGGCGTCGGAAATGAACTTGGTAAGTCGGTGCTGGAGATGATCAAGGAGGAGAAAGAGAGTCCGGTTAGCGCCACGCATTTGCAGGAGGGTATGGATGGATTGAATGTGGGCTTGAACATTAACCCACCGATGTGGGATCTTGGTTATGAGGCGGTCTCGGGCGGAGAGTACATGGGAGATCGACCGTCCAGCGCACCTTGTGGGAATACCAACGACTATGCAGACACCAAGTACGGTTACGATCCGTTCATAGGCTATGGATCGACTACCGCTTTTCAGGACAGTCAGCGATCTCGCCCGAGCAGCGCGTCAGCAGCAAACACACAACTTGTTTTTGGACAACCCGATCGACCACATATGGACTCATATGCTCCTGCTACTCACAACCCTGATTACGACTGGATTGGTGGAGGAGACAAGCTGCCACAGCACTTCAGTAGTCTAGCGAACACGTCTCAGTTCACTGGAGAGCAACAAGCGCCCTACTTCCACGATGGCATACAAACCCAGGCTCGCAACTCGTACGACTTCCCCAAGCGCGTTAGCAGTGTTCCAACAGTGCTGTTTCTGCCGCCGCGAGTTGAGCAGCAGATGTCATGGGACTTCGTACAAACTGTTACCGGAGATATTACTCCACAGACCTTCGCGCTTGGTGGGTTTGCTGCTACGTCCACCAACAGAGAGGGTGTCTATCCCATGCGGCCCAGGTCTCAAGGAAGATTGGTACCCCAGATCATGGTACAGGAAGCATCGCCCAGAAAAACGCCACCTCCTACCACTAAGAAACGCCGTGCAACATCTCAAGTAGCACCTCGAGCAAAAGTTCGAGCTTCTGAGGACACTGCCGGTCTGCCAATCCTTCCCGCCAACCTAGATATGATGTGGAAAGTCAAGTTCCCAGGCAACACTTACGCTTTGTTAACCATCATGCTCACCTGGTCACTGTGCATGCGTCGTCTCTCCAACCTGATCCCCGATCCCAAAGCCTTCTCGATCAACGGCGCCTTTCCCTACCTCGTCGAACCGCCAATCTACCAGAAACTCGTCTCTGTCTCCTTCTACGACACCAGCGTGACTCCGCACAAGGAGAGCCGCTTCCTCGGTCCCAATGACTGCGCAGAAATGACCTACAACGAAGTCGACATCTTCGCCTACCCAGACGACACATCCGCAGCATGCGACAACCTGCCTTCCAAAGCTGATACCGTGAAGCGCGCCCTAGGCCTCAACACCACCTGCACACAAGTTACGGATTACAAAAACATATCCATGTCCGACCGCGCCACCACAGGCGAAGGCCGGTGGTCCTACATCCTCTTCCGCGGGCACCCTTCACCCACCATATCCTCGCCCACGCCTCCGCACTTCATAATCGCCTGGCCTACACACGCGACAACCAACTCCTCAGAGTGCTTACATACTATATACCCCGACAAGCAGTCCGCTCCGCGCCACTTCTCCTCGCTGCAGAATTTGGCGGCGACGATGCGGCTGCAGCAGAGTCTTAGGGCGGCGAGTAGCGAGCAGTTACCTGAGGCACGGCTGGGATATATGGAGGGCGCGGTCACGCTGAAGAGAAGAGTGGTCAAGATGGAGAAGCCAGGGGGTGTGCCGCTTGTGGAGGGGTATAGGGTTGATGTTAGGAGGTGGGAGAGGTGGATGGAGGCAGTGGGGAAGGGGAAGGGGAAGGTTATGATGTGGATGGAGAGATGATGTGGAGTTGGGGAGTGTGAGAGTATGCGTGGGTAAGCTCATGGTATTGGGAAGTGCATGCTACGCGTGCGGACTCATGATGGCCGGCAATGTGCTGCCGTGTCCGAAGACAAATGGCACTTCGATCTCGATGAAGGCTCAACGAAAGACAGAGCGGAGTGCTCTCGACGGCCCCAGAGAGATATCGTGTTCTCTGACCGGGACCAATCGGGCTTTTGTTCGACATGTAGATGGGTCCAAGCAGCCAAAATTAGAAGAGAGGGCATCAGACTGCCGATTATGACGAGAAGTATCGTCCATCTTGCTGTTCATTATCGACCCCCAAAACTGTTCGCCCCATCTCATTCTAGGTCAGCATTGGCTTGCATTGAATGCGAGGTCGGATTCCACAAAGTCGGTGAGGAAGGATGAGATCATGAGAGCCGAGAATGCAATCGCCGATGGGCGTGTGACATGTGTAGAAGAGCACTAAATTACGTGCCAGCATCAAGCATTGCGAGAAGAGTGCCATTAAGGCGAGCAGAGAGGCATACGGCTTTCGACAGGGCATTTTTGCGCTAAGGATTGGGAATGCAGCATGCAACGGCAAGGACAAAGTGCGGAGGAGCAGCATCATTCGAGTAGGCATATGCGACGCTGTTAGAAAGCCAATGAGCTCGGAGGCACCCTGTGGGCTTCCAATCAAAGCAATATCACACATCACGAGCTACCGTTTCTACGTAGCGACGACAGTGCATTGGGGAGCGAGCAACGAGACAGATTGAGTGCTGGAGGACCTCGTCGGTTTTGGGCTAGTCTCAAGAACTTCATTCGTCAATCGTAGCCAGCAAGAACCATGGACGTGCATCGTGGGGAGCGGGCGTTGCTTGATGCGTCAGGGCGATACAGGCGATGAGGTTCACCTGCTGCAAGTTCCTATTGGACAGAGGTACGTACCAGTCAGTATGCCTCTTTCAGCCTCGTTCACCACATGTACTATTCATGTCTTTGCACATCCCCGAACGGCAATGGCGGATCCACTGTTACTCATCGGCCCCAAAACATGGCCATTATCCTTAGGGCCACGGAGACCGTCCAGAACTCTGCCCCAATTGCTTCAAAGGCCTCAATAGCAGTTACGCGGGCTATCATAGCGGCCGCAGTTTGTAGCATCGCTTCTTTATTATTAATTTTAGTGCTTCTTGTGTTCCTTTGTCTGAGAAGGGTCCATCACACATCAGCATCAGAAGATCGCAACAACGGAGCCCGAAATAGGGGCCGATACATCCGCGATGATGGGAAAACACTGCGGCCAACTTGGCCCAAGGGGCCATGGCGGAGTTCACAAGAGTTGGAAGACGTTACTTGGGTAGAATTCCTTCGTCGAGACCAGCTGCTCGCTGACCGAAGAGAGCGATGTGTGTTCCAATGGAGACAGCGCAGTGCTGTCCGCGAGCAACAGCATATAATTACACGATGCGCATCACCACAACAATCGCTCAACAGCTCGCCCAACAGCTTGCCAAAAACGTCTTGTACAATCTCCTGGCCACCAGTTCAGACTCCTTTGGCTTCGATTATTATCGAGCAGTTGGCTCCAGGAAGAGCGCTTCTATCCGAGCTTTCTCCAACACGTGGGGCTTCGGCATACCACTCACGTTTCCTCAAAGACCAATTATTCCGTGATCTTCTCAATCCATCATGTAAGCTCAATAGACTCTCTTCGCAAGCGAGACTGACCAGTCACAGTTGAGCAGCCACAGCCTCTGATAGTCACTCCAGCCCAAATTTACACAGAATCCCTTTGCGTTAATCCTGGTGAAGTCGAGCACGGTCCGAACCCAGTCATACATGAGCATCTCTTACGCAATTCGCCTGAGCGTTTTACTTGGCATCGTAGGCCTACCTTGGAATTGCCTGAACCGAGCGTTCAGCAATTTGCTCTCGAAATGGCTGAAAGGGGTTACCGATACGAATCATCAAGTCCATTCGTCTATCCCGAGTCCTCCAACGTTGATATGTCGGTCACAGCTTCGCCAGGAAATTCCAGTTCGACGCATGGCAGCACGCCGATATATTCTCCCATGATGAGCTCGGAAGCCAGTCCATCTGAGTCAGGCATGAGTCCTGAAACGGTCTCTCCATCAAGCACGTTCAGTGGCGAAGGCGCATCGCCTCTAGCTCAGTATGGCGCAAACGCAGACCAGGCATGTACATGCCGCACATGTGGTCGCGTTTTCCGCACGGCAGGTCTCCAGAGGATCCACTATAATCGCAAGCATAATCTTCGCTATACTTGCCAGGAGTGCGATAAATCTTTTGGACTCAGAAAGGACCTGGAACGCCACGAATTATCGGTTCATCAGAAGCACCTCAGTTCCACGCCAGTGCATACCTGCCCGAATGAGGGATGTGCGACTCCTGGAAAGAAGTTCCCACGCAAGGATAATTGGCGAAGACATGTGAATAAGTGCAAGGACACTTTGGCTGTCAAAGCCATGAGGCAATGATTCCTATCTGAGTATTTGGTGGGTAGAGTAACCGGAAGTTGATGTTTCTAAATGATGACTGCAAGTATGGAGGAGGGATGGTTTGCGTGGACGGTCCGAAAAGTGCAGTGTGTGGTGTTACAGGGAACTTACAAATTGATGAGAGATTGCTTTAATCCATTTTGAATGTTTTCCTTTCTGTTCGAGTTTGTTTTCGCTTCGTTGGGGGAGATTGTCGAAGTCCGGCTGTGCTCCGTGGCTTCATAACCTCCCTCTGTTGTCTTCATGTATGGTGAACAAAAGCAAGTATAGAGGTCCAAGGATCTGATGGGAAGCACTGAGTGGTATTGGTCCAGTGAATAGATTGCATTGTTGTGATCGAGGCAAATATCGGCTCGTGTAGCGATGTCGGTGGCCAAAAGTGAAGGACACTGCAGCCAAGATCTGATGATCCAATTGAATCTCCCTCAAATCACGTCTCTCAGTAGATCCGGTGATCCTAAGCTCGTCCGGTGAAAACGGATATGTATGTGGGGTAATGACCGGTCTGTAGGTTGATGAAGTTGCAGTGCTGCAGCCACCTGTAGTCGTGATTGGCTGACCACAGAATCAATGTACTATCATCAGTATGCCTCTTTGAAGTCTCGTCCTCCTCTTGACACCCGATCCAACGCCATATAGGCTTGACTGAGCCCGGCCTGTTCTAAAAGATTCTCGTCTTAACCAACATACATGATGGCCGTAATTCCTACATCGACGACAATCGCCAGTGATGCCTTCATGGGAACTGCACAGCTCAATGAGCCGCTATTACGAAGGGAAGTCGCTGTTGCAGTTGGAGCCACCATACCGGTGGTCATTCTGGTCATCCTTTGCGTAGGATTTCTCTTGCGGAGGGCACGGGCATCGCGAAATGCTAGCCCCAGGGAATGCGACACACGTGTGTATCAGGAAAGTAAACTGGAAGACGGATTCCGGATTGTGGAATCGGGAGGGGAAATTCTGGCAAAGAAAAGTGAGATGGAAGGTAGCAGCCGCACTGACAACGACGTTGTCCAGCGTTGCGAACGAGCAGATAGTCTAGCTGAGTTGTCAAACGACTGCGCCCCAGCGGAGCTATACTCACAGCCACTGGATACCTCGCAAGACTACTTTGCATCACCGGGCTCATGTACCTATGGTCAGTTGTACGTACCTTCTCATAGTTGGCGTTATTGACGCCCCAGTAGGCTATCCATCTGAGGCTCGGCTCGGCCCAGTGTATGTCGCAAGCAATGGAATTCCCTTGAAAACCTGTGTCAATCCTATGTTATTCTCACACCAGCGTGCGCCTCAAGGATATTACTGTTCTAGCGGTGTGCTTAGAAAGTCCACTGCTGAGCTTGAGGCGCCATCATCGCCAATCCCTCAAAGTAGCCCAACATTGTCTCCAGGTCTTCTACCGGGCCCAAATCTGACTCCAGTTCCTGCATCAAGTCCTGTTTTGTCACCTGATTGTGTAAGGAGTCCGAGGTCCTCATTCTCTCGCGAGTCGGGCGTAGCGTCAGCATCAATATTCACATCAGCAGACAGTGTAGAACCAGGAGTCTCGACCCCACTGATGGACAACATTTCGCCTCCGTTTTCAGATCAGCCCGTTGGTCCGTATGAATTGGATGCCGTCGGGGTCGACTCACCGATGTGGATGGTGGGCAGAGTACCGTACCGATGGGAACCGACAACAGGGGCGAATAGAATGTTCTTCGAAGCCGACCAAGATATTCTTCCATTTGGATTGAAGCGCAAAGCTTCTCAAGAAGCCATGTCATCACGACAACGATTGGGCTATGCAGCATTGCCTGGAAGCTGGCAAGAATTCGATGGATTGGGTTCTGCGACAGGGATGAGCATCGGTGTAGATCAAGACTTCTGCTTCATTGACCCTTGCTGGGCGACAGAGAGCCGTTTCTGTGCAAGCGATTCGGTTTTGCAACATGACGACAGATCGTGTTGGGATGGGTCCTCGTTGTGTGAGAAGCAATTAATGCCTGATCGAATCGCTCCAGTAGATTCTGGGCCCAGCTGCGTCTTAGAACAGAGAAGACAACTCATGAACGAATCGCAGCAACGTTTCTTTTTCAACGCTGTAGCAGCTTTACACGCCCAGCAAGACGAATTACATGCCAGATTTGGCGTCGCATCTCCAACTCTTCGAGAAAATTTTGAACTCGATGGGAGCTCGTCTGCAGCTCATGCTTCTGCTCAATCGCCGTCATCCTTACAAAGTTCTTGCTCATTCTTCGTCCCCGAGACACCTCGAACTTCCGCTACCAGCTCAACCTTTTTCACAACTCAGACAAAGCAGTTGAATTCCGACTTCTCAACGGTATCGTCAGCTACAACAGTAAGTGTGGGCTCTGGAGGATACGATTGTCCAGACTGTGGAGCTGCATTTCCAACGCTGGGTAAAATGAGGTTCGTGTTATGCTGGCTTGTCCCTGAACTGGACGAAGCTGACCTTGATAGGCAACATCACAACCGCAAGCACAATCTTCGATATACGTGCTCTCTATGTGGCAGACCCTTCGCTCTTCGTGCTGATCTCGACCGACACAAGGCGAACAAGCACACCAGTGACCTTGAACATAAGCCAAGGGTTTTTCTTTGCCCGAACATCGAGTGCGCGCAACCAGGCAAGGAGTTCATCAGGAAAGATAACTTCAAAAGACACGCGAAGCGCTGCGAAAAAAATAAGAATAAAAGCAGAAGTCGGCAGGAAACCACCAACACGCAAGAATGTTAATAATGGATCGAGAGGAAAGGCCGGCGCGCGTCTTAGACAATGTTTCCTGCAAAACTTGGATAGAGCACGTCATTCTTTCAGGGTCCACAGTTTCCATGGACGTGGCTCTGAGCATGGGTTGTAGCGAAGGTGCGCGCTGATTTGGAATGGCCCAATCGCTGTGTGCTTGGGCTAAAGCCACATTGGTATGCCTCCAGATTTTCTTCAGCCTGGTAAATGACCTCGGGAAGGTCCCAAGTCTATGCGCCCAAGTATCTTTGCAGGCGTACCTCCCTTCGCTATATTAAACTGCAAAAAAAGAAATGCTTGTGACACAACATCCGCAGCAATATGCCTACAGCGTTATGCGACTTATTTAAGATTTCTCCATTTGTCCCACTATCCGAGAATCCATATGAAGGTTTTTGTGTCTCTTCACGATGGAGCCGGCTTTGCTTGTCGGTCTAGTACTAGGCCTTACTATCCCTTTCGGATTAGCACTTGTGTTCAGACTATGGATCTTTCTACGAAACAGAGAGAGAGCCTTACAATCCGAAGACATTGAGACGTGGTCGAAATTGCGCTCATCACAAGCGAGAACCTCTCTGCAAACCCGAAATCAGGTTGAGAAAGAGATTAACCTCAGCTCGAAGCAAATTTTAGGTCTCGATAATGCGACGTACCTGGCGGGCCTTCCGCTTGACCGCGAGTCTAACACACGAAGATTACATGGATGCATGAGCTCACGATAGACCCAGCGTCCACACTCAACGTCGCTCCAGCTTATTTCAAGCCTCAGTATGACAAAATTTTGGGCTCGAAAAGCTCATGCTTTACACCTGCACAAGGTGCAGCAAAATTGGCCAATGGGTGCGTCAATCCATGGGATGTAGAGCACGAGCCTAATTCGACAATATTCCCACATCTGAGGGAGACCGCAATAGCCGGACCATCGAGGAGCGTAGAACCTGACCAGATGGCAAACTGCGTACCTTTGGCCGTCGGGAAGGGATCTAATACGAGAGACAGTGAGCTTGTCAGTCCCGTTGCAGGCTTGAGGCCTTTCTGGCAACCAGAATGGATCCACTCATGTATAGGATCGACAGCAGATATTGAGATGTCAGAGTTTCCGGGCTCGGAAGCCACCTTGCCGTCTAGCTCGTCGACGGCCACAGGCGACACATCAAGAGTAAACTCTCCTGTCACAGGCGATACATCGAGAGTAGACTCTCCTGTCACATCGACATCGAGTGTCTCTCTCGCCAAGGAAGGCAAAGGTATCAAGATTCGCCCTGGAAGCCCTGTTGATATAGTTAACTACGCTGTTGTTACTCCCCATGATTCCAAAATTGAGTCTGCAGCAAGCGCCGAGTTTGCCTTTCCTCACGACATCATGGCGGCTTCGCCACAGGGTGTACCACCGATACGGCAAACACTACTCTGCAACGTGGCTAGTCACGTCTGCGAGAAGTGTGATCTGAGCTTTCGAACGAGAGGCCAGCTCAAGTAAGTCGGAACCAACAGTAGAGCTCCGTACGAAATGACAGCGCTGACACAAAAGCCAGAAACCACGACAACCGCAAGCATAATCTTCGATTCAAGTGCATATTTTGTACAGCAGCATTCGGTCTACGCGCTGATTTAGAGCGCCACAAGATAACCAGACACATCGACGATCTGTGCCAAAAACCCCTCAAGGTCTTTCGCTGTCCAGTCTCTGGCTGTCCTACGTCCGAAAAAGAATATTTTCGAAAAGACAACTTCCATAAGCATATGAGACGATGCAGTAAAGCAAGAGAAAAAGCCAAAGCTAAGCAAGAAGTCAGCCAGAGTCCAGATTGAGGTTTGCGGTTCCTGGCAAGCGTGAAGCATCAAAAACGTCGTTGTCTGTATCAGCTTGCATCCCTAGCCATCACGTCAGCAAGCCTCACGCACACTCACCCTGCCCAGCAACAGCTTGATAAGATCAGATCCAATCGCCAAGACCATTCACATGCGACAACTCTCTAAGCGAGGCTACCTACTTTACCCATCACCAGAACAAGGTCCTTCTCCGTATACCCCGCATGCGGCTTATGCGAAAGAAGAAAATCAGGGTGCATCCCCGGCCACACCTCGCGATAACATGGTTGTACGAACGAGCGTTGGAAGGACGTATAAGATCGTCACGGCACTACGCGTAGCGCCAAACATCTTCACGGCGACTTCCTTGGTTGCGCGTCGTTCCGCCTCGTCCGCAAACTCCGATACCGATTCATCGCGTGCCCACGAGCGCGAAGCGATAAGCCGATCGTCCGCGTGGATTTGAGGACTGAGGGTATTTCAAGAGGTGGTGAGATGTGCATGGTTCTTATCACAAGTGGTTGATAACACATCGCGCCAAGACGGATGAACACACGTGGACCGTGGATCAAAATGGACGGCATTTCGAATGTGAAGAGCAATGATGCGATTCTCGATCCGACGAGGAGCAATGAGCCGTCGGGATATGGAGAGGCCAGTGCGCCTGCACATGGGCGAGAGGCAGATGAAGAGAGGCACGTGACCAGCACCAGGAGGCGGCCGTGGGCGAGGAAGAGCAAGAGTTATAGCCACGCGCATTTCAAAGTGTACAAGAGACGGTGGTTTGGGCTCGGGCAGCTGGTGCTGCTGAATATCGTTGTTAGTTGGGATGTAAGTACAACCACCGTCTTACCAGACGTCTTTACAAGTCCACTACAACCAAGACATCAACAAGCTAACTCTCCCACAAGTGGCTAACCTTCGCCCCCGTCTCCACCTCCGCAGCAACCTACTTCTCCGTCTCCGAAACTGCCATAAACTGGCTGTCAACCGGCTTCCTCTTCGCCTTCGCCATAACATGCCCTCTGACCATCTACCTACTACACCGCGGCCCAAAACCCAGTATCCTCGCCGCCTCCGCGCTGCTACTAGTCGGCAACTGGATCCGCTATGCGGGCACCCGGGCCAACCTTTTCTGGCTGGTGATGGTCGGCCAGATATTGACTGGTCTGGCGCAGCCGTTTGTACTCGCGGCGCCAACTAGGTATAGTGACATGTGGTTTACGGAAGAAGGGAGGGTGGGGAGTACGGCATTGGCGAGTCTAGCGAATCCGTTTGGGGGTGCGGTATGTTCCTGATCTTATCCTATTACATTGGTCATGATGCTAATGGTTTGATGTAGCTAGCTCAACTCATCAACCCGCTTCTCGGCGATGTACCGAACATGGTGCTGATCATATCCATCATCTCAAGCGTGGCGTGCATCCCTTCGCTTTTTATTCCAGCGGCTCCGCCATCGCCGCCTACGGCATCGTCTGGATTGTCGAAGATTCCTGTCGGCGATTCATTGCGGTACATGCTGCGATCTCGACCGTTCTACATCGTGTTCATTACGTTTGGGACGTACACTGCGGGCTTCAATGCTTTCAGCTCGCTGCTGAACCAGATCCTGTATCCGTATGGTTATTCCGAAGACGAAGCCGGGATATGCGGCGCCATTATGATTGTTGTCGGCTTGGTTGTTGCGGCGATCGTATCCCCGATCCTCGGCCGCACACAAGCTTACCTTTTGGGCATTTGGACGCTGGTTCCGCTGGTTGCAGGATCATATCTAGCGATGATCTGGGCACCGCAGACCCGCACTCTCGCAGCACCATATCTCATAAGTGCGGTGCTGGGAGCAAGTAGCTTCAGCTTGATGCCCGTAGCGCTTGAGTTCCTCGTCGAGATTACATACCCGGCGAGTCCTGAGGTTAGCTCGACAATTTGCTGGGTAGGCGGACAGCTTTTTGGAGCTATATTCATCATCATCATGAATGCTTTGAAGGATGGGAGATATGTGGACCTAGGAAAGGTCAATGATGGTGGAAGGATAACTAGTTCGGGCACACGGCCACCAGGCAACATGTACAACGCCTTGGTGTTTCAGGCGGTTGCTGCTATGGTGGTTCTCCCGCTGCCGCTGATGCTGGGTACCAAGAGGCTTGGCTTGGGATTTGGGGAGGGCAGACGTATCCTGGACGAGAATCGAGAGGGTACTCAAGATGCGACAATTGGTCATGAGCAATGACTCTTAGAGGACTTCGAGTCCGATGAGGGGTACGAGGGATCTGACGATGAGATGTAGGACGAGAATTGACATGACATGACGAAAACCGTATGAGAGAGATGACGCAATGGTTGTGTTGTGATGATTTGGCTTGATGAGGAAATAGTACAGTATTCTAAACATGACTTCTGTATTTACAGTCATCCAGTATGCATCTTGTCATATCCTTCAGTTCCAGAAGCGTGCCGTCCGTATCGGGTCGTGTGTGGATATGGGATATGGCGGTCGATTGCTATCGATGCTACGTCTACTTGAGCTGGGCGAAGAGCTTGGGTGCGGCACATTGAGTTGCGCAGTGAGCCAGGTGGAAAACTATACTGTGTCAGCTGTTGTAGCACGCCGGACATGTGGCGTTGACTTACACTCCTCAACGCAGTCCTCTGAGGCCTTGCCATCGTTCTCGATCTGGCCTGTTACGCGCTCAACGCACTCATCGTAGTGGTGCTTTGCGGGGTGGCATTCCTTGGACTCGGCGCATTCTGTCGTGTGCATGTCAGCCTATGCTCTCTACTCCGCATGCCCCGCAGACTGGTGCCGTGGTCATGGCCGCCACAGAATCATCAATTACTCATCAAGCTCCGTCTTGAAGCTGGGGAGTAAAATTCGATATTCTTGGAATGCGCCCTTCTGCCCGTCTTAAGTGTACTCACCCTTCTCGAGCGTCTCCTTTGGGTCCGGTGTCTCCTCCTCCTCCTCTTCCTCCTCGGGCTCGTCGTCGTCGTCGCTGCCCTTTCCGCTTGGCTTGTGTCCCTGCTCGCCGCTGTCACCGCCCTTCTTTGCGTCCTGCTTGTTGACCTCGGCCTCTGCGCTCGATTCCTCGTCGGTGCCGGAAGCAGGTGACTTGGTGGAGGAGCCGCCCTGGACCTCGGCGTCGGGCGATGGGTGGGAGAACGTCTCCCAAACGTCAGTGAAGAAGTCGGTGATACCCATTGTTGCTGTGAGGGGGCAATTGGGTGTTGGAGAGTTGCGGTGGCGCTGTGACTGGTGATGATGCGGTTGAGCTTTGGTGAGGTTCGAGCCGGGATCGCGAAAAGAAAGCGCCAAGACGCTTGTCATTCCATCTGAGCCGCACCGGATTGGTCCACCACATACACCATCAATGACATACACGGGGAGAATTATGTGGTGCGAGTTTAGCTAATGACGATGTGTCTTGAAAGCTTCCTGCACGCTGACGCCCGCCTCGACATCTTTAATAACCTTCTCATCTGCTTCAACCATATCAGGCAAGATGGCCAACAGCTCGTCCACCTTTCCTTGCGGCACTGCGACAACCCCGTTCTCGAACGGATCAATCATAATAATATCTCCTGCCTCGACAGTTGTCTCACCAATCTTGACCGCCACATTGCGGGCGTGGAACTTGGTCTCCGCTCCAGCGCCGATGATGCTTGTGCCCTTTGACCAGATGGGGAGCTGTGTTTCGTTCAATGCAACCACGTCACGTACTCTGCCGTCTACCACCAGGCCCTGTGCGCCCATGTACTTCGCTCTAGCAGCCATGATGCCTCCGACGACTGCGCAAGACTGGCCGACAGGTTGACTGATGACAGCAATGGTGTCTCTTTCAGTCCAGTCGGACCATGGCCGCGAGTCAGGCAGATTCGATTCTGGAGTATCTTGAGATGATGATGCTGGATTGGGGAAGCTCTTGGTAGCTTTCGGCACCATCAAGAAGGTGGATGCAGGCGCAAGCACTTTCTTGAGTTCTGGCCTAGGAGTGCTCGCAGTGTGAAGCAGGGGTCCTACATGGAATCAGATACGCGCGTGTTTATCAGAGCCAGATTCGAGGTCGTACTAATATCCACAAGAAAGCCCGCCCCAGGGACATGAAGCTTCAGAAGGCCATCGGCCAGCTGCATCTCTCAGCTCGGGTATCGCGAACTACGGTGCACAACTTACATCACATGCAGCATACTTGTAGAGCTCCTTCCATCTTGGAGAAGCCATGATTGATGTCAGTTGAATTTGTTTTGCAAGTCAATGCGGTCGCTTGTCCGAATGGAATGCGGCTTGATCTTCTTAACCCCGCGAACCAAACCTCGGGACCGTACCAGATCAGATTCGGACTGATCTCGCACGCAGCTGTCAGCATCAGCTGTACATCTGTATCAGTTTCGCTCTTTGCAAAATTCACATGCCGCAATGGGCCATATGTGCTCCCCAACAGCAGCCTACAAATGTCCACATGCCGATGACGGCCGACATCAGTGTCTACCGCCCGTGCTGCCACCATTCGTGCGCGCTATGTTCTCAACTTTAAGTACTATGCAGGGTAACTTAGTCAAACAGTCTGATTTCAAGGCCGATTTAGCACTTCGTGACGTAGCCTAAAGACATCAAGTCTATGGTATGGTATTTGGGCTTATGAATGAGATGAAACTTGCTTTCTAATAGCAAGCTGAGTACATACAAATTGAACAGAGCGGGCATGAATTTTATTGCAGCCGTTGGTGAGTCCAGATCAGAACCTGACGATACATTCGGTCGGCTCCTCAGGTGCGTCACGTGACCCGTCTAGCCAAGCAGGGTCCATTCGATCATCGGCCCAAATGAGTCTATACGTTTCCGCCGCATCGCCCAGCGACTTCTTGTCGCAACACGCGCCACCCACCCTTTGCGCATTTGTTTTCTTCAATTCGCTGCTCAGTTATAACACTCTTTCGCGGCCGTTGCCGCCTTGACACACCCATCATGGCTCTTCGCGCGCCCGCTGTCTCCGTGAGTTGCCACAAGCTCCGCTACTGCGTCATGGACATGTAGCTAATAAGCATACAGAACGCGCTCTTCGCTACCACTGCCATGTTTCCGACAATGGCGACTGTATCGAGGACTTTCTGGAAAGGCCTTGGGCAAACGCTTGCAGCCAACGGCACGAGGCAGTTGCACACGGCGCCAGCCTCCGCATCGGCACAGGTAAGCAGATGAGGCTCAATCACCTCAGACGACATGCTAACAGTGCTGCAGTCATCATTTGTAGCCCCACGCAACGTCCTCGGTCTTCGTCAACCCTTTGCTAAGATGACACCCCTCGGATCTCTCATGGCACGATCATACTCGACCATGTCTCGCAACGGCCCTCTCTCGCAACTTCGTCAGCTCCCCAAGCCAGGAATGGTGGGACTGAACTTGGTGCAACAACGCTCGCTATTCGGTGGACCATCAAACGCGCAGCTCGCTCGTCTGGAGGAGGCTGCTAACAACAACCCCCACAGCGCAAGCTCCCAGGCCTCTTTCTACTCTGCGCTTATGCGCGCCAACATGCCCAAGATTGTCGTCGAACGCTATGATACTGGAAAATTCGCCACAAACTCCGTCGTGGACAAATTCTACGAAAACGCTATCAACAAGCTCGCGCAGTCGGAAGGCCAGGGCCTGTCCTCGGACAAGGTCAAGGCAGTCAGCCAGGCTGTTGGCACCCACCTCAATGCAGGCCAGGTTGGAAAGCAAAAGGGAGGCTCCGGTCTCAAGAGCGACCCCGTCTATGTCGTTGTTGAAGAATCACTAATGGGCTCCATCTTCAAGTGGGTCCGCTGGATCGCTAGTTTCGGGTTGGCTGTATACGTCTCTCTGGTCCTCATCACCCTCTTTGTTGAGTCGAGTGGTGTGCTCAAGAAGGTCGGCGGCGCGACCAGCGCTGAGGTCCGACCTGAACACCAGAACACCCGCTTCAGCGACGTCCACGGCTGCGATGAGGCAAAGGAAGAACTCCTAGACATCGTCGATTTCCTCAAGCACCCCGAACGATACAACAAGCTTGGTGGCCGTCTCCCCAAGGGTGTTCTTCTCATCGGCCCTCCTGGTACCGGAAAGACGCTGCTCGCTCGTGCCGTTGCTGGAGAAGCCGGTGTTCCGTTCTTCTACATGTCAGGTTCTGAATTCGATGAGGTCTACGTCGGTGTAGGAGCTAAGCGTGTGCGCGAACTCTTTCAACAGGCTCGTACCAAAGCACCTGCTATCGTTTTCATCGACGAACTGGATGCTATAGGCGGAAAGCGAAAGTCGCGTGATGCCAACTACCACCGCCAAACCCTCAACCAGCTGCTGAACGACCTGGATGGATTCGACCAAAGCACCGGCGTCATCTTCATTGCCGCCACTAATCACCCGGAACTACTCGACCAAGCCCTTACTCGCCCCGGACGTTTCGATCGCCATGTCCAGGTCGAGCTCCCCGACGTCGGCGGACGTCTAGCCATTCTGAAGTACCACACCAAGAAGATTCGCCTCAACCCTGAAATCGATCTGACGAGCATTGCTCGTGGTACTCCTGGCTTCTCTGGTGCCGAATTGGAGAACCTGGCCAACTCGGCTGCTATCCGCGCTTCTAAGCTGCAAGCAAAGTTTGTCTCGCTCACTGACCTCGAGTGGGCCAAGGACAAAATCATGATGGGCGCTGAGAAGAAGACGCGCGCAGTACCTCTCCAAGATAAGATTCACACCGCCTACCACGAGGGTGGTCACACTCTTGTCGGTCTCCACACCAAAGGCTTCAACGATGTTCACAAGGCAACCATTCTTCCACGAGGCCATGCCGCTGGTATCACTTTCTTCCTTCCCCATGAAGAGCATCACCATACACGCAAACAGTACATTCGTCAACTGCAAGTGATGATGGGTGGCAAGATGGCGGAGGAGATCGTCTTCGGCGCCGAAAATGTGGCCGATGGAGCATCCGGAGATATTCAGCAAGCCACTCAAATGGCATACACCATGGTCACTGCCTGCGGTTTCTCAGACGTGCTCGGCAATGTCGACTTCAAGTCAAATTACGAGATGGTATCGCCAGAGACCAAGCGCCTCATCGACAACGAGGTACGGCGGTTGATCGACGAAGCCAAGGCGAGCGCAAGGGATCTGTTGAAGTCAAAGCGACCTGAGCTTGATCTTTTGGCAAATGCCCTCGTCCAGTACGAGACGCTCGATAAGGAAGAGATCATGAAGGTCATCAAGGGCGAGAAGCTACCAAACCGGTTAGAAGCAATGCCCGACGCGCCCATCAAGATTCCAGACAACCCGATTGTCGATCTCCTACCCCCTGATCAGGGCGGTAAGGGTGGTTCAGACTCGTCCGGACCTGGTGTACATGTATGAGCCCTCACGTAAGGCCGGATGTTTGGAACTTGGTAGCGTGCATCTTCAGGCGAAAAGTGGCGTCTCTTCCCTCTAGCTCCTCAAGCGTGGAGCGTTTCGGTCGTTCAATGGGGCACATTTCCCCCATTTGTACTGTACATTATTTGGTATAAATAGCGCTAGCGAAAAGAATGCGGTCTTTCGTGATGAGGCGTAGCATTGGGTGTGGGGATGTGGAGAGGAGAAGTAAAGATGTAGCTAGAATGAATGAGAAGATCTACACCACTTGTTGAGCTATGTACCGTGAAATGAATTGTACGAAGAAGTCTGCTTTTCCATCTACTCTTTTGCCATCTTAGTCTGCCACTATTTCCACACCATTATCACCCACGTCGTGCATCTCAAAGAGATATTCAACTATACATCCCGTCAACGTACTCCAACATCACCCTGCCCACACGCTCCACCAGAATCCTCATCCCGCGTCCGATATTCAATCCACGAGCCCTGTTGCCCCGACCATGCCCCCGAACCTGAGCCTGCACCCCATTCTCCCGCGTCTCCACGGCCTCCCACTCCCTCGCAATCCTCCGTACCTCAGACATCCTGATGCGGAACCACACCGTCCGACACAAGGGACAGTGATTAGAATTACGCATGCCACTGCTGATAGTCTTGCGCAGGCAGCCGTAGCCAAAAATGTGGTTCCTGCAGCCGGGGATGTTGGTGATGAGGATGGGTGGGTGAGTGGCACTGTATGGCTCCTACAAGGACGTTAGTGATTGAGTGACGATGGTCGGGACAGAATGGAGGAGAGGACTTACGTAGCATATAGGACATGTGGTGCCGATGCCTGGGTAGTGTGGGTGGGAGGGCATCAGGGGAGTGAGGCCCTCTTCTAGGAAGACCGATAGAGGTATTGCATGTTGTGTGGGGGGCGGGGAGCGGATGCGATTGTCCCGAGCAGTAGCCGTGTGAGGCAATTCGGGGTTGGCGATGCGGTAATCTATGTGAGCACGCAAGCGACGACGACGTGAGATGGGGCTTTGGGTGCGGTATCGAGCTTGCCGATCCATTTGGGCCGCTAGGAGGTCTGCGAATTCCATGCCGGAGTTCTCTCCAAGGTCGAGCTCATGTTGGAGGTTCTGTTCCAAAGCATCGTTGTCGGTGACACTGATGTCACTGTCGGAATCTGAGGACGAGGAGTCGTTGTCAAGTCCAGCGACTATATACTCAGCCGCACCACCTTCAGCGCTTGGAGGGATCCTGCGGAGGACTTCGGCGGACATGTGAATGCGTCGTGGGGATATGGGCTCCGCATCGACGCCTTCGTCTTGCGTATTCGGGGTGCCCTCGACGGCATCGGGCAAGATCTCGCGTGAAGCTATGGACGAAGCTTAGGGAAAAAATACCTCGCCTTCAAGGCGGTAAACGTGGTCATGGTCTTCGGACGGGGATAGATTGGTAGAAAACTCGGGAAGACTGGGTTCAGCATTCGAGACAGGATGTGGTTGCTCTGGTGGCGACGGCTCAGCGAGAGGAAGTGCGACAATCAGTCTGGAAGCGGCGTCTGGTGCTAGATCATCCATCGGCACTGTACTGCAAGGCATGCTCGCTGATGACTTCCAGAGGCCGGTAGGAATGATCGTGTTGCGGTGTAATGGATCGCGTGCGTTGAATTGTTAGTCTGGTCGCTCACAGCCGTAGGTACGCAGTCTTGCTAGCGCCCTTGCACCTTCCCTTTCGGCACTTTCACTCCAACACACGTGATCTTGAGTAGTCGCAATGGGCATCGATTGGCTGTGTTGACTATTGCTGATTTTTCTTATTACCATTTCCGAACTCCTTATTACATTAATACAACTCTTCTAGACTTATCGTCAGACTGCCACCAGCATGTAGATGTTCCAAGCTTTTGTATATATCACAATTCTTCCCTCCTCTTTACCATCAACTGCATGTGCGTAGTCTCCCAGTATGGATCATCCTCAAGCAGAATAATCTCGAACCCACGCTTTTCCCAAAACTTGATCGCGCCGTCCAGAAAAGGATGAGTGTGCAAGTAGAAGCGCTCGACGTCTGCATTGACTGCCTCGTCATATAGGGCTGTGAATAGCGCCGCAGCCAGGCCGCAACGCCGATATCGGGGGTGAACGAACAGGCGGACAACCTCCACGGTGTTCACATCGTAAAAGTTGAAGAACTGTGGGAAACGGTGGTTGTAGGGCACATAGCCAATCGCAGCTATAAGGTTCTTGCCATCGCGTGCTTCGAGGAAGCAGGTGCCTTCTTTGAACAGGGATGCATTGTCTGGGGATAAGGAGCGACCGGGGAACATGCCATTACGGGCAGTGTTGATGAATTGAACGACTTCTTCGAAAGAATGCGGCGGGACTGGCTGGATGGTCCATGATGGAGGTGGAGGTGGAGACGGGGTGGAAGAGCGATGCGGCATGGTGCATATGTAGGTAGGTATCTAGTGTATGCACGATGCAGGTCGGTAAGGATTCCACCAACGAAAGCTTGGAGAATTGGCAGAGCTAAACTTTTTATGGCAAATCCCTTGAATGGGCTTCTAACGTCATCCATGAGCGGAAATACTCATAGATTCACATTTTGACATATTTGTTCCATCGTCCCAGTCGGAAGCTCAGTTTTCTCCGTCCGATCTGACCTTTGCTCGCCTGAATCTTCTGGTCACCATATCGGGCGATGCAAGGCGCGCACAATTCTTCGACGTCACCCAATGCGGTTGCGACACCAGGCAGCGGCAAAATTCGTGCCCGTTCTGTACCTCACGACACAAGCTAATAGTCTTGAGAGGCATACTTATCAAACGCACAGAGAGCAGACTATACGGTCCTCTAAGATAACTCAACTTATATAGAAAATCTTTGAATACATATAGACTACCTCTTCCCCTCTTCATGTTTGAAAAAGGCGGGCAGGAATCTTGCCGACGCCTGGCGGTGACATTGAGATGTTAGGATGCTGATCTGCCGCCTATCTTCATGATGCTCTCAAAGTCATCCTGCATCACCATGGCTAAGAGATGGCATTTTAACTTATCCAGCGCTTTTATCGCAAGATCTGCCCTTCATGTGGCCTTTCACATCTCCCATTTCTCGCAAAATGCAACGTAGCCTCTGAATGCTCATCAACCTCGATGTCATCCCAAACCGCACCATATCGAAGTCGCCGATGCCCTGTTGTCTTCAGGAGTGCCTTGATGTCCGTGTTCGAAAGTGCGTCGTGCAAAGAGGGCGCAGCAAAAGCTTTCGCGACCTCGATAGGGGAAAGCGTCACTTTTCTGCCCAGCTTCCACCAGCCAAGAAGAAGACCAAATACACTCAACGATGCTAGCACGGTGATGGCAACGGCGACGGCCAGGTAGATGTACTGGCTTCTTGTATACAATTTGTGACCAAAGCTGCTGTACCTCAATAGTTTTGAGATAATCTTGTGGTTTCCCACCTTGGTTGGGTATGTCCAGGGCAATTCGGAAGGCGATTTCGCGAGCATCGCTCATGATGTCGGAGGTTGGATCGAAGAAATTCATGAATGGTCCGCCAAACTGTCCGCTGCTGTTGACATATCGTAGCGCCGTTGTTCCTTGGAAATTGTGATGCCCAGCCAGGAGGGCCTGAATACCGACGTGTTTACAGAAGAACTGTAGAGCGATCTCAAGTAGAGCCATAGTCCGCCGTGTGTTGATGGCATGACGCCTACCCAACTCGGACTGAACGGATCCGGCCAATGTTCAGTGACGCGATCGGTCATCCATGAGCCCTCGGGATCTAGAGATATTGTATCATTCTTTAAAATGATGGGATACTCTACAACTGCTGGTGCAAGAGTACATGTCCTCCAGGTCATGTTGCCTTCGTAGGTTTCGTTGACTTTGAAGCCCGTGGTGTAGTTGATCATGTTCGGTATCCCTGGCATCTCATAATAGCTGAAGTATGTTTGAAAGCAGTCGAGTCGTGCATCGCGTCTACTACCATTGGCAAACAGATCATGTAGATCGTAAGGTGTCAGCCATTCATTGCACTGGACGTCATACCCGGCGCCTAATACATGACCCTTACATGTGCCGAGGCAGCCAGAGTTGGTGATATTGATCATATCTTGGCTGTTGTGTCGATTGATGATGGACCGGAACTCATTGCTGAGTGTAGTCGTTACATGTTCACGTCCAGTGATGGCTCCCGTGTAACCCAATGGTATTTTCTGTGCGATCGGTATTGTCACATTGACCAGGTCGAAGCCGCCGCGGCTACCAATGACTGATGCTCGTTGCAGCAAAGGCCCATTAACCGGTGCAAAGGTGACTAGAAGCCCGGTGAATGCGACGAAGTTGAACGAACGGCCGGAGAGTAGTATATCCTTGAGGCCATTGCCAAAAGCCCAGGTCGAATGGAGTTCTCGTACAGTCGCGTCGCCTCGCAATGC